ATTTGTAATCATAATTAAAGATACGGGGTCTTCTACACTCTAATTTTCAAATATACGTTATATGCCTTAGTCACTTCATTGGATTTGTTGGTGGAGGTGAAATGTTCATTACATCATCAAATTTATGTTTAATTGTATTTTCTTTGTCCTTAACCTGAGGTGTGGTTTTATTTCATCAAATTTATGTTTAATCCCATTTTGCTCAGTCCTTAACCTGAGGTGTAATTTGTGTGTAACTCTGGTATTTTTGGTGTGCTCCGATAACTCTGCTCCTTTTGTTATTTAATCATCATTTTGCTTCATCTTCAAGAACAACAAGTGTTTTCAAAACCATATCCTGCTACTATGGGGAAACGTGCAATTGCTCACATAGTCTGGGATGTGCTTATTTATAATTCTTTTAATATTTGATCACACTTGCACCTATAATAACGGGCTTTCAAATCTTTTCAGGCTGTTTACAAATCAGACCTGGAATGGCTGCGGGGTGTTGGTTGGGTCCCCATTGGTTCCTTGGAGGTGGAGAAGGCCAAGAGGGCAGGGGAGATCCTGAGTGACAAAATCTACCGTCAGCACCCGGACACCATCAAGTTCACCAGCGTCCCAGACTCCCTGCCCATGGTGTTGGCCAAGCAGAACGCAGACACCATGAACAAGGTGAGTCCTGATTCCAGTTTCCCAAGTGTTGAATTCCCTCAGATAAATTCTCCTTTAGTCAATGTTATCTCTACCTGACTAAACACAGAACTGCATATCCCTGTTGTATTTCAGAGTATCACAGAATGGTTTGGTCAGAATAGACCTTAAAGATCATTTTGTTCCAACCCCCCGCCATGGGCAGGGACACCTTACACTAGAGAAGTTCCTATATTTTTAAATAATATGCTCTGTGTTTTGCCTTGATTTCTGAGATATTACCCAGTTTAGAATGCAATATTAATCTCTTCCTGTTTTCTCCCTCAGCGTTTATACACTGAAGCCTGGGATAAAGACAAGACCTCGATTCATGTCATGCCTGACACCCCAGAAATCCTGCTGGCCAAACAAAACCGAGTGAACTACAGTGAGGTGAGTGAAACTGGAGAGGGGAGGCAATTAAAGGGTTTCTGGCAAGTACAATCTTGTCATCTCTGACTTTCAATCAATAGTAGAATAATATTGTCAAGTTGTTCAGTGTCAGAAATTGCCAGTTCCAGTGCTGGAATCAGATCTCTCCTTTCACTGGAATTTATCTCCTGGGTATCTAATTGGGCTTTAAAAGATATTTTCTAACATAAATGAGAAATCATTTATATAGCAAGTTGTGAAATAAATAATTTAACTTTTTAAATGTTCCTTTCTTTGCCTTCCCTACATGCTTTCCATTTTCCAGGGGTCTCCAATATAATTACAAGGTCTTTGAAATCTGCATTTTTTTTATTTTCTAGAGAACAATATCCAAGTTGCCTGAAGATTAACAGTACTGTTTAGGGACTTCATTTGTTTTACTACAGAGTTGTGCTTAACTGAAGCATAATTTTGCTTTAGGAACTAAAATGTGGGGGTTTTTCTCACAGAAAATGTACAAACTGGCCTTGGAGGAATCGAAGAAGAAGGGTTATGATCTGCGTTTTGATGCCATTCCCATTCAATCTGCCAAAGCCTCCAGGGAGATTGCCAGTGATGTAAGCAGGTTTTGTTATTTCCATATGGATTTGGGAATAGAAAAGAATCAGAATGTTTGTTCCATTGTCTGTTAATGTCATACTTCATAGAATAACTAATATTGAAGTCTATTTTCATAGCGATTCTACCACATGCCTTCAGTGCACGAAAAGCAGGGGTAGCCAGTATTTTATGCATGAGGTTTATATCACTGTAATAAATAAATAGGATAATATGAGGATTATCTATATGTCCCCTGTAATAGTTCCATTGATGTCCATGGGTGTTTAAGTAGGATGATCAAAAAGATGTCTACACTGGAGTTAGTCAAGGTAATTTCTGATTCAGAATAGGAAATACTTTAAAATCTCTCCCCAAAAGAGACATATTAGTAAATCAATTCTAAAAGTTCAAATGCTTGCTTTTTTCCAGTGGAAAAATATATTCTCTAAATATGTCATACTGACATTCACAATGTCTCAGTACTGAACCAGGAAAAAATATATGCAATGACTAGGACAGGTTTTGCGTTGAGAATGAGGCAACATTACTAACAGACAGAGGATAACAGATTCTTATGCTCCTTGTTTTTCTATCAAGATTGGTATTTAAATGGCTTGTGTTAAAATGTTATATATATACATTTTTTGTTCTCTATTTCAGTACAAGTACAAGGAAGGGTATCGGAAGCAGCTGGGCCACCACATCGGGGCCCGCAACATTGAGGACGACCCCAAGATGGTGTGGTCGATGCACGTGGCCAAGATCCAGAGTGACAGGGAGTACAAGAAGGACTTTGAGAAGACCAAGACACACTTCAGCAGCCCCGTGGACATGCTGGGAGTGGTGTTGGCCAAGAAGTGCCAAGTGTTGGTGAGCGACATCGACTACAGGCACTACCTGCACCAGTGGATCTGCCTGCCCGACCAGAACGACGTGATCCACGCTCGGCAAGCCTATGACCTGCAGAGTGATGTGAGCAAATCCTTACATTTGTAATCATAATTAAAGATACAGAGCCTTCTAAACTCTTAATTTTTGAAATATACGTTATATGCCTTAGTCGCTTCATCGGATTTGTTGGTGGAGGTGAAATGTTCATTACATCATCAAATATATGTTTAATTGTATTTCCTTTGTTCTTAACCTGAGGCGTAATTTTATTTCATCAAATTTATGATTAATTGTATTCCTCAGTCCTTAACCTGAGGTGTAATTTGTGTGTAACTCTGGTATTTTTGGTGTGCTCCAATAACTCCATTCTTTTTGTTATTTTGCTTGATCTTCAAAAATAAGAACTGTTTTCAAAACCATATCCTGCTACCAGAAACACACACAGTTGTTCCTATTGACTAAGATGTGCTTTTTTATAGTTATTTTAATTCTGAATCACATTTGCACCTATATAACGTACTTTCAAATCTTTTCAGGCTGTTTACAAATCAGACCTGGAATGGCTACGAGGTATTGGATGGGTTCCTATTGGTTCCTTGGAAGTGGAGAAAGCCAAGAGAGCTGGAGAAATCCTGAGTGACAGGAAGTACCGTCAACCTGCAGACCAAATCAAATTTACCAGTGTGACAGACTCCTTGCCCATGGTCTTAGCCAAGCAAAATGCTGAGATAATGAACAAGGTGAGGTGTTTTGTTTTTTTCTTGTCAAAATCACCAGTATTACCAGCTGATAGAACTTGTTCATGAGGTGAAAAATAAAACATATAAAGTAAGACTGAAGACTTCTGTTGTGGACTTAAAATGAATGTCCAAATTCAGCCATTGTACAGGAAAGCTCTTGTTTTAGGGCTCTCTGTCTGAACTGAGCACTTGGTAAAAATGTACAGAAAGAAGTCACCTAAATCACATATTTTTTGACAGTACTGTTGGATGATGACCAAGTTATGAGGAAACAGCTGAAGTTCTCTGGAAGTGAAGTTTCTGCAATGTATCTCAGAGCTCGAGGATCAAATCACCAAGTACCTCCTCCTGCTCCTTTTTAAGGAACAGAATCAAACAACTTATACAGATACAGCAGAATAATGAATATAGTTTTCCTCCTACAGCAGTTTCAGCAATTCAAAATCAACCAATTGCTGCACCAACTTAGCTTGAGAAATAAGGACAAAGTTTCCTTCTTGAGCTGTTCAGTCAGAACCTTTGCTGAATCAGGGTATTTTATTGCTTGATCTACCCACAGCAGTCTGTAAAATAATTTATTTGGACAAATGTATTAGTTTGGCTATATATCTATATATAGTTCTCCTTCAAGGTTACTTTTCTATCGTGGATATATTTTTTATCACAGCTGCTTTCAAATCTGCAGTGTTTCCATCATGACACACATAAAGGAACGTTTCTAAAGGACTATTTTCCTCTCTCATAGCGTTTGTACACAGAAGCCTGGGATGCAGACAAAAAAACCATCCATGTCATGCCTGACACACCAGATATTCTGTTAGCCAGGGCCAACGCAGCCAACGTCAGCAAGGTAAGAACATTTTCACATTTACTAAGCTAAGGGAAATTCAGAATTAAGGAAGCATTTCTTTAAGTATAAAGAATTACACATAGATGAAAATTTCGAGAAAAAATTATGAAGTGTAGAAACCCCTTGTTAAATATTGATAAGCCATTTTCTGTCTTCTCTTGTATAGAAACTTTATGTACAAGCCTGGGAAGAGGCCAAGAAGAAGGGTTATGACATGAGAGCGGATGCAATTCCAATCCAAAGTGCCAAGGCATCGAGAGATATCGCGAGTGACGTACGTTCTCCCTCATGCATTTGCAGTTACCTGGGAAACAGGAATATGTATATTTGTGATCAGCAGCAATATGAAATTATGGGACATTTGCCCCAGCTTCTGCTAATACTTCTTTTTGTGTGTCTTAGTACAAATACAAACAAACCCACGAGAAGGAGAAGGGGCACTACATCGGGCTCCCCAGTGCCAAGGATGACCCCAAGCTGGCGTTGGCCGCGCGGGCCATGGCGCTGCAGAACGACCGCCTCTACAAGAAGGGCTACAACGATTCCAAGACCCAGATCCACATTCCCGTGGATGCCCTGTCAGTGCAGGCAGCCAAGGAGTGCCAGACACTGGTCAGTGACATTGACTACAAGCAGTACCTGCACCAGTGGACGTGTCTTCCTGACCAGAACGACGTGATCCACGCGCGGCAGGCCTACGACCTGCAGAGTGACGTGAGTAGGAATGACTTTGGGAAAGCTTTATGTTTCTGGCTCTGTTTGATATCCTCTCAAATGCACATTCATGAACCTACACTCTGTCCTGCTGTGTTTATTTTGTCCTTTCCAAATCAGCAGTGCTCTCAGCCTGGGGGCCAGAAATATTCTGGGTGGTTCATAAGGAGGCCGTGTTTCTTTGGGCTGCTACAGAATGTTTGCTCGCAGCCTGCTTGCAGATTATGCCCCTGGTTTGCACATAGCAAGTGTCTTAAAAGTATCTTTGTTGCTGTGAAAATCAGGGGTTCTGCTGTGTGTGGAAAGCACCTGATACATCACAGTGTCATTGGCTGTTTGTTGTGTAACTATGTGAGAAGGAATTTGGGGAAAGCTTTATGGGAAGTCTCTGCACAAAGAGTTAGAACCACAGAATTCCAGAATGGTTTGGGTTGGAAGGGACCTTAAAGATCATCTCATTCCAGCCCCCAAGGTCAGGGACACCTTCCAGTAGAACAGGTTACTCAGAGCCTCATCCACACTGGTTTTGAACATCTCCAGGGATGGAGAATCCAGAACCCTTCTGGGCATAAAGCGTTGTCTGTGCAACGCCAGTAACCCTTGGTTTGTTTGCAGAACGTGTACAAATCTGACCTGGAATGGTTGAGAGGCATTGGCTGGCTCACAGAAGGGTCTGTGGATGTGGTGAAAGCCAAGAAGGCCCAGGAGCTCCTCAATGACCGGTTGTACCGCACGCGGCCCGAGCAGCTCAAGTTCACCAGCATCACTGACTCCCCAGACATTGTCCTGGCCAAGACCAACGCCATGCAGCTCAGTGATGTAAGCTCACCTTGCACTTCCCTTTCACTTATGGGGTGGCATTTCTTCTTTTTGTGGTGGGCAGTAGAATTGCAAATTAGTCACTGGAATTATCCAAGAATTCCTGTTGGTGTTTTAACCCCCACAGTGAAATGTCACTTTTCTTCCTTTCTCCTCAGCGTCTGTATCGTGAGGCCTGGGATAAAGACAAGACCCAGATCTCTGTACCTTCTGACACTCCTGTAATGCTGCAGTCCAAAGTCAACGCTCTCAACATCAGCAATGTAAGAGAATTAAATGAAGTGCTTGTGAAGTGTTAGAAAGTTAACAATGACAATTGTTCTTCCAGTTTTTGGCCTGTGTCTTTTAGGTTTTGCTGTAAATGGTGATGCACAAAACCCATCTTCTAATGTGCTTGTAAACAAGAAATTACATCCAGGGGCTCTCTAGACTGAGAGGTTGTGAGTTTGTGAGCAAACTCCAAAGTTCAGTGTGCAATCCCTGCTCCCTTTGGCACAACCTCCCAAATACTCTCCATGGAAGAGTTTTTGGAGTTTGCAGACTCCTCAACCCTGACAGGTTTTGCAGACTTGTGTAGTTTCACCCACTAGTTTTATGGGACTTACACACTGGAGATTTTGTACAGCTGGAAACATTTCCCATTTTGCATCTCCAGCAGGTTTTGACAGGAGCTTTGCCTGGAACATGTGTTTCCTGCCAGCCTTTCTTGCTGTTGATAGTATTAAATGTTTTTCAAAAGCACCTGATGTGACTGGATTAGGCATGAAATATTTCAAGTGTTATTGCAAAAGACATTTCACTCCCTCTGTTTTTGTCTTGCTTGTGCTTTGATTACTATTTTTTTCTGAGTTCCTTATAGTCTGATTCGCAATAGCATTTGGTTTCTGAATTTTCACAGATATTAAAAATAAAAAGTCCTTCATTTACCCACCTGTGCTAATGACAGAGTTGCCAGAAGGGCTGACCAAGCTTCTGTGGGCTGAGATGCCACAAAGAAGGAGCCCTCATGTTCTTGGGCTTGGTGTCCTGGACAAGTTGGGCGTCTCTAGACACGTGAAGGCACTTTGGTTTCTGCTCAATCTCAAAAATGGACTGAGACTCTCTGCCTACACTCACTTTTTTGATAGGGCTAAAAAAGCTGGGAAAGAAAGAAGTCCCTGGCAGCTGCCAGGAGACTTGAGAACTTAAGGACAGTCTAGATCTGTTTTGTCAGTAGAACAGATGTTTCTGTGACCCTGCAATTGGGTGTGTGTGAGCAGAGCCTCTGGGTCATGCACAATTCAGGGCTTAGAGGGGGCACAGTGAGATGTTTTCAGGAATGTTCCTGTTGCCTCTTTGTGTTTTGGATCTTGCAGCTACTTTAAGTCTTGAGTTTTCTCTTAAGATACTTGCCAAGATCATTATTGTAACCCTGCCAGTTACAGGGGGCAAGCAGGGTAATTCCCAGGGAAGTAGGTTTTGAGGGAAGGAATTTGTACCAGAGAGACTTTGCTGTGTTTGACAGAGGTGATTCATTTCCCTTGCAGAAACATTATCAGAAGGCCTGGGATGAGGCCAAGGCAAAGAGCTATGACCTAAGAGCTGATGCCATTCCCATCAAACAAGCCAAGGCCTCCAGGGACGTTTGCAGTGAGGTACAGTCCTCTGTACCCCCCTAATGTGGGGGTGGTGTCTGTCTCTGTGTCCAGCTCAGCAGAACCGAGCGAGGTTCAGTTCGAGGGGCCCAGAGCTTGGGAAGCTGCAAACCCTTTTGTTTGGTGGTCTGTCCAGGTGAGCAATGAGTGACTGCTTGTGTTACCTCTGCACTTCTAGTACAAGTACAAAGAGGCCCACGAGAAGCAGAAGGGGCACTACATCGGGCTCCCCAGTGCCAAGGACGACCCCAAGCTGGCGTTGGCCGCGCGGGCCATGGCACTGCAGAACGACCGCCTCTACAAGAAGGGCTACAACGATTCCAAGACCCAGATCCACATTCCTGTGGATGCCCTGTCAGTGCAGGCAGCCAAGGAGTGCCAGACACTGGTCAGTGACATTGACTACAAGCAGTACCTGCACCAGTGGACGTGTCTTCCTGACCAGAACGACGTGATCCACGCACGGCAGGCCTACGACCTGCAGAGCGATGTGAGTATCTCTAGAGGGGTGGTGGTTGCTACTCTTGATATTTAATATATTGCAATCTTGATGGTTTGATATTATACAGTTACAACAGATTTATCTTTAAACTGCTTTCTCTAATTTTTGTAATCTGCTCTTTTTCACCTTTAAAAAGCCTTCATTTTTCCTCTAAATTCTATAAAACTTTACTTGCTATCTGCTGGGTTACATGTGCTTTTGGAGTGGTATGATCTGGAGAGGATGAAGGATTTGTCTCTCTTGCTTTGATGGGACTTAGGAGTAAAAGCTATTTGCTGCCTGAAATCAGGTGGCTTTTGTTACTCCTGTTTATTTGAGTCGGCTGAAAATATATTTAATTGGAAAAAAAACCAGTGTAAGGTACAGGTGTAATGTTTTAGTGGCTGATGGAGCAGGAGGAGTCAGTGCAGCTGATTTCCTGACTTGGCTTTGCTGCTTACCAGTCAACCTCAGTCACTGTTCCACTATTCCAGTTCTGAGCTTTGAGGTGAGATTCATGTTCTTTGCTTTTTTACTTGCCAAGTTTCCTGGTGGGCATCTTGGTTTTTTTTTGTTTGGACTTGTATATTGTTGAAATGAGGAGTCTTTTAAAATCTTAATATTCATCACCATTAGCAACAATTCATTTCAGTTGTTTCCCTTCTGTTTAAGTCCACAAGGTTTAGAAGGTGTTGTTTAAGAAAGGAACTACTTAAAACCTGGTTCCCAGATTTAATTTTACTTATTACAGTGGACATCTCTTGTATGTAAAAAGGATTGATCTATCTGTAGCTGGTTATGAAACATATACTGCTTTCTATAATTTAAAATAATGCAGACAGTAATTTTGAACACAAGGTTTTCCTTTTCCATGTCTCATCCAGGCTGTGTATAAGGCAGACCTGGAGTGGCTCCGTGGAATTGGCTGGTTGCCCAATGAGTCTCCAGAGATTAAGAGAGTGAAGAATGCCCAGGATCTCCTGAGTGACAACGTGTACAGGACACCCATCGACAGCGTGAAGTTCACCAGTGTGGTGGATTCCCCAGACGTTGTCCTTGCTAAAACAAACGCTGAACAGCTCAGCATTGTATGTAACAACCTCCTTAAGTTCTTAAAGGGAGAAATCTCGCTGCTAAAATATAGGATCAATCAGTGGCATTTTAAGTTCAACGCTTTTTTCCAAGCTTTTTATTCTTTAGAGATGATAATTCAGCAGAGATTTGTGGGATTTTATGCTGTTGACAAGTGAAATTCCATCATTGTAATATAAAATAAACTGTTTTAACAGCCAAAATACAAAGAAGCCTGGGAAAAGGACAAGACCATGATCCATATTATGCCAGACACACCTGAAATCAACCTAGCCAAGGCTAATGCTGTTAATTATAGCCAGGTATGCTTATAATTGTTTTCTGCATTTTCTACTTTTGATATTATTTCTAATACATTCTACTATTCTCTACATTTCTCTAAAATAGTGTGTGTGTCCTGTAAATTATATCATTCTAAGATGTTGCTTCCAAAGCTGAAGATTAAGTCACACAAGTCTCATTGAAGTCTGTCCTCATACAGGGCTTGCAACATTGCCTTCCCTCTGCTGAGTGTCCTTAAAGTATTTAGATATTTTAAAATAAATCCTTGCATAAAGCTGTTTAAAAATTATTATTATCACGCACCATTCAGGTAATGTTTTATTGAAATAGATGGGAGCCCAAGGCATATAAATATTTTCTAAACTTTTACAAGCACCCTTCTGTGCTTTATAGGTTTCAAAACTGGTGTTGCAGGCCCTGTGCATGTTTTAAAGGCAGCGAGACTTGCAGCACAATTTATGGGTGGGAGCAGGAGTCGTGCACAAAAAAATTCATGGTATTGCAGCACAGAGATGGCAGGAACTCTGTGTTTCTTTACTGGTGAGTGGCAGAGCATTCAGCATATGTGGGGCATTTTTCTATCTTTTCAGAAAATGTATAAAGGAGCTTGGGATGAGTTGAAGTCGAGCTACGATTTGAGAGCAGACGCAATCCCCATCAAGACAGCCAAGGCTTCCAGGGAGATTGCCAGTGATGTAAGTGCCAAGAGACATCTGGATCTTCACATGCTCTAAGAACTATTCGTGATAACTGTTATAATGGTGACCTGTGCTCTGTCCCCAGTACAAATACAAACTGGAGCACGAGAAGCAGAAGGGACATTACGTTGGAGTTCCGAACGCCAAAGGAGACTCGAAAATCCAGTTTGCCCTTGATGTAGCCAAAGTTCAGAGCGAACGAGAGTACAAGAAGTACTTTGCCAAGCTGAGGACCCAGTGCCACCTCCCAGTGGACATGATGTCCATCGTGGCAGCCAAGCACGGGCAGACTCTGGTCAGCGACGCCGATTACCGGACGTACCTGCACCAGTGGATCTGCCTCCCAGACCAGAACGATGTCATCCACGCCAGGCAGGCCTACGACCTCCAGAGTGATGTAAGATACCATGAAAACATCCCTTAATGCAGTAATAAGCTGTCTCTTCTTTTTTTGCTCCAGCAATAAATAGTGGGAATCTGCTGAACTCAGAGAATTGGCTTTGCTCTCTGTTAGGAGTACAAAATATATACCACTTATGTTTTGCCAAGTTTAAAGGGTGATAAATTCAGATATAGTGCTCATGTTGGAATTATTGCTCTCCTTTTAGCCACTGGAAGTAAGAGCCATTATTTATGGATCTTGCTGGAGCTGTAGCTAACAGCAGGGACCCTATTTTGTTTTCCCAGGCTGTTTATAAAGCTGATTTGGAATGGCTGCGGGGCATTGGATGGCTGCCAAATGATTCCCTTGGAGTCAAGCACGTCAAATATGCTGGAGATCTCTTGAGTGAGGTAACAAAATGGCTTTCAATACTACAATTTTCTTCAGGGTATTAGTCATCCAAAGCATTTTAAATGGTTAAATACATCGGTTTGTTTCTAATGAAAAAGGCAACTGCAGTATTGGCACAACATTCATTGTGCCTGGAGAGTTTTTCTTCCATGTAAACCTCCTTGTCTTGAGTCTGTATTCAGAATTGCTGTGTTAGCCAGGGAATATTCCAGGGGGATCTGACTGTTCTTTCCTTTCTTTCCTCTTGCACAGAGAAAGTACCGCACAAAGGCTGAAACTCTTCCCTTCACCGCGGTGGCCGACAGGGTTGATTATGTCACAGCGAAGAACAGTGGGGAGATTCTCAGTGATGTGAGTTTGCTCCCAGGGGTCTGGGCTACATTTGACTTCTAGGACTCCGTACTTAATGTGTTTTGTCTAATAATCCTGCAAATTCAGGGCTTTGTGCAGTATTTCATGCATAAATTATGTGTTTTCCCAAGTCTGTGGTGGTGCTACAAGGCAGTTGTTTCTTTCTCTGTTCTAGATTAAATACCACAAAGACTGGAATGAGGCCAAGTCCAATTATACCCTGACAGATACACCACAGCTGGATATGGCTCGGGAGGCAGCCAGGATTCTAAATCAGGTACATGATCCCTCCTTGACAGTTTCCACTCACATTAATAACTCTTTTAAGGTATTTAGAAAATCTGCTTTATTAAGAACAACCCAAAGGAAGGATTTGTTATTGTTATACTTTAATACAGGTCACATATATAGAATGGTTTGGGTTGGAAAGGACCTTAAAGCTCATCTTGTTCCACCCCCTGCCATGGGCAAGGACACATTCCAATAGACCAGGTTGCTCCAAGCTCCGTCCCACCTGGCCTAGAAATACATATATATCTATATATCTATATCTATCTATATATATATATATATATACACACACAGTGATAGTTATCAATATAGTGGTGTTGAATTCCTCTTCACTTTTATTTTCCACAGAATTTATATAAGGAAAGCTGGGAGAAAGAAAAAGCCACTGGGTACCTGTTACCTCCTGACACGGTGCAGATCTCTCATGCCAAGCACTCGAGCGATGTCCAGAGTGAGGTAATGATTTTTCTCCTTAGGAAAACAAGTGCTTGGAAGCCTGAAATGTTAAAGGCCTTGGGAATACAACAACAGACTTGGAAAGCTTTCAATTTGGGGTAACATCCAGACTTTTCATGAGCCACTGTCCTCCAAGGAATTCAGCCATCTTGGTCATAATGGGTTTTGGTGCTGTCAATGTGGAAGGTCAGACTGACCCTTCCACATTCACTCTCTCCAGAAACAGTCCTTTCAAAATCAACTGAGGTGGACTTTCATATTTTATAAATGTTAAATAATTGAAGTGATATTAGGATTCTAATATATGGCTCTGATTTCACTTTTTTGGCATATTGTGGAGGCTTCCTCCTTGAAAACCTGTAAGCAGGTACACACTTTACATTTTCAACTTGTGCATAATGGATATTAAAATTATTACATATTCTTTTTTGGAATATACATTTTATCAAAACAGTGTGATGTAAATACCTTAAATAAACATCCACTCTTTAGAGAGTCTCAAATAATTCGTTACAGAGAGACTAAATGCACTTATTAGCAAACATTTCCTCTTGTGTTGACAATACTGATTACTGAAAATTGGTAGGATTTCAGTCTAGAAAATGCTATATTTTGAAGTGGGAGGCCTATAAATAGTAATATTACTGTATGCCTCATATTTTTATCTGGTCATGTACTGAAAACCTAAGGTTGCACTGGACAACTCTCTGTCTCATCTACTCTTTGTGTAGCTGTTCAGCTGTAGACTGGGCATGATCAGCCATGATTTATCCCTTTTTCTCCCCTCTTCCATCAGCTGAAATACAAAGCTGAGTATGTGAAGCAGAGAGGTCACTACGTTGGCGTTGCCAAGATGAGGGATGACCCCAAGCTGGTGTGGTACGAGCACGCGGGCGAGATCCAGAACGACCGCCTGTACAAATCTGACTACAACAAAACCAAGTCCAAAATCCACATCCCTGCGGATGCCATGGCAGTTGTGGCAGCAAAGGAAGGCCAGAACTTGGTCAGTGATGTTGACTATCGCCAGCACCTGCACCAGTGGACGTGTCTTCCTGACCAGAATGATGTCATCCACGCACGGCAGGCCTACGACCTGCAGAGTGATGTGAGTGATGCTACAGACACACTGGGCCATTCCCACTTAGCACAGTGCATAATTCATCCTGAATTAAATAATTTCCTTCCTTTTCCGTTGTCTTTATGACTCAGAACGTTTACAAATCCGACTTGGAATGGCTCCGTGGCATTGGTTGGATCCCTCTGGATTCGGTGGAGCACAAGAAAGTTAAGAATGCCCAAGAACTGATAAATAAGGTAAGAGAGAATATTTCAGCAGTGGCACGGTGAGTGCTGCTTTCTCATGCCCAGTGTTTAAGGTATTATTTAATCTCTTTGCAGAAATCATACACCAAAGAAGCCCTGGATAACTTTTCCAAATACACCAGTGTGGTTGACACTCCCGACATCGTGTTGGCAAAGATGAACTCTGTCAACCAGAGTGATGTATGGACTGTTTCTTATACTAGAAACTTATATACAAGAATTAGTAGATGATTTAATTGCTTTTGCTAAATTATCCTGTGTCTAGCCCTATGTGTGTGTGTGAAAATGCTGCTTCATTAATAACGGGCTTTACTGGGATAAATAAATTTAGTAAGAAGTGATATAAATTAACAACAAAATATTCTAGCCAAAATAATTTAGCATTTTTCTGTAGAAGAATATGGCATGTGACTGATTTAGACTTTACATAGGTTTTGCTTACGGTAGTTAAAAAATTGAGTCTTGTTCTCAGGATATACATAAGAGAAAATTAATGTCTATTTCCAGTAGTTGGACTAGTTGGAATGATGTATTTCTCCCGTGGATTTGCCACTGTGTTTGTTTTCTTTTTGTAGCTAAAATACAAAGAAACCTTTAACCTTGAGAAAGGCCAATACATCGGGTCTGACGATACTCCTGCGCTGCACCACGCCAAGGACATGTCCTTACTCCACAGTGAGGTAGGATCCCAAAAATATCCACCTCATCCCTGATTTCTTTGTTTGGAAAGCGGCAGAATGTGGAGTGGACTTCAGGAAACTGTTCTACTCCTGTTTCTGTCAGAGATCCACTGGGTGGCACTGGGAAAGTTATTTAATTTCCAGGTTTGGATCACTGGAATCAGGATAATTTCTTTCCTTTTTGAACTGATCTTAAAGCACAGCTGGGTGGTGTTTGGAAGTAGAAGTAGTAGTAGAGTAGTAGAGTTTGTGTGACAAAACCAATTTATAATTCCATCCAATGATGTCTTCCTTGGCTACTGATGAAATTCACAGTTATTTTTTTATAAGAAAGGAAAATTGTAGATTACTTACATTATTAAACAGTTACTTCTGAGTAGTTTCACTGATTTTAATGGGAAACCTCTGGTTTTTGAAAATATAAATGACCACTCATTCATACAAGTAGACACTTCATAATTCAGTCTGAAGGTAAATATATTTAATATTTAACATAATAAGATACATTAGAAAAGTGTCACTGACACAGTTAATGTTTCTATAATAAACACCAATATTACTTACAGATTTTTCACAATTTTGATCACGTATCTATAAAATTATCAATCTGAATTCTATACTGCATTTTAAACAAGAGTTCATATCTACATTTTGGATATTTTTGTTACTCTTCTGGATAGAAATATAATAAAGAAAGCAGAAATCAGCTCACATTTGTGCTCAGGTACCTTCCTGGCGTGGAACACTTACTGTGCTTGCCTTACACTGAATAAATGTTCAAAATAAACGTTAATTTACTTTCTTGGGAACCACTTGGTAAAAATAATCACATTCCATGTATGTTTCTTGGAAGGTATAATTGATTTTTTTTAACAAAACCTGTATGTGCTTTGTCTAGAAACTTTATAAAAAGGCTTGGGAGCTCAGCAAGCCCATTGGATACACTCTGGATGAGAAGTACGTGCCTCTCGTTGGAGCCAAACACGCAAACGATATCAACAGTGAGGTCAGGAATTCTCCATCCTTTCCCTTTTTTTCCCCATCTTTCTGTTAGAATGAACATTAAAACTCCCTTGTGAATATTTTGCAGCGTAAATATAAGGAAATATATGAGAAGCTGAAAGGCCATTACCTGGCTGGGAAGGAAATTGGGGATTTCCCTGCTGTCGTTCACTCGCTGGAATTCCAGAAAATGAGGAGCGCGGTAAGGAGAGAATTATCTCAGCAGATCATCTTCCACTGTCTTTATTTCCCTATTTATTTCACTAATGAAATTCACTGTTTCATTATTCAAACATAAATCCTGCAATGCTTCATAGAATTATAAAATCACAGGGTCATTAAGGTTGGAAAAGACCTCCGAGGTCAAGTTGGACTCATCGAGTCCAACCTCAACATCAATCCACAATAACATCAGTCAAAGTGATTCCAACAAGTTTGTGTTTCCTGGCTGGTTATTTTATATGTGGGTTAAATAATTGAAGTTGAAATGATTTAGGAGATTAAGGAGGGATTTGTTTAGTTATTAGACAATAATAATAACTAAATATAATTAGACAAGAATAGGAAAGGCAGAATAGAATAGGAAATGAAAGACATAGAAAGACATGGAATGGGAAAAAAATAAAGACATAGAATAGGAAGAAAAGAAAGACACAGAATAAGAAGAAAGACATAGAATAGGAAAAAAAAGATTTCTGTTTCAGTTTAAGAGTATGAGGAGTGAGAAATTGGGATTCTTTTGCTTTACAAATAAAAGTGCAGATTTTGAGTTGAAATAGGAATTTAAGAACTGGAAAAGTAAGTGCACACGTGGTGTTTTGCTGTTATCACCACTGCACATACAGCAAGTTGTGCAGAGCATAAAATCACTGTAATCCCAAATATTCTGTCTTTAATTAGATGAAAACCATGTTTGTAGCATAGGACTTCTTAAATCTTGAAGTCTTATTAATTTTCTCACCAGCTGTTAAAACTGCAAGTGAAGAAGGTCATTCTTGTCCTTCCAGAACCTCATCAGAATAAATGGTGATTACATCAAAGTTAAGATTTCTTGCTGCTGAATCCCACGGGAGTTTAGCTGCTGTATCCAGAAATCATGTCTTGGATTATGCTGTGGCCTATTAGTCAAAGTTATGCAGAAAATCATTCTTATTTCCTCTCCCCCTTTCCCCAATCTTTCCTTTTTAGTTGGCCTACAGAAAGAATTATGAACACACCAAGAAAAATGTCCATATTCCAAGTGACATGATGAACCACGTGCTGGCCAAGAAGTGCCAGCAAATCCTCAGTGACCTGGAATACCGAAGTTACTTCCATCAGTGGAATTGTTCCCCTGAAGAAAATGATGTTATTCACGCCAGAAAAGCCCAGGAAATCCTGAGTGATGTATGTTTATCATTTCTGTAAAAATCATAGAATATCCTGAGCTGGAAGGGACCCACAAGGATCATCCAGTCCAACTCCTGGCCTTGCACAGGACACCCCAAAAATCCCACCCTGTCCCTGAGAGTGTTGTCCAAACACTTCTTGAACTTATTTGACATTATAGTGGTACTTTAAATGTAATTTTTTCCAAGGTGTTTAAATATAAAATACTTTCAAATATCTTCCGTAGTATTTAAATATTAAATTAATAACTGTGGCTTTAGATTCTTAGAAGCACAGTAGCAATCACTGCAGTGATCCTTGTGTATTATAATTGGGAATGCTGTAATTAGCACAGGGGCCAGGACAGAATCCACAATCCTGGATCCAGTGGGTCTGGAAAAGACTTCTCCTTGTTCATTTGGTGTTGTGTGAGCTGAGGGAATGGTCTCTGAGCCCATAACATGTTCTCATATTCCATGGTCAGCAGTGTCCCAGCTTGGGCTAATCCACTTCCCTAAGGAAATCTGATGGTGTGTTTATTGCCTGGCCTATTACTATGCAGAATTCTTTGGTTTAATTCCCCTTGCAAATCCTGTGGGTAAAAATCCTTCAGCAGACCATGAGATGGTCTCTGTGCTCACATTTAAACTTCCAGATGGATTGGAATTCCTGAGGGATCCTGCTTCAGTGTCATTGGTGGCCTTCTGCTTTGGATTTGCACGAGTCAAAGGCACTGAATAGAGAAGAAACAAATGCTGTCTTTTTATCAGAGAATCCCAGACTGGTTGGGGTTGGAAGGGACCTCTGGAGATCATCCAATCCAACCCAGGTTCACCCAGGATCATGACCAGTTGGGATTCAAATGTCTCCAGAGAAGGAGTCTCCACATCCTCTCTGGGCAGCCTGTCCCAGTGCTCCCTCACCCTGAACAATATTCTCAGGAATAATATTAGTTTTCTCCTTTGTTTTCTCCAAGCAGAAGGCAGATTTCTTCCTAACTTAATGTTCTTCTTACATCCATGTAGGCAGTGTATAAAGATGACTTGAACTGGCTCAAGGGAATTGGATGTTATGTCTGGGATACTCCACAAATCATACAGGCTAAGAAGTCCTATGACCTCCAGAGTCAAGTAAGTTTGTTTGCCTTGAATAAGTTAAATATAATAATAATAATAATATACTTGTTAAATAATAATAATAATAAATATTTATAAGACTTGTTTTCTTATGATTCACTGGGATTGACACCTGTTCTAGTCCAGAGCAGAAAGAAATAATTCCAATTACATCAAAAATATTTTGTTAAATCTGTGATAATGCAGCTTTTGAGTTTTGTCTGTAGAGACATCACTTCTAACATTGAAGGAGCAGGAGACTCAGGAGAATGGAGGGACAGCAAGGTTGTGGTTTTTATCAGTGAGAAGATACAACTTTTTTATTTCTGTATGGGCAAGATACCTCAGGGAGATATTTCTGTTGGGAAAATAGTGTTTCCTGCCTTGCTGGTTGTGCTCTTAACCCACCAGCAATGTATAATTTTCACTATTCCTCAGTTCAGACTGGCTTTATATTAAGTATTTCTATTTTATGACCTGTCAGTTTTAGAATTGGTCTTAACTGAGCTGTAATCCTGGGCTTCAGAACTGCTTTTAAAGGAAGCTGGCAGGGAATTCCCAGGTTGTTTTCGGCATTAATGAGTTTTTTGTTTGTTTGGTTTTTTTCCCCTTAGATAAAATACACATCTGCAGGAAAGGAGAACTTCCAGAACTTCAGTGTGGTCACAGACACCCCCGTCTATGTGACTGCTCTGCAGAGTGCTTTCAACGCCAGCGACGTGAGAACCCCCCCTTCTCCCACTCCCCATCTCCCTTCCAAGAACTGAAATAATTACCTACATCTGGCTTTCATTTCCAGGTGAAATACAAGGAAGAATTCCATAAAACTAAGGACAAGTACACGCCTGTGGCTGAAACAGTGGAGTCTGAAAGAGTTCAGAATTTGAAACATCTTTATAGCAATGTAAGTGTTTCTAAACGTCCTTTTTCCTCTTAAGGTGCCACTTTTATTTTGTTTGTTTGTTGGTTCCCTCTGTCTGAAGATAAATATCCAAACAAGGAGCTTCTCAAAGCCAGTGATAACCCACTTGACTGTGGAGAAGATGTTTTATTTCAGGCAGAGGGTTTATTTTCTAACTATAATTCTAGTCTTGTCAAAATATGTGCATTAGTAAGTGGATTCCCTGAATCAAATCACACCTGAACAAAATCAAAACCTTGTAGGAGAACAAACATGAATAGTTAGAAAGCATTTGATCACCCTTTATGTGCCCTGTCAAGATTGAACTTGATATTAAGGGAGAGTTACAGGATCTGAATAAAACCAAAAGGACTTTTGATTCCCACTGAGGTTTCTGCTGATTTCTCTTGGTTGTTGGTTATTGCTTAGGAAAAGAAATTTGCCCCTCACACAGACTTTCTATTTGCCCACAGAATCTCTACAGGAAAGCCTGGGACAAAGTGAAGGCCACTGCATATGCCATACCCTCGGATTCCGTAGCCCTGGCACGTGCCAAGGAGCTGAAGCACAATGCCAGCATTGTAAGTGAATTAAATGCTTTATTTTTTATCAGATCATCAGTTATAACAATGAAATCCTTCAGGCCTTGCATATACTACAGGTATAAAAACCTTTTTAAAGATTTCATTTATTTTCTCTTTTTAATTGAGATCTAATATGTATCTGTAGATAATTAGTTTTCTGTGATAATCATTTGGATAATTGTCCTTTGTGGCTTCTTGTCACGAAACAAAAAAGTCACATTTTATAGTAATCAAAACTATCTCTTGGAAATGTCTGGTTAGGAGTTTTTTAGTCTGAATTTCATGAGCATCCAGGTCAGGAAAACGCCCAAAAAACTTTAAATAATACTTTACTAAGTATAGAAGAACATCTTATGCTTTACTGAACTGGGGATTATGAGATCACTCCATGGATCTCTTTAAATGAAAGAACTGGAACAATAATAAATAAATGCCTTATTCTACATCAATTTACTTTAAAAATCTTTGAGTCAGCTGTTATTTTTACAAACATGATGGTTATGATGTGCTTCCTTTGCCATTTAAGACAAAACAGAAAACTCAGATTGTGCTTTAGAGCCTTTCTCTGCTTCTTGGACTCAACTAAATATTTTGTTACTGATGACTTTTGTTCCAAAATTACAGTTGACTCGTTGCAGTCAGTTATTTGTTGCATTTCTTTGCTCCTGCTCAGGTCAAATACCGTGAGGAATATGACAAGTTCAAAGCACTGTACACAATTCCCAAGGGGGTGGAGGATGATCCCAACACAGAACGGTGCCTCAGGGTCGGGAAGCTCAACATTGATGTAAGTGTTGGCTTTGGGTGTGTGTTCTGATAAATCCATGCTTACCTCAGAAGAGGCTACTCAAAGAACCCACATTGATCCAGGTGTCCCATTCCACGTGTGTTTGGCAGTGGAATTGCTAAATTCTGGAATACACCTACAAATTTAAGCTTTTGACTCAAATGTTACTTTGCTTGCACAGCCAAACCTGTGCAAGTGAAAGTGAAACTACACATTCTGCCTCCTTTTAACTCACCAGCACAATGAAAATTGCCCAAATCTTATTTTATCACCCTTGATAAGGTTCTGCAAATTATTTTTAGAGCAGGCAGGGTGTAGATTTTACCACAGCAATGATTTTCTTCAACTTTCCCAACAGTTTATGCTCAGAATCATTAATAATTCTGCTCTAACCCCGCAGAGACTGTACAAAGAGGCCTATGAGAAGACTAAAGCCAAGGTGCACATCGTCCCAGACATGATGGACATCATTGCTGCCAAGGATGCCCAGAAGAAGATCAGCGAGGTCGAGTACCGCACCCACCTCCACGAGTGGCTGTGCCTCCCGGACCTGCAGGTCAACACCCACGTCCGCATGGTCACCGACCAAGTCAGTGATGTGAGTTCACAAACCTCACCCTCCTGGCTCACCTTGCAAAAGATTCTTGGGTTTCTGCTCTGCTGGAAGAAATGATTGGGCAAAAGTTCAGTTGGAGCGCTCTGAAGCGGCCCCTCGACCCCGTTGTGTTGGTTTTGGAACACTTGGCAATAAATGTGTAGTTGAGATGAGGCTTAGGTGCATTGAATCATAGAATCCCAGAATTGTCTGGGTTGGAAGGACCTTAAACCCCTCCATTCCCACCCCCTGCCATGGGCAGGACCTTCCACTAGACCCTGTTGCTGCAACCTGGCCATGAACACTTCCAGGGATGTGGAGTCCACAACCTCTCTGGGCAATAATTCCAATAATTTCAGCATTATCACTGTAGGCATTGGGTCATGGCATTACAGTTCTACCAGCTCAGCCATCCCTGTCTGTAAATTGTCCTTTGTTTGGTTGAATATGGTGTGGAAACTTTGGAAGTCTGAGAAATTTTTGTGAAGCTTCTACACACTGGTCAGTCCAGGAGCAGGCCTGGGGTCTGTCAGTAAATCAGTGCCCAGCAGGATATGCAGGTAGTTTTTTTTTTAAAAATATTTGGATTTTTAATTTATTGGCCAAATTAAAGCAATGAAGAAACATTATTTAAATTCCAAAAGGAATTGTTTTGGTTTTTTTCAAACAAAAAAGTCAAAGTACAAGAAACCTTAGCTGGCAGTTGTGTTTCAGACTAGCAATAAGGGACTAGATCCCAGTGGAATTCTTACAGATTTTCTCTGCTTTGACACTTTAGGTGATCTACAAGGATGATCTGAACTGGCTGAAAGGCATTGGCTGCTTTGTTTGGGACACCCCAGAAATCCTCCATGCCAAGCAGGCCTATGATCTCCGCAGCGATGTGAGTCAATACACTGATTTTGCTTCTTAGAAGGTCTTTATCACTCCATTGTGGCTTTATTCTACTTCAGATGCAATCTGGAAAATGTTATATATCCTTCTCTACTAAAGTATTCATTAAATAACCAGCCATAATTTCAATATACTTTCTGTTTCAATGCTGGTTCACTAATAGAATAGTTCAGTAATAAATAATGAACATAATAATAAAATAAATTCAATTACTAATGGTTACATTTACTAATTGGAGCTCTTGCATTTCTCTCTGCAGATTAAGTACAAATCTAAGGCAGAAAAGATGAAGAGTGACTTCACTGTGGTCACAGACACCCCTGTCTATGTCCAGAATGTCCTCAGTGCCTTGAATTTAAGTGAAGTAAGTGTTTGTGCCACCTCCCACCCCAATATTCCATATGCCACTACCTCACAAGTACTGAAAATGTGACTTTTAATATATATATTTTTAATAATTTAATTTTAATCAATCATTGCTGGTTATCTGCAGCTCACTGCAGACACAATCACTAAAATCCTTAACGGCCTGAAGCCAAAAAACTTCCATCCAGGTTTTATTTCTTCATGCAAACAGTGAGGAAACACCACAACTAGGATCTTTTCTCTTTCCCAGGCTGTGTATCGTGGTGATTATGTGAAGAATGTTAAAGGCAAAATGATTTCTACTGATAAAACCATCGATTTGGAGCGGGCATATAATGCAAACAAGATACAGAGTGAGGTGAGTCGGAAACTTTGGGGTCCACAGAGTTTCTCATACTAAAAAGCACATTTTTTCTATGTTAATATCTGGTTTTAGCTTTTCAGATGAAGCCACGTGTCATTGCTCTAAAATGCAAGTGGGAAAATATCCTTACTTACTTACAAGGATGTGTTTAATGCAGACATGAGGGAAATCTTTTGCCAGTTGTGGTCCAGAGGTTTCTGAGGTTGAGATTTTACCCTCAAATGTTACACACATTTGTCACAAACTCTCCCTCCCTTCTCTTGCAGAATTTGTATCGCTGGGCTGGTGTGAATGCTCTGCCCACTGGCTACAGCCTTCCCACGGATACTCCCAACTTCCAGCATGCAAAACATGTCCAGCACATTGGCAGCGATGTAAGTCCTGGATTAAATCCTTCTGCACCATGGCAGTAATCAACAGTTCCAGATAAAAAACTCTCAGCTTGGGCAATTATTATAAAAATATAAATTGTCTCAGGAACGTGAAATACCTTATTAGACGCAAGAGAAATGTAATGTAGTAAATGTAATATATGTATAAATGTAATATATTATTAATCTTGGGCTATATGATAAAGGTATTTAACTCTGATATAGCTACATCTCATTTATTTCTCCCTAAAAATCTGGCTCTTTATGCAGCACAAATTGCTCTCAGAAGTGCAGTGGAAGTAGAACCACAATCAAATTTCGATTCTCTGTTTTTTCCACTTTATAGCTGAAATATAAAGAAGCCTATGAACACATGAAAGCCAAAGGTTATACTCTGGGGCCTAAAGATGTTGGCTTTGAAACTGCAAGGAAAGTGAATCAAGTCATTAATGAGGTACAGTAAATATTTGTATTTGCTTTCAGTTGTGTTTGTAGGGCCCAAAATATGAATGGGGGAAGTACATTGACTGGGAAGTTGTTCTTTGAGGCTTTTAAGAGCAATTTAGATAAATATCCATCAGGAATGGCAAGGAATCATTAATACAGGGTAAAACTGTTGTCATAATATTAAATTACAGCCTAGTTTTAATGGCCAATCTGCTGCTGTGTTAAAGTTGAATAGAAATTGTTATTATCTGTATTAATAATTTCTTTGGGTCTCAATAGTTTTAGTTTTTGTATGTATTTACTCACTCCTTTGATCATTGGCTTTAATAGGATGAAAATTAAATATACATATTTACATGTTTTTAGGATTAGAACCTGAGATTCTCCATGACTTATTTACTTTATAAAGATTAAAGGTGCTGCTGTTGAAAACAGTTGTGGAAAATCTTTGCCTGGTTAGAAAACAGCGTGTTTGTGTCAGAAGCGCTTCCACTGTGCCAAACTGCTTTGCTGTTTCAACGTTATAAAATGTGCTAAAACGCTTTAAACTGTGCTAAAATGTTTTAAAACGTGTTAAAATGTAGGATGTTGTCTCTTCTGTCACAGAGGCTCTACAGGGCAACGTACCACAAGACCAAGGACAAGATCCACACCACTCCAGACACCCCCGAAATCCGGCAGGTCCGAGCGACCCAGGAAGCTGTCAGTGATGTAGGTGCCTTCCCAACAGAACCAGCAGAAAGAATTTAGATTATCCAGTGACCAAACGTGTGAAATGCTGTTTTTCTTTTTGTCTTTCAGCTGATCTACAAGTCAGATTTCTTCAAGATGCAGGGCCACCTGATCTCCCTGCCTTACACCCCCCACGTGCTGCACTGTCGCTACGTTGGGGACATCACCAGTGACGTGAGTGCCTCCTGCTCAGGTGTTGGAAAAGCACTTATAAAAAGTGTTTTACACTTAAAGTGGTATTTTCCTTCTCTCATTTCCATTCTATTCTGTACTAAATAACTGTTTTGTCACTGTGTTTAGGGGCTGGTTAATGAAATTGTCCCCAAAGCTGATTGTTGATTTTTCTTTCTCTCACAGAATAAGTACAAGGAGGATCTGAGGTGGTTGAAGGGCCTGGGTTGTTTCCTGTATGACACTCCTGACATGGTCCGTGCTCGTGAGCTCAAAAAGCTTTGGGTAAGAGGTTTTTTTTCTTCTGGAACCCCCTATAACAACATTTGATTTATTTCTGTGCATTCAGGAAGGGAAATACTCATTACCCATGAAAATGAGCAAAGACCTGGGACAGAATTTCTTACCATGCAGCCAATCAGTTGTTTCAAAGCACTGCCAGCTTACACTAAAAATTTCCTTGACACTGTAAAATATCCTTTCCCACCAGGAATAATAAAAGCTGCCTAAATAAAACTGCTTTTCCTTTCCAGTCTAATTACATATACACTGGTACTGCAAAGAAGATGTGGGCCAAATTCAACGTGGTGTTGGATACTCCTGGATACAGAGCAGTTCAGGAGCTAAAAACCCATTTGAGTGAAGTAAGTTCTATGTAATTTTTGCACAAATTCACAGCTATAATTAACCTCTCCCTGGTTTGTTTTTTTTTTTTCCTGAAATGGATGAAATGTTTTAATTGCAAAGCTGTTAAATGAACATGTGTAACAGAAGAAATAATTCATGGCCTGTCTTTTTTTCCAGCTGGTTTACAGAGCTGCAGGCAACGAGCTGAAGACAAAATACACTTCCATCCTGGACACACCTGACTTGATAAGAGCCAAGGAAGGACAAAAAATACAGAGCCAGGTGAAAAACTTGTATTAATGAAAAAATAATCAGGGGGTCCCTCTTAGCAAAATCATTCCAGGCCATTTCAAATCAATGTAGAAAATTGTGTGGTTATGTCTATGTTTTGAATTTACAGATGTTTTTTAGAGTTAAAAAGTAGAATTCACTTGCAATGGTTATTTTTTAAAATTATTTTCTCCTTGCTGCAGTACTTGTACGTGGAACTTGCCACAAAAGAGAGGCCCCACCATCATGCTGATAATCAGACTCAAGCCTTTACACATGCCAGGCAAGTCAAGGACATGATCAGTGAGGTAAGATACTGCTTTTTTGATTTGGTACCACTGTGCTGAACTCTTTAAAAGTTTTATTTCTAATTTTAGTAGTAATTTCAAGGCTCAAGTCCATTTTCCCTACATTTCAGTTTTTTCTCTTTGCTTAAGTTCCCTGTTTCCTTTGTAAGCTCTAATAAAATAAACCACTTTCAAAATATGTTTCTGTGTTTTGTAAGATACCTGTTTCTAAGTGCTTGTTTGCAGATTGGCAAAGATTGAAATTATAACTCTTCCCTTTTGCTGTGTCTCTTAGAAAAAGTATAAAACCCAGTATGAGAAGATGAAGCACAAATACACCCCCATCCCTGACACCCCAGTGCTGATCAGAGCCAAGAGGGCCTATCTGAATGCCAGTGATGTGAGTACTCCAGGAGCACCTGCACTGCTGCTTTTCCTTGGATTCTTTCCACAAAACCCACGAAATAATCAATAGGGAGCAAGAATTCAAAGCATAGACTATCCCAGTGTAGGTCATGAATGAGATCACTCCATTTGCATGTCCATTTCCATTTGAGATTTTGGAGATTATTAAATTTTGACTTGATGTCACTGTAATTTTTTTTTCAATTGTTATAATTCATTTTCATTTCCCACTGCACTGAACAAAGGAAAAATAGATTTAGACTGATTTGCTTACACATCAAGTCTCCAAATAGTGCAGACTGGAGTGAGATGATTGATGCTGGAACCAGGATGGAATACCTTTTATCAGCTTTTTTCATCTCTTTCTGTGTTAGAAGTAAACTGCCCTGTCACTGAGAATGTGTTGATTTTTTAATTCAAGAGTGGATTAGAGGTAAAAATTATGAGCTGCTGCATTAAGGTGAAATTGATATTTATTCCTTCAAGCACGGAACAGTTATTTGGGATTCAAGGCAATCGGCAGAGCATCATTTGGGAGATCTTTCCTATGTATTTCACAACCAGCAGGATATGAAAGGACATATGAAAGGCTGGGGTTTTTTCTAGGGTTTAATTAGTTTTAGTGCTTTTAAAATAATTTAAAGTGATTTTAAAATTATTTAAAGGAGCATCCCATCTCAGTTTCTCCTCTGAGAAAGCCTTTCAGCACAGGGATGATCTTCCTGCTTTGTTCTAGATCAGGACATGGAAGAAAGGATGAGCAGTTTTTAATGCCAGAAGTGGCACTTGTGTCCACAAGGACCTTTTTTTTCCAGTCTGAAAGTGAACTGGGTGAAATTCTATCAAATTTCCACCATCATAAGTTTCAGTCAAATTCCAATTAATTGTAGGTAGCTGCAGCTTCCTCAAATCCCTCAGGGCTCACACGAGGGTGTTGGATGGCAACACATCCCTGGATGTCACTCCTGAGAGTTAAGAACTTTAACTAAAACAGTTCCTGGCAGGTGAATATGTTGTTTTGTGTGTCATTTTTGTGCCCAGCTGCGCTACAAAGAGACCTTTGAGAACACCAAGGGCAAGTACCACACGGTGAAGGACGCCCTGGACATCATCTACCATCGCAAGGTCACCGATGACATCAGCACTGTATGTACAGCAGTTCTGTTCCCAACCACTGTCTGTCACTTAATAACCTACAATATGCTGTTGTTCCATTGAAGTGTGTGAAATAATTAGAAAAAATTAGATTATTTCCTTCTCTGGAATATTAGATTTCATTGCATTTGACGTTACAAAGGTGAATCTCGTTTCCGTTCTTGGTTCCGGTGTTTCAGAAAAATACACGGAACTGTGTGGTCTGAAGTGTTCTTGTAAATTGTTTTACTTAATTCTTCGATGTTCTTTGTAGATCAAATATAAGGAGAATTATATGAGCCAGCTGGGAATCTGGAGATCCATCCCAGACCGTCCGGAGCATTTCCATCATCGCCTGGTCACGGATGCCATCAGTGATGTGAGTTCAGAGAGTTCATGGAAAAGTTATAAGTAGGTTTCCAAAATGAAACCAAAGCCTTCTTTCTAAAGAAAGGGAAGGCAGGTGAAATTTTTTCAGTGATTTACACTTTCTCCTGGTAGATCTGTGAAATGACAGAGTGATTCCAATGGCTAAAATTGCAGCTCATCTCCTTTTCAAATTAACAGAGCAATCCTAATTCATTTCAGTTGCATTTGTCTGTTAACCCTGTAACAACCTGTAATTATACACATCAGTAATTATACAATGACCCTTTAATTGTCCAAGAATAAATATTTTTAATTCAGACAGGGACTCCAATAGTTAATGATAGATTAGGTGTGTGAGAAATCGAGTCCATCCAAAAAGCCTGACTAACTGATTTATTTTATAATGGAATAATAATGGATGGAATTGTTTGCCACACCTTGAGGTGTCCTTTCAGCACTGATAATCTCCTTTAAACTGCATCCTTTCACTTCTTTTCTAAAGGTTAAATACAAGGAAGACTTGGAATGGCTCAAGGGCACTGGGTGTTATGTGTGGGATACTCCAGCTTTTGTCCTGGCAGAACAGAATAAAGTGCTCTACAGTGGGGTGAGTAAAACAGTCTGAGATGTTGCTGAGTGTCTTTTTGACATTTGCTGTACATTTACAACCATTTGTTTGTAGAAAACTTCAACACACGTGTGCAATAATTCCACCACAGTTTGTCTCTAAAATCCTGTTTTCATTGCCTGGCCATTCTTTAGATTAAAATGGGGATTTTTGTTGTGTGTTTGGTTCTGCTTTTCTCCAGTGCAAGTACAAGGAGTCGTTTGAGAAGACCAAGTCCCAGTTTAAGTACGTGGCTGACTCTCCAATTAACGAGCATTTCAGATATGCAACTCAGCTGATGGATGGGGTAAGTGCTGAAGGCTCCTCTGGACTCTCCTACTCAAGTAGTAAAGTCTGTATGTAAATACAGAGCTGAAGGTGGATCTGCCTTATATTCAGGCTTAAAGATGCCTTAAGATCAGGCCAAAATCATGGAAGACAAGGTTGTTCTTCTTGTCTGAGTATTAGTTTTTTACAGAACCTAGAAAGTGAAATCCCCACCCCATCCCATTAATTTATCTCATTGCAAAGGAACTTTTCCTTTGCTGACTGGGAAATAATTGATAACTTAAATAATGCTGCTTGTGGAGTAACACTGGTGATTTCCATCTAAGAAAGGTATGGAGAGAAATCCAATTGCTTTCCTAAAGCATTGGAAAAAAGATTGTTAGGAAGACAGTCTTATGCCTGAAGTTACCAAAGCTCGTTTCATTCCAGATATTTTGCCTTGAGTTTTTTCCACTCTGCTACTCACTTTTTATCTTATTTTTCACCTCTAGTGCTAAACAAACAATATCCACACCTTCTAGTACAGGGGGTTAATGAACCCCCTGGGGATTAAGGTTAAAATCACCTCTGAAATTTATAGGATTAGTTCTCTACACCCACAGGACAAAGCCTGTGGAGAAACACCATGTTCTGGGTGATTCCCGTCAGCTCAGAGTTGGAATATCACACACAGCTCTGATGCTTTTCATTGAAGAAGCAGATATTTAGATTCCCATTTTGGTATTTCATTATTTTTCACCAGCTATTGCAATAAATTGTTTACCTCTCTGTCGATTTATTATAGTTTTACCTTTTTAGGTAAGAAAAACTGTTCACAACAAATACAATTCCAGTTCTGTTGCTATAATTTTTATACTCAATTTGATAAACAATGAACCAGAATTTCTTATGGGTGATTGTTAGTATTCAGTTCTTATTGTTCAGTAGAGCAAATAAGGAAAAATTTAATATCAGAAGCATAAATGAGTAAAATTTTAGCAATGGAGCTTCATACATTGGAATGAACTTGCCTGAATGTCTTCTGTTATATAAGTGATAAGTTTTTAATAAGGGATTATAGATTTTGCTTACAAAATGTTAAAAAAAAATTGTCTTTTACTCCCACATCTCATTGTCATCTTTTTATCCTCAGCTCAAGAATCTGTAATAGAGTTCTGCTGTTATTTTTCATGAAGAAAGTCAGTGATAAAATGTTTTTATTGGAGTGGCAGGGATATGTAGACATGCTTAAATTGTGGTTCAGGCCTTCCAGTGACAACCTAGAAATGCATGTACCTTTGGAAATACTCTCTCTCTTCTTTTTGTTTTTAATTATTTTTCTCTTTTTGGCCACGACCTCCCAGGCCAGGCTGCACTGACCCCTGTGCAGAGGTGGCAATGGTTAGAACAATGATCTCTCTGTGTTTTCACTCCCTTGTCACGCTGTGTGATGCTCTCCTGAGCAGAAATTATATAGGGCTGCCTATGAGAAGCTCAAAGATAGGTACAGCGTTATTGTGGATGATCCCAGGAATCTCCTGGCCAAGTGGGTCTCCAGGCTGAGCAGTCAGGTACTGTGGGAGCACTGGGTCACTCCCAGATCTGTGTGACACCTTCACCCCAGCAGTATCAGCTGTGATACTGCCCTGGGCGTTCGGGTCAGCGACGATCTTCGTTCTGCCACCCAAAAAGAACTGGGACTTTTTGCGTGAGCTGCTCTGTGCTTTATGTACTTTCATTGTTGTGCATCAACTCACTGCAGAACCTGAGCCCTCTTCAAGCCACTGGAGAGGTTTAAAAAATGCCTTTACTTACCAAGCATTTCTTTTTTAATACTTCTCTTTACCAAGATAATCTTCTCCTTCCTAGATAAGCAGCAGTGCCACGTTTGCCTTTTGAGTGCTCTCACCTTCAGCTACAATTTCCCCTCATCTCCCCCCAGAAATTCATGATTTCCTTTCCTTCCCTATAAAAATATTAATATATTTCCTTCCCTATGCAAATAGGAGAGGAAATATCTTTCTATATTTAATACAAATGCATTTATATATTTTTATATGAATATTTATCCATTTAATATTTATGTTGGCGATGTCTGCCCCTGACATTCCCAACCCTGCAGATGTGAGTTGTATGCACATGTCAATGAATACATACAGTACCTTGCCTACATCTCTCCACTCTCCAAGTGTCTGGGATCTAGAGCTGTGTTGTTGTTCCTGGTGTTCATGGGTCTCTCTTGTCCTTCGTTGCCATTTGCATGAACAGAAAAGCTATAAATCCTTTGCCAAGATGCTCCTGCAACATGGATGTAATGAAATTCTGAGGCCAGATATGCTGACAGCTCTCTACAACACTTACTTGTGGAGCCAGGTAATATGAAGAACTGCTCTAGGAGACGTTTAGATACAATTTCGCTGCTTGGACTTCTAATATTTCCTGCTTTCCTACGGATTTCAGACCCCAAGGATTTGCTGATGTGCTTTATGCTGGCAGTGATCAAATAGTTTTGAGACCAGAATATCACATTTACTGTCCCTGGGTCACTCAGCTCAGGCTGATCTTGTCTCCATTTTCTCCCTTCATTATAAATATAAATTGTTATATATTTCACATATTTACATAAAAAGCAATTTTTCACACATTTCAGATATAATATGTTAATATTTCCTTAGCCCAATTCTCATTCTGCCACCATTTCTTGGACTGCCCTCCTTTCATAACATGAGTTCTTAATTATGGAATTAATGATGAAGTAATTTAAAGTAGATTATAACATTTATTCCCACTCTGCCTGGAATGGTGTCAGATAGAGAACAGAGTTATTTGTGCTCTGAAATCACAGCTGCTGGCAGTGACCTTACTCCTTTTAATGATAAAAATTATTCCTGATCACAATATAAATTATAAACCTGGAAAATAATAATAACAATAATAATAATAACTATATAAATTATAAACTGGAAATTGATAATAATAAATAACTAATAAATAAGTTAAAAACTTGAAATGGAACAGTAGAAAACAATTACATGAGAGGAAGAAGGATGTTATTCTTTACTATTAGCACAGATAATATTCTTCAGTATTAAATTACTGAAGGTCTTTGCTCGGCATTTTTATTCCATTTTTCTGTGGATTTCTATTATCTCATTAAAAACTCCTTGCAGGTAATTTTGAGTATGTTTGAATTAAAAAAAAACAGTGTCTGACTGCATGTTCACTTCATGTTATCGTTGATTATTTGTTCATAAATTTTTTATATTTTGTCTGTCATGGTCCTGTTTCGAAAGCATGGGTTTGTTTTCTGATGCAGTGAAAGTTCTGTTTTAAAAATGGGTTTTTAAAAATGTTTTCAAACCCCTTCCAGCTGCCCTCAGGTTGCCTACAATGAATCCAAACTCTTGGTGAACAGCCTGCTCTCACTGAACCCTGTGAAAACAGGTTTAGAGTCCTCAGTAGGGCAAGAAAAGTGTTATCAAGACACAAATGTTGCTGCCAAAGCCTATAAAATATCCTGGCATTAGGATGTATTTGGTGGATATTTTAATCTTTGATTGTTTAAGATGTTTTTAATTTCTCCTCATTCTGATTATAAAATCATTAAGGTTGGAAAACACCCCCAAGATCATCAAGTCCAACTTTGGGCCAAATATGATGAATATTTAAAAAGGAGATGTTGTCCAGTTAGGGAATTTAAAAGTCACTGAACTGCCAAGATTGATTCTTTAGCTCCATCCTGGAGATGATAAATGAATAAAATTAATCAGACAAATTAATTACTCAGGCAGCCTCTTGGGCACAGGAGGGTTTGCAAAGCTCAGCTCCTGGTGCATGTTCAGCTTTCTTGGGCTTTGTGGGAGGGTTTTGCAAGGCCATGTTTGTAAAAAATCACATCTCTCCCAGAGGTTTTGTCCTGGTCTGGCTGTTAATTTACAATCTTTCCCCACCACCAGATTCAATACAAAAAGGACTATGAGAAGAAGAAAGACAAATACACCACAGTTTTGGATACCCCGGAGTACCTGAGGACCACCAAAGTCAACAAACAGATCAGTGATGTGAGTGTGCTTTGGGCTCATCTCCTCCTCATTCCAACCTTTGGAGTGGGATAATCACCCACAGGGAATTAATCTGCTCTCCAATGTGCCTTTTCAGATTATTTACAAGCTGGAGTACAACAAAGCCAAGCCCAAGGGCTACACCACCATCCAGGACACGCCCATGTTGCTCCACGTGCGCAAGGTCAAGGACAGGATCAGTGATGTGAGTAAATCATCCCTGGCTGGGGGTCAAAAACACACATAATTAACTTTTTACCTTGACAGCCAATGTTTTTAACTCAGGTGTAACACTCAGAAAAAAAAAATCCTTTCTTGTCAGAGCCTATTTTATTTTGTTTGCCTGTTAAACTCTATTTTCGTTTAACGCTATTTTCATTTAATTCATTTAAAACAGTTTTTCAGGAAGTGTTTTATGTAACATTCTTCTGTAACTCTTGAAACATTTTCTTTTTGTGAAATTCTACATTTTACTAGTAATTTACATTTTACTAGCAATAAAAGCCGTGAGCTGCAACTGATCTCTAAATCATGAATTGGGAAGTTTTTTCCTAGGTTTTCGTCCTCTAGTGGCCTTTTTTGAGCCCTGAATAAATTAGTTAATACTTTACTGTGTTTATCCATTTCTTCTATGGATATTGTGAATATGTAAGGTAGATATTGTAGTCTAAAATAAAGATGTGTTTTGATTCTGGGGCAGTGAAAGACTAGAAAGGAGAGAGAAAGGAAGATGGAGTAGATAGAATAATATATAGGATTTAGGAGTCCTGGTCCTAATTCCTCCTTCTACCTTAGGCTTTCTCCCTGACCTTTGTATTGTTCCTTAGATATCCATAAATAAAATGAGGATATTAACACTTCTGTAACTCAATATACTACTGTCAGAATAAGTAACCTGAATGTCATTCAGATGCTCTGTGGATTATCTACATAATTAGTGAATCCAGGAAGGAAAAATAACCATATTATCCAGATAGTAATGGGATCTCACTGGGAGACAGAGATGTTTCAAAGTGATCTGAGAACTAAAGTAAATTTTTTAAGCTCCAAATTGAATGCTGATGTTCTATAAAGTAGTTTTCAGGAAGCAAGTTTATTTAAAGTTTATTTAAAGCATTTCTTTTAACCACGTCCAGTCATTTCTTCTGTTAAGATTTTATCTTGGCAGGAGCAATTTTCCTGTTATATTTTTCGCATTTGGATGCTTTTCTTGCTGCTGCTGATTGTTACTTTTGTAACATTTGATGTGTTGGTCTTTCTGTAGCTGAAATACAAAGAAATGTATGAGAGGAGCAAATCTCGCTGCAACGTCGTGGCAGATTCGGTTCATATCAAGACTCCAAGACACGCTTACAAGCTCAACAGCAACGTGAGTTCACTTGAATTCAGGTCTTAATTTCATTAAGGAGAGGGTTTTAGACTGGCAAGAGAGGCCACGAGTTCCATTTTCAGTTCCACTGAATTTTCTCAGCTTGGTCGTCACTTCTAATTCTTACCCCGCTTGACTTCAGTATATTTTAATTTATTTTGTGCTAAAATTCTCACTCTTGCAAGTTTTCCTTGAGGAGGTGTTTGTGTGTCACAAATCTACTGTTCTTTTAGTTGTTCTCTTTCCTGACAGACACACAACTGTCCCAGGAATTCCCTGGGATGTTCTGGTAGACAAAGCAAGCACTTCATGGGAAGCTTTCCCGTGTTTTCTGGTTTTGGTGGCCCAACACCCATTTCAAGAGGAAGAACCTGAAAGCTCCCACCTTCCTCAAAGTCAGGACATCACTTCAGCCCTTCATATTCCATTTTCCACCTAAGAGTGGGAAAACTGGAATAAATAGACTCTGCATGAGTCAGAGGAAAGCCCCAATCTGACGTAGCTGCACTTTCTTCCCTCTTCTCCCTTTTTTTGGGACAGACCAAAGAGAATTTCCCTCTCTATGTCATATGTAAAGTTCACAACTTCCAATTAACTCTCTTTTGTTTGGTTTTTCCCTGCAAACAGCTGGATTATAAGAAGAAATACGAAGCAGCCAAGGCTCACTGGCACCTGATTGCTGACAGGCCTGACTTTGTGCAAGCAGCCAAGTCGTCTCTGCAGCAGAGTGATGTAAGAAAGTCAGAACAAACCAAATATTCCCTTTTCCCACATCTCTCACATCCAGAATATAAGAAATAAATTGTAGAAGGTCTGAGACTCTCTTCTCTTATCCTTTTTTTATTTTTTATTCCCTGCAGTATGAATACAAACTGGACCGGGAATTCCTGAAGGGATGCAAAATCTCTGTCACTGATGATAAAAACACAGTGTTGGCCTTAAATAATGCCATTTTAGCCAGTGATGTAAGTACTGAACTCACTTGTCCTCTCTAAGTAAGTAAAGTTCTTTATTAGAACTTTATTTATTACATTAATTGTTTTATTGGGAATATGGCTGGAATAAGAGTGAAGCTTGGAACAGTTGTTCTCAGTCTCACTCCATTATTTGAATTGACTTGCTTATTTCATTAACAAATCAACGAAATCCGAATAAATTTGGTCTTGTAAATGTCACACAATATTAAATTAATATCCAAAGTTAACGTTGCCTGAACACCCCAGACCTTCCACCCAGGTATCTCTGCATTCCTGATATTGAAATGGAAATATCTGGAGAAAACAACAAAAAATGCTGCAGCTATAAATTGGGCATGACACAAAGTATCTTTAATAATTACTATCAAGATATTAATATTCACTATATCCATAAAATTCCAAGTGAGAGCTCTAGGAATGTATAGACTAAAATGAATTTATTTTGGAATATATTAAAATATGGGATTTTCTGCTAAGTTTTGCACTAGCAAGCAGACACAACTATAATAATTACTTTTTAATCTGCCACAAGACAAGATAAACATGGCTTAAAATCAGATCTTTCCTTCCTGGTAGGTAAAATACAAAGAGAAGCACAACAAAGCCCGGGGAACGTACCATGTGGTCCCAGACACACCTCAGATCCTCTTGGCCAAGAACGTCAGCTCCCTTGTCTCTGAGGTAAAACACCAGCAGTTATTTGCTCCTTTTAGTTTCATTTAATCCTTGAATTGCTGTTTCTTACCTCTTTTTGTGCTGTGCTTTCAGAACAAGTACAAAGAACACAGCAAGAAGCAGCTTCCCCATGGCTCTTTCACGACCCTGCCCGAGACACGAGACACGGCTCACGTCAAGGAGGTGACCAAGCACGTCAGTGAGGTGAGTTCCAACTCACATCATCACCTCCAAAGAACCACCTTTGAAATCTAAACTACAGGTTGTGACCACCAAACTGGGGACCACACACTTTGGGAATGAGGAGACTCCACCTGATCCCTTCTCAGCAGTTTTGGGGGGTTATTTCCAAGTTTTAGTAGCGTTTCTCCTCTCTGTGAAATTCTCAAATCACACGTGGCCCTTTTTGCTCTTAACAGACAAACTACAAGAAGAAGTTTGTGAAGGAAAAAGGCAAATCTAATTATTCTGTCATGCTGGAGCCTCCTGAAGTGAAACATGCCATGGAAGTTGCCAAAAACCAGAGTACAGTGAGTTTGCCTTTTCTTTCCATTAATTAAGTAGGTTTTATAAGCAAATTCAATCAAAAAACCAAGTTTCTGTATTTCTGAATTTCCTCCCAGCCTCCATGGTTTGGTGTAATTTTGAAAGATTTTATTTTTCTTTTATCTGAAGGATTGTATCTTTACTTTTATCTGAAGGATTAAAGTACCAATATTTACAAATATAAAATTGCACTGAAATGAAGGATTTGCACTTGATCACATGGTAGGATTTAAAGTAATGTGATGCAAATCACATCTAATAATTGTTTCATTCTTTCAAATACAGACAGAATTTGCAATGTTTATTTCTTCATTTGTAGAAAACTTGCAAAAATAAATTCCCAAATCCCTTCCTTGTGAAATTATTTCAAAAATAAACCCATGTACTTTCTCAGCAACATTGCTGTGTCCTTCACTGGTATATCCTTATGGATAACCCTCAGGAATTTCCTTTTCTTTGCCTGTTTTCATGGATTAGATTGAATACAAGAAGGATGCCAAGTCAAAGCTCCACTACACACCAATAGCAGATCGGCCAGATATTAAGAAAGCAACTCAGGCTGCCAAGTTAATCAGTAATGTAAGTGGGGTTTAAGTCTTCTCTATAATTCTTAGGCATTAATTTTCCTACTAAACCAGTGTCAGTAGAATAATTCAAAGGGAATGCCAACTGTTATCTTTATTTTCTCTGTTAGATTGAGTACAAAAAGCGTGGAGCAGCTGGTGTGGGGGTGACCATGCTGGGACGGCCAGACATTGAACTGGCCAAGGAGGTGTCCAAACTCACCAGCCAGGTAAGGAGGAATTCATTAAAAAGTGGGGAAAACTTTGGAAACAATGAGAGAAATGAGACATAATATTAACTTATGATGTTACTATTATAACTGAAATTATTTCTAGATTAGGGGAAAAGGAAAAAAAATAAAGTAAAAATTAAATACCAGCGCGAGGTATTTCTTTGTTCGATGAACATTTCTACTGATTTACTAAATGTCATTAACAGAGGTATAAAATCTTCTTAAAATGGTGTTGTGAGAAGATTTTTTCTTTTAAAATGCTAAAGCTGAAGTGTTTGCCATGTTCTTTTTCAGCTCTTCTGGGTATTTATTGGCTTTACAAGAATCCCCCTTTGACCCAACTCTTATTACCCATCCTTTGAATGGACACTCGGTTTCTTGCAGCTGCTTTCCACTCCATGTCTTCAAAATAATCTTGTGCCAGGACCTCAGAGCTTGGTTCTTTCTCCCCCTTTCATGCCTTAATGCTGGAATTTTGCCTTTCTGACCTTGCTTTCTTGCTGCTGATTGTAGGCTGAGTACCTCAAACAACACATGAGGGGCCACGGAGCTGCATCCTATGACACCCCCTGGATGAGAACCTTTAAGAAAGCCAATATGCTCAGTAGCCATGTAAGATAATTTTAATTAAGTGGCATCAGTGCCATTGTTGTGCATCTGTCTCTTGCTTGTGTATCATCTTGCAATTCTGAAACACCACCTTGTTGAAGCGTTGTTGTGCCCTCCAAAATGGCTTTGGAGCTTCCAGGTTTCTCATGGAAGTTTCTGATGCACACACATGAAATGTGAAAACTCCTCTTTTTCACACCAAAACACCTAAAACTTGAGGTGTTATTTTCTGAAAGTGTGCAAAAAAAAAAAAGGAAATATATGTGTATGGCAAATCTGAGTGATGGTGCTGGAAATTTTCAGTGAACAGTCACTAGAACTTCATTTTAACTTTCAAACTTCTATTAAAACTTCATTTAAACTTTATTTAAACTTTATGCAAATTTTAAAGGAAATTTAAAATTCTAATTTATTTATGAATGTAAACAGCCTGTTTACACTGTGCTTGGAATTTCATAGTGGAAAAGTAGTGTGTGACTGAATCCATCCCAGAGCCTGGGAGGGCTTGGAGGACACATAATTTCTTATCCTTCTTCCCACCTCAAAACCTTTGTGAAATAAAAAAGTGAGCCTGGGTTGCAGGTGTTAAGTGGCAGCAGCAGGTCTGTGCCATTTCAGTGTTACACATATATTTCTAAGTGAAAAAAAGGGGGGATTTTGGTTTTTCCATGTCTGCTGCACATAACTGTTGCACGTTTGAGTGTCAGAAAACCAAAGATCTCTTCAGCAGAGCCAGGGATTCTTTAATTGAACCACTGAACTATAAGAAAAAGAAGAAATAAAGTTTATTCCCACTCAGTGCTGAGATCCTCCTTTTCCATGCTCTTGTCCCAGTGCTGACCAGTTCTTTGGGTCTTTTAAACATTCTTTGCTGAGATTATTTTAGTTCTGAGAGAAAATGAGCTGCTGTAGAGGCAGTGAGGGAGCAAAGAATAACTGGAATATCTTCAACTATTTTGCTTTCTCTTGGGCATCTCTTCTCATAAACTTATGTCCTTCTTTATGTCCTGTTTGTTTATCCAGTTGGATTTTTTTAGTTGGATTTTGTCTGTCTGTCATGCTTGCTTATAATTCTGCAATTTTGGGGGGTTAAAAAATTCTCGTTCCTGTCAACATTTCTCTGCTTCCAGCCTGGATCTGCTGGATTATTATGGCTCTCATTACCTGGCTGCTGCTTCTGTGGCTTGGAAGTGTTACTAAAACTCTTGTATAATCAAATTCCTGGTAATTAATTATGTCCCTGTCCTGTGTGTGATCATTGGTGTCATTCATCTCTTATTCAGCCAGAACACAGTGTTTGTATAATAACATTTCAAAAAGTATTTGATGTATTGACATCTTCAGTGCTCTTATGTCTTTTAAAGCTCTTGTTTCTCCAAGAAATATGTAAAAAGTTCTTTTAAACACTCTTATATATCGTCATATTATATCCTCATACTATATCCTCATACTATATTTTATTATATTATATTATATCCTCTTACATTATATCATCTTATATTATTATATTATATAAAATATAATATATACTTGATATATATAATTGTTTTATGTTATACTCTTATTATACCTCTCTTTCCATCTCTTTGTGAAATATCTTTAATCAATGGCCAGTTCCCATCAAGTGAAAAATTCTTCCTGTCCAAGGGCCAGGATTTGGATGTATTTTGGCACCACAATTCTCTTGGCTCTTCTATTTTTATTTTTTTTTTTTTTACACTGAGGAGATGCAGTTTTTCATTCAAGTGGTATTTTGTAAATACAGATGCAGATTTTCTTTCCATGTCAGGTTTTCTTTGATAGAACCTTTGTTCCATTGGGTGCCTTCAGATAATTACATTTCTGTTCTTCTCCCCAGCAGCCCCATTGAAGCAGAGCCTCTTTGCCTTCTGCACCAAACAAGCGAGTCCTCAAGAGCAGTTGTAACCCCTGGTTGTTTCCATTTAGGTGAAATACAAGGAGAACTTTTCCAAAGAGTTGGGTAAGAAGCCAAAGTATGACCTAAAGGAGGCCAAAATCTACAAGACCATGAAGGACGCCCACAACATGGCCAGTGAGGTACGGGGAGTGTTGTGCTTTTCCCTGAGGGGGGAAGTTCAGATTTCTTTCCCAAAAACCTCCTTGGTGTTGCTAAAACACCCCCCAGCCCAGTTTCCTGAGGTGTTTTGTCCCCCCTGACGTGCAGGTGAAGTACAAAGCTGACCTGAAGAAGCTCCACAAGCCCGTCACGGACATGTCGCAGTCGCTGCTCATGAACCACGTGCTGAGCACGAGCCAGCTCGCCAGTGCTGTAAGACCCTGAACTCACCCCTAATTCCCAATCCCACAGGGAATTCCCTCTGCTAACTCCTCCTGTAACAGCTCCTCCCCGTGTTGTTCCCATGGGACGTCACCTGGTAGTGATCTCTTCCTCCACCTCCTAATTATTAGTTCCTCGTTAACCAGCAGCTTCACCACTTCTGTCCTCTGGGAAGGGAAATCTTTCAAATCCTCTGATAATTTTTAGTGGATTGATTCTTTAATCCCACTTTAACTGGTTGCACCACACTAACAAATGCCTTTTTTTTTTCTTTACTGATTAATATATTTAAACTCTTTAATTTTTTCTGGTTTTTTTTATCTTTTCATGTTTGTTTAATATCCCCGTTATAAACCTCCATAATTATGCCTAACAAAATAATTGAGAATTTTACTGAGAAAAGGCAAAAAGCCATTGTATCTTGGTACAGCCTTTTCTTGTATCTGCTGTGTTTTCTCTTTCCTTTTTCTTTTTTTTAACGGTTTTGACAAAATCTTTGTTACAAACCAAAAAGAAAAAAATAACCCACAGCTTTAACTCCCAGTTTCCAAAATCACTTCTAAACTTCTTGCTTTTGGTTTTGCTTCTTGTATTTCTAATTTCTCTTTGATGTTCCATTGAAGTGTTGCTTTGATTGGACCTGAGAAGTAAATTTTCTGAGGGCTTTTTTTTTTTATTGAGATGATTTTTGACACCTTCCCTTCAGTACCAGTACAAGAAGCAATATGAGAAGAGTAAGGGTCACTACCATGTGGTGCCAGATAATCTTGAGCAGGTTCATCTCAGGGAGGCCTCAGAACTCCAGAGCCATGTAAGTTGGTCGTGTGTTTGTCCTTATCCCAAAAATATCCATCCCTGAAATCCTCCCAGGAAATTCTCTCCAGTCTCTAACAATCTCTCTCTGCTTTACCAGCTCTGCCCCGTGACAAATATCTGCACTTTTATAAGTAGAATATATAAAATATACAGATAAAATACCTTCATTCCACAGTCAGTCTCAGCTCCTCACCCCTGCTGTGCATGGATTTTTTTACAGTGTATAATACATTTATCAGGGGGATTTTCCTATAGAAAAATGACCTGGAAATCACAGAAAAACTGGAAACTGAAGGAATCAGGGTTGTTGCTCACAGTTGTATTTTCAACTACTTTAATTATTCAAGTGCAAGGAGACCTCTGCCATTCCTTTTCTGCATCCAAAATTGTTTTAACCCAAACAACTATTAAATGTGTCTGGTTTTCCCCTCTGGAATAAAATGGTGAATCATTCCAGAGAAATTCATACTCTGATTTGGTCTCTAATCCTCTCTATTCCAAGTATTTATTGGCTGTAGAGCAAGAGGAAAATTGCTGGTAGGACACAAAGGACCGTGATTATGGCATGGAATGGAATTCCAGGATTTTTTGAGTTGGAAGGGACCTCAAAGCCCATCCAGTGCCACCCCCTGCCATGGGCAGGGACACCTTCCACTAGCCCAGGTTGCTCCAACCTGGCCTTGGACAATTCCAGGGATTTTCAAGGCATGGAAGAGCAAAAAGGCCACATAACAAAGGACTGTAAGAAAATGGTTAAAATTAAATTTTAAGCCACTACTTTTTGGGATTAGGCTCTGACTCAGTAACATCTCATTCAACAGTTGATGCCCTAAGGGCTGGGTAATGTAATTTATAGGAAGAATATCTTCATCTTTGTGCACGTTTTCCTTCCTGGGCACCAAATTTGACATTTGATGGTCAATAATAGAGTTTTCAGGAAGGTAAACAGTATTAAACATTCATTTTTTATCACAGAACTGTTGTCAGTGAGCAGATATTAGTCAATGATTGGATCTTGGATTATTTAGGAGAGTGACTTTCTGTCTTTTCTTCTCAGGTGAAATACAAGGAAAAGTATGAGAAGGAAAAAGGAAAACCCATGTTGGACTTTGAGACTCCAACATACCTGACAGCAAAGGAGTCCCAGCTCATGCAGAGCGAGGTACAGTCAAAATCAGTACTGATGGTCAAAAAAAAATCCTACAATTTATTTTTTATAGTTAAACCTTAATAGAGATTTAATAGGCAGTTATACCTGTGTCCTGTGCATGCTGAGAGACTGAAAAATTACAGCTACATCAGATTTCTTTACACTGGTTATGAAATGCAACAGTGGAAATTCCTGAAGCTTTCCTGTGTCACAGCAAAGTGGGTTTTATCTGTTGTTTTTTTAGCAAGAAGCTCTCAGTAAAGGAAGCTTAAACAAGTCTTTGAGTAAGAAATGGAGCATGAAATACATCTCCCTTAAACTTTACAACACAAATACAGTGTGTCTTGGTTATCACAGCCCACAGAAAGTGCCCTGGTTATTTTTTCACCTCAAAACTCCATTTTTGAGGAAGCCCTTTATTCCCTGTGTGTCTCTGCTGCCCCAGACCTGTCACTCCATTTCCCTGAGCAGTTTTGTTGGGTTTATTTGAAGTATAATCTTGTTCTGGCACAGATGGAGGCTCGGACATGCTGAAAAATACCTTTATAGGGCCATATAAGTCATTGTGTTGGAGTGATTCCTTTAAGTATTTTCTCTGCACAGACAAATAAGTAGAAAAATAAAAAAATAAAGGCAGGATCTGGTCATATTTCCATTGAAAAGCAATGAGCTGTTTCATAACCCTCAGTGAAAATAGGATTTATTGCTTTAGGTGCCCTCAAATAGTGTCATTAATGCCAATCCCTGCTCCATCCTCCCAGTAGTTTTTCACATCATTAAAAATGCTGTGATAAACATTTGCTATTTTACCTTTTTTTTTTTTTCCCTTCTTGCTCTCATTAGAAAGAATACAAGAAGGACTTTGAGGAGTCCATGAAGGGCAGGAACCTGACTGGCCTGGAGGTCACACCATCCCTGTTACACGTCAAATATGCAACCAAAATAGCCAGTGAGGTACCAACAACTCTGTGCTTTATTCCCTCTTTCTTGTTTTGTGATTCTTTTTACTTTAATTCTTTTGATTATTATTATTTTTTATCATTATTTATTTATATATTGTTAAGTGGTAGAGTGCAGGGCTCCCTTTAGCCTGGATTTGCAGGTTTTTTCCTTCTTCTCCTGCAGAAAGAATACAAGAAGGATCTGGAGGAAGGTGTCAAGGGGAAAGGACTGACAGCCCTGGAGGAGACTCCAGAGATGTTGAGAGCCAAGAATGCAACTCAAATCCTCAATGAGGTACGTCAGAGCTCTTTGGAAAATTCCTGAGTGGATGGAACATCCTCCAGCTGCCATGGAAAGGAATAACTTCCACTAGATCAGCTCCAAACCCTGTCCAGCCTGGCCTTGGACACTTCCAGGGATCCAGGGGCAGCCACAGCTTCTCTGGGCAACCTGTGCCAGGGCCTCCCCACCCTCCCAGCCAGGAATTCCTTCCCAATATCCCATCTAAATCTACCCTCCCACTGAGGGAGGAATGAACTTTGTCATTCCCTAGAAACTCCTGAGTAGAGTGATAAAAAGAACATGGGTGGGTGACTAAGGATCAAAACGGGAGCTCTTTTGTGGCTTTGCAGTCACTGCTGGGAATTCAGGAGGGAAACAGGGGCTGGGATCAATAGTCAGATCAGTCCAGGGACTCACTTAGGTCATTTGTGCATTGCCTAAATCAGTCAAGGGCCTAAACCAAGGTCTAAGTCATGAAGTGCACCCTGAAGTGACTGGATTGAACTGTGAGCTGATATTGGTAGTATTCCTGTTCTGAGCTGTGCTCATGAAACTGAAGTTGCTGAAGGTGTTTCCTTCCCATTGCCATGATCTATTCCCTGTCTTCCTCTGCAGAAAGAGTACAAAAAAGCCTTGGAGTTAGAAATCCGAGGCAAAGGCCTGACAGAGCTGGCCCTGGAGACCCCGGATTTCGTGCGGGCCAAGAACGCCACGGACATCGCCAGCCAGGTGTGTGGGGGGACCCCGAGCTGTCACCTGGGCTCTTCTTAAAGGAAACCTCAGTTCTTTGTGCTTAAACCCAGTGCAAGTTGTTGTGCAGAGATGATTGAGGCACCTAAACCTGAGCTTTGCCCGACAGATCAAATACAAACAATTGGCAGAAATGGAGAAAGCCAACTACACCAGTGTTGTTGATACTCCAGAGATTATTCATGCCCACCAGGTCAAGAACCTTTCCAGCCAGGTATCTCGAGTGAAGCGACTTAATCACTGTTCATTGGCCACAAAATACTAATTTGGGCACCTAAATAACCACCTCTGACACCTTTCAGGTTACACCAGGAAGCCAATCTCTCTAGAGCTGTGATGTGGCATCTTACTCTGAAATTCCGTTTCAATAATCAAATTAATTGATTTTAATGCTGTATAATACTCTGCAATACCAAAGCTAATTCTTTTCTGTGTGGATTTAGCTTAATTTTCCACTCCTTAATAACCTAATATTTAAATTAATTACACAGAGGCATAATCTCAGTTTACAGCAGGCAGAGGAGTACTCACATCTTCATAACGATGGGCGTTATGCAGCAATAAATAATGCCAGCTTATCACTGTTTCTGTGGTTTCTGTTTTAATATATTTGGGATTTTCTGTCAGAAAAAATACAAGGAAGAGGCAGAGAAGAGCATGTCACACTATGTGCCTGTGGCAGACACCCCAGAAATGCAGCGAGTCCGGGAGAACCAGAAGAACTTCAGCATAGTAAGTACACAAATACAAAAATTTATTTTTTTTTCTCAGCTTCAAAGAAAACTCTGCAAGTAAAGGTTTATGGGATAGAGTCAATGTTTGACATTTTACTTGAACTTTTCCAACAGCTCCAGTACCAGTCAGACCTTCAGAACAGCAAAGGAAAAGTCACAGTTGTCCAAGACACCCCAGAGATGCTGCGGGTGAAAGAGAACCAGAAGAACTTCAGCTCGGTAGGGTCACTTTGTGTCCTCCCCAAAAATCCAGTTTAATGCTGGATAAAGTAACTGGGTTTGTCTCTCCTCTTCCAGGTCCAGTAGATTTAGTTGGGTTTTATGGAGTGTTTTTACCACCTGTTTTTTTGTGGAGTGCCCTGATTGCACTTTTTCACAGACGTAGCTGTGATACAGTTAAACAGTCACTCCTGTAATTAATTAGTATTCATTAATAATTAATTAGTATTCCTTTTCTTCTGTCCTGTTACCCTGTAAGTGCATTTTTGTCCTGTGGCCCCTCGTGCACTGTCTGCCTGATTTGTTTCCCATTCCATGTTGCTGTGAAGTTCCTCGAGTCTGCTGTAGAACTTTGCCTCCAGCACCATTATTAAAGCACACAACAAAGGGGAAAACATTTGTGGAAAACAAAATAGAGCAAATTACAATCTTCAATCCTAAAATCAGCCCACAAATGTTTGGATCACAGAATTATGGAATGGTTTGTGTTGGAAGGGACCTTCAAGCCCATCTCTCCCCACCCACTGGAGGGGCACCTTCCACTAGCCCAGATTTCTCAGATGTTCTACTGAAATAGGTTTGATTTATTATATCAATGATATTCTACTTAAAATGCATCAAATATAAATGATCAGCCCCTTTTTTTTCCCCAAATGGTGCTCAGACTTCAGCAAGGCAACAGGCAGTGACTGGAGCTGATCTTTTGTGTCCCAGTTCACTCTCTCAGGAGCAAGAATGTTGTGTTTTGGATGCTTAACCTTGTTGTCTTCATTCTAAATATTAAGATTTTGTATAAAGAAGACATTGGAACTGGAACCACTATTAAAAAGACACCAGAGATGCAGAGAGTTAAACAAACCCAGGATAATATCAGCTCGGTACAAAAGAATTGATTTTTAATCCTCTACCACTGCTAATTCCTCTTGAAATAATATTTCTTTTTCTATTTTTTTTTCTTCTCATGTTGCTAACAGTGGTTTGGCAATAACCCCACCCACTTAAGGGTGACTTTCTTCAAGTTTTTGCCTCTCCTTTTTACTTTAACAGTCATCTTTCTAATGATTAACACTCAGTTTCTTACTTATAACCCACTTCTAAACCACGAGAGCTCTTGCCAGCATTTTAATCTCACCCCAAAGGTTTTTTGGACAGAATCAAAGAATCATTTAGGTTGGAAGGGACCTGTTGAGAGCATCTGTTGCTCCAGCAGGGTCTGGAGGTTGCCTGGATGAGCTGGGTTTTGAGTATCTCACAGGATGAAGATTCCACAACCTCTCCAGGCAACTTTGTTCCAGTGTCTGTCTGACCATCTCACAGTTAAAAAGTGTTTTACTGTGATCAGACTGAATTTTCTGATGCTTTTTTTTTGTTTGGTTGGTTGGTTTTTTTGATTGATTTTTTTGGTTTTGTTTGTTTAGGATTTTTTGTTGGTTTTTGGGGGTTGTTGCTTTTTTAGGTTTTTCTTGCTTGTTTGATTTTTGGGGTTTTTTTGTGTGTTTTTTGTGGGTTTTTTTTGTTTCTTTGTTTGTTTTGTTGTTTGGGTTTTTTCTTTTGTTTTGGTTTGGGTTTTTTTTCTTTTCTGGGGAGGATTTTGGGGTTTTTCTGTTTGGTTTGTTTTATTTTTTTGTCCTGTCACTGAGAGCTCCTAAAAAGAGCATCTCCCTCTCCTTTATTCCTTCTCACTGGGCTTTTATACACACTGAGAAGTTCCCCCTGAACATCTTCTCCAAACTGAAGAGGGATGGCTTTGCCATGAGGGTTCTCATGGTCCTTCTCTGCAAAGCTGCTTCCCAGCCAGTTCTCCCCAGCCCGGGGCTGTTCCTCCTGGTTACAGGACCTTGAATTCCCCTCTGTGGAACCTCCTGAGGTGCCTCTCAGCCCCTTTCTCCATCCCTGTCCCTCTGGGTGCAGCACAATCCTTGGGTGGATCAACCAACCCTCCCAGCTTTGTCACCCTCTGTCCCAGGTCCAGGTCCCCCGGGAGGGTGACCCAATTTTGACCTGGAGGTCCCTTAGTGGTGACTTGTGTCCAGCTGCTCCTGGTGCCACTGCTCAGGACCCTCTGGATCCAGTTTTCTGTCTGTCTTGTGCTTGTCTGTGGAGCTGTCAGGGCCAACAAGTGTCCCCAGCCTCAGTGAAGCTTCTCTTGTCAAGCTTTTACATGATATCAAAAACTGCAGCGCTCTAAAATTGGAATAATTATACATATTCCTTCTCTTTCCAAGCTCATAAATCTCTTCTCTGCTTTTTTGGAATGCTGGTGTCGTTTTGGTCTAAAATACTAACATTTCAGCCAATTTGTTGATGCAGAATGTGTTCACTCTGTTGTTGTGAGGTGCATTTTCCCTCGCTGAGCCCAGGCAGAGACGCAGAGAGCACAAGGTGAGGATTCTCACCTTGGCTGAACACGAGGGATTCTTGCACAGCCCAAATTCTCCTTTCACTGGTAGAAAGACCAAATGGAATGGGGTTCTAGCTGGTTTTATAAAACCTTTCCAGTGCCATTCCCAGGGACTCAGCAGCTGAAGTTGCCTTGTCCCAGATTTCCTGGCAAGGCGATGGGAACCCTTTACCGGTTGAAGCCCACGAGATCCTTTAAATTCTCACTCTCCATGAGCTCAGGAAAGAAAAATTTTCTTTCTGTATCCATATTGAATCCATTTAGTGCTTCAATGTAACCCCTTTTTGCTGTGTGTGCCTTTGCAGATCAAGTACAAGGAGAGCATTGGGAAGGGAACCCCCATTCCCGACCTGCCGGAGGTGAAGCGCGTCAAGGAGACCCAGAAGCACATCAGCTCGGTACGGCCCTGCCTGTGTCCCCTCCACACCTCCCACAGCTCCAGCCTTTGCTCCTGGCTCTTGGTTTTAGGGGTGGGAAGAGCCTCCCAAATCCTTGTGTTGAGCAGCAGGGAGTTTAAATCCCTGAGTTCGATCATAGTAGCTCACTTCCTGCATTAATTCTGTGACCTCCTCTAAACACAGAAGTAGGAACACAAATCACCTGGGTTGTGTTGTAATCAGTCTGAAAAACATGGATCAGGTAGGGAGAACTTTGTGGAAAAAACCCAACTGGAGCTTCTTTATAGTCACAAAATAAGGGAAAACAAAACCTGGCTGTTCCCTTACCTAAGTGTAGATTTTAACAGCCACAACGTTTCCCAGCTCATTTTTGCACAACTGAGTTGTTTTCTCAATTTTTTCCCCAACCTTTTAAATAGTTTCATTTTCCCTTGCTGGGATTGCTTTATTTTTGTATTTTTTTTCATTGTTTCAACTATATCAAGCAGTGAAAGTTGCTGGTTGGTTTTTTTTTACTTACCTTGTTTTGTTGCAAGTATTTTAGTACTTGCAGGAAGAGCCCTGAATGCATTTGTCATGTATTTCTACATGGTTGGGGTTTAAACCAACCCAGGTTTCTCCTGTACAACTCCCTCCACAAAAAAATACAATCTTTTTGGAAATCAAACCAATTACAGGTGAAATCAAACTTAGTAACATGAGGGATAACAGTTGTTATCCTTAGTAGTGAGTTTTCCTCTCACAACTAGAGTTGTTCTCCTTACTAGAGATCTAACCCACAGCAAAGCAGTGCTGTTGCAAACAAACAGGCACAGAGATCAAAAGGAATGAAGCCCACAATTAAGTATTTGTGGATTAAACATGGTTATAAAAGATTAACACCATCAAAGAGACTCCAGAAATGCTGAGTGCCTGAAAAATAACACTGTTATAGTTCCTGAACTAAGGTGAAAAGCAAAACCTCAGGTCAGGAGGATGTTTATACTTGAAGTGTTTGAGGTGCTTGAACACACTGAAGTCAAAGCACTTTGCAGAGCTCGTGGCTGGGCTTGTACAGACAGTGAGGGACAGAAACTGGGCACTGTTTCCATGTGACCCCAGGGAAATTCTCTGTCCCAGTGCAGCTCTGGTGGAAGTTGTGATCTCTGCAACCCCCTGACAGGAGGGGGGAGCTGGGGGGGGGTCGGGCTCTGCTCCCAGGGAACAAGGGACAGGAGGAGAGGGAACGGCCCCAAGCTGTGCCAGGGGAGGCTCAGATTGGACATCAGGAGGAATTTCCTCCTGGAAAGAGTGGTCAGGCACTGGAAGGGGCTGCCCAGGGAGGTTTGGAGTGCCCAGCCCTGGAGGTGTCCCAGGAAGGCCTGGCCGTGGCACTCAGTGCTCTGGGCTGGGGGACAAGGGGGGCATCGGGCACGGGGGGGAACTCCATGACCCTGGAAGTGTTTTGCAGCCTCAGTGATGCTGTGACTCTGTGCCCTTGTGTCCTGCAGGTGTTGTACAAGGAGGAGCTGGGCACGGGCACCCCCACGCCCGTGACCCCCGAGATAGAGCGAGTCAAACGCACGCAGGAGCACATTAGCTCGGTACCGGCCCTGGGACTTGTAACAACAGCTGTTGTTATAATCCTGCTCTGTAACCCCCTAACACTCCTCCTCCCTCAGGGGTTTAGTCCTGGCTTTGCCCTGGCAGTGTCTTAACTCATTGATATTCCACCTGTTTGTGCTTTTGGGGGATTCACACCTTCCCACGCGAACCAAAACCGGATTTAACGTGGTGTTTCTCCCCATGTTTATCTCAACCTTTTATCTTCTCTTCCCTCCCATCACCTATTTACAGAATAATCCCCCGTCAGCCTCTTCCTTAATATTTGCCTCTGGATCAAGTGTGAAGTGAATTAAGAGGTGATCTAACGCTGAGCATAACCCAGGGAAGGGTCAGACGTGGTGGTTTTGCCTGTGTTGAGGGGTTTTTTGTGGGCACTGTCTCGTCCCTCGCAGGTGTTGTACAAGGAGGGTTTAGGGACGGGCACCGCGACCCCGGTGACGCCGGAGATGGAGCGAGTGCGGCGTAACCAGGAGAACATCAGCTCGGTACTGAGCCAAACCCATCCCCTGCCCTTCCAAATGCCAGTCAGGTCCCTTCAGCTCCTCCACTGATGCCGTCCTTCCCGTTCCCGGGTGACCTTGGAGCAGCCCTTCCCTTATGGAATCACTGACACCCTGTCAGGATCCTGATAGTTTCGTTTTTCCCTCCTCTAACCTGTCACTCAGTTGTTCCAGCTGGGAGATTTTAACCTCAGTAATCCAAGCAGTTGAGTGCTGCCTTGTTGTAATTCCCAAGGAATCGTTAGCAGTGTGAGTGGTGTCACTGTCCTCAGTAACAGAGCCCACCCTTCCAACATCTCCAGCCTCAGCTCTGCAATGGAAAATGAACCCTTAACCTTTCCTTAGGGACTCATGCAATGGTTTGAGTTGGAATTTCTGCTGTGTTGGCTGTTCTCTTGTACCCCCAGGTCTTTGTAAGGAATCCAGGTGGCATTCCCAGGTCACTGCATATGAAAACATGATGAAAATTGCATATAGATGGAAAAATTGCTGTAGGGAGGAACATTGATCTGGATCATTTCTCCTCCTGACACTTCCCAGTCAAAAGGCCACTGTCTCATCGTTCTGTTCAGTATTCCTGCTTTCATTGGAGCAGTTTATGGCTCATTTTGGCTCAGTTCAGACATGAAATAAGTCCTGTCTTGGGGCCATTTCAGAGAAGCCCCTGTTGGTAAATGTTCTGCTGCACTTCCCATCCCTGAGGTCCTGCAGCTGCCTCGGTTTGGAATCCCTGGAGCCAAAGCTGCTCGTGCCAGGTCTGTTATTTGAGTAGGGGAATCCTTTGCAGGAGGGTTTCCAGGTAGTTTAGAACTCCCACATTTCTGTGCCCAGTGGGAAAAAAAAGCTCAATGAAACCTCAGCCCCCTGTTTTCATTGAGGGTTCTTTGCTGGACTTTGAACAAGGCTGGAAAAACAGCGTTTTTCATACTTTGACATTTCCCTGTATTAAATTATTGCTTTTCTCTCTCTTTTCATTCTTTTCCTTTTTTAACTTCTCCTTTTCCTTTCTCCTTTTTTTCCCCCTTTCTCCTTTTTTTTTCTTTTTTCTTTCTTCTTTTTTTATTTTTCCCTTTCTCCTTTTTTTTCTTCTCCTTTTTTTTTCTCTTTTCCTCTTTTTTATCCCTTTCTCCTTTTTTTTCTACTTTCTCCTTTTTTATCCCCTTTCTCCTTTGATTTTACTTTCCTTGCTGCCCCAGGTGTTGTACAAGGAGGGGCTGGGGGTTGGCACCCCTGTTCCTGTCACCCCTGAGATGGAGAGGGTCAAACGCAACCAGGAGAACTTTAGCTCGGTATCTTTTGCTTTTTTTAATGCTAATTAACTTATAAACCCATCCTCTTTCTGCTATTACATTTTTAATTACTCTGTTATATTTTATGTACTTATTTTTTGAAATGTTTTTCCTATAATCATAACACTCAGTGCTTGGTGTCCATTAATTTTTTTTTTCCTGCAGTTTAAGGTATTTTGCATTTTTAAAACCACTTTTTTTATATAATTTGCTTAATTCCTTCCCTTTAATCCTTTTATTATTCTACTTCAAGCAGTTGGATGCACGTTCCCAGCTGTCCCTTCCTCTGGATTTAATTGATCACAATTATTAACTGGTTGATCCTTCCTAATTTTTCCTGCTTTCTGGTATATTTCATGGGCATAAAATCCCAAGAATTACCTCCACCAAATGCAGGGGTTTTTTTGTCCTGGCCTGTCTCTGACCTGCCTGTTGCCCCCCAGGTGTTGTACAAGGAGGAGCTGGGCACAGGAACCCCCACCCCTGTGACCCCCGAGATCCAGAGGGTCAAACGCAACCAGGAAAACTTGAGCTCGGTATTTTTCACCTTGAAAAGCAAAAAAAAAACCCCAAACCTTTTAATCTCTTTCAAAACACTCTTAACACCCAAATTCTCCTGCTGTATTTCCCTGTAATCAATTCACACAACAACATCCCATTCCTTGTGTTTTGAGATTTTTGTCCTCCATAATTTGTTTTGATTGGATCCCCCTCACTAATGATTTTAGATTCCCAGTTCCCATCTTTCTCTTGCCATATTTTTTATTTTCTGCTTGTCCTTTTATTAATCACTTCAACCCTTGGTTATTGGGGTTTTTTTCCCTGGTTTTTACCACATATGAAAACTAAACTGTTTATTTCCTTCCCCAAATCCGTGGCTGTGACCCGACTCTGCTCCCTCCCGTGTGCTCTGCTGGGGTGAGATGGGGAAATCGAGTGGAATTGCTGCCTTTATTCCTTCTGTGTTGGATGTGATGCCTTTTCCTTTGGGAAATGTTGGATGTTGTTGCAGGGATACAGTGGCCCAAGTCCCAGATGGTGGGAACTCCCCTGGGGGTGTTGGTAGCAAAAAATCAGTGGGGTTGGGATGTTTGGAAAGGTGAGGAAGTGCCACTGAAAACAGGAGAGGAGTAGTAATAATAGATATAAATATAAAAGATATATATAAAATATATATATATAAAATCTTAGTTGAGGTGTGTGTACAGGAAAGGTTTCAGGAAGGTGCATCAGGCCCTGCTCCTCCAATGACTCACTTATGGTCAGGAAAACATTTCCCTCACTGCTGCTGAAAGGACAATAATGTATTTATTGCCAATTTATTGTCAATACATATTGACAATAATGTGTTTATTGGCATTTATATCAGACTTTAGTCTTCTAAGTACTCCCCAGGTTTAACTGTCTGATAGAATTCATTGAATCATTGAATCCCAGAGTGGTTTGGGTTGGAAGGGAAATTAAAGCCCATCTAATTCCAACCCTCACACCTCCCACCAGCCCAGGTTGCTCCAAGCCCCGTCCAACCTGGCCTTGGACACTTCCAGGGATCCAGGGGCAGCCACAGCTTCTCTGCCCAACCTGGGCCAGGGCCTCCCCACCCTCCCAGCCAGGAATTCCTTCCCAATATCCGTGTAAATCAACCCTCCTTCAGCTTCAGTCTTATCAGTGTAACAGAGTTTGAAACCAGTTTTTTAATTCCAGGGCTTTTTTAATCCCTGTTTCTCTAGGGCGTGGCAGAGCCCCTCTCTCCTGGTGGGAGTGTTCCTGCTGTTGGTTTTATTCTCTTTTTATCACTCTGACCCTGTTGCCCCCCAGGTGTTGTACAAGGAGGAGCTGGGCACGGGAACCCCCACCCCTGTGACCCCCGAGATCCAGAGGGTCAAACGCAACCAGGAAAACTTGAGCTCGGTATTTTTCACCTTGAAAAGCAAAACAAAAATCCCTTTTAATCTATTTTAAATTACCTTTTAACACACCAATCAATATTCTTGTTTCCCTGTAATATCTTACCCAAGAAATAATGTCCTGGTCCTTTGAGATTTTTTTTTTTCCTTTGTAATTATTACTTACATTGTTCTTGTTCCCTTTTTGTAATGATATCATTTTAATAATTGAATTTCACCTTTTTGAGTGTGATTACCTTTTTTTTTTTTTTTAACTCTTAAAAATTACACCCTGTCTTCCTTCTCTTGGTCTCAACAATCCTTAAGTTTTGCTCTGTGTGGTGGGTTTTTCCCTGATTTTCCTTCCTTTATGCACAAGAACTAAACTCCTGTGGGCCTTGGCTGGGTGTGGCAGTGCTGGGGTGGGGTCAGCAGGACCTGCTGGGGTGGGAATGAATTAAATTGGTTTATTTGTTGTTTTTCTGTTGTATTTGATGCTTTCCCAGTGTTTTGTTGCCTGTTTCATGCCTGGCTCAGGAGCAGCGACAACGCTCCAGCTCCCGGAGGGAATCCGTATTCACTGTGTGGTTTTGAGGAGTTTTTAATCCCTGGTTTTTATCCCAAACTGTGTGTGGGAGGCACTTTCCCAACCCCTCCGTGTGCCTGTTGCTGTTCCCTCCCTGACCAGCCCTTTGTCCCGCAGGTTTTGTACCGGGAGGAGCTGGGAACAGGAACCCCCATCCCGGTGCCTCCCGAGGTGGAGCGAGTCAAACGCACCCAGGAGCTCATCAGCTCGGTACCGTGGGGAGGAACAGCCCCCCTTTCACTGCACCCAAACACCACTCCCTAACCTCCTTCAAAAATGGGCAATTCCTCTCCTTAACATGTGTAATCAACTCTTATTCTGTGTAATCAACTCTTATTCCACTTATCCTCTCTTCCCGTTTTCCAGCGTTACTGACCCGCCACTTCTTCACTGATGGAGTTATTTATAAATTATTTACAAATTATTGACATTATCCTGAATATTTTTGAACTGTTTTGCTCCCTGTTCCACCTCCCTTCTTCGTTTTTTACTGTTGTTTTTTTTATCCATCCACTTCCCGTGTCCTGCTTTTCTCCTGGCAGAGGGAGGGGCCTTTCCAGCTCCCTGCAGCAGGGGGGGGTCTAAAAGCTCCCCTTCCCCAGGAGATGATGGATTTAATGATTATTTGAGTGGTGATGATGTTTTTTTGGACGCTTTTTGTCGTGCAGGTGTTGTACAAAGAGAATGTGGGGATGGGGACCCCCACCCCTGTCACCCCCGAGATGGAGAGGGTCAAACGCAACCAGGAGATCTGTAGCTCGGTACTTCCCAGAGAAAAACTGCCCTTTAACTCCCTCTAAAACCACTTCTTAACACTTTGAATAAGTGGATTTGTTCCAAAATAACACTGACCCAGCTCAGAGCAGGGGCCACTTCTTACTCGTGGCTTACTCTGGTTTAAACCTTGACTTTTGCTCCTGTTTACCTTGATTTTAAGAGTGATTTTTAATACCCAGTTCTAATCCTAAAAACACTTAAAACTCCCCTCATTTTCTCTGCAGTGCTGACATTTATTTTAAAGCAATTAATTTAAATTTTTATAACATTCTCAGCCCCTCCATGTGGTTTTTAGTGCTCATTGATGCAGATCTCACATGATTTACTTACACTATTTATTCTGAGGAGTTAAAGCCAGGCTGCAAAACTCTACTAAAGGACCTGCTTTAAAAATCCCTGGGCCGTGAGAAACTAAATCCAAGGGAAAAAAACTGTGTAGGGAGAGCTGGTTGTTTATTCACTGTTGCTTTCTGTGGCTCTTTCTCTCCTCCCACAGGTGTTGTACAAGGAAAACATAGGGAAAGCCACCCCCACCCCCGTCACCCCCGAGATGGAGAGAGTCAAACGCAATCAAGAGATCATTAGCTCGGTACTTCCACCAGGAAAACACTTCCTAAACCTTGGAATGAAGTGTTTAACACGCTGTAACACTCAGCAATCTGTGCTTATTAACTCCAGATACGAGCCTGCCCCGAGGCACCCACACAAAGCAAAGGCTCCTCTTTAACACTGTTTGAAGCAGGATTTTACCGAGGAAAAAAAAATCCCTTTTTGAGTGGATTTTGTTTTTCTGTTTTTTTTTTATTTATTTTTTTTAACCCTTTCTCACCCCAACTGTGTTTCCAGCAGTTGATTCCGCGCAGGAATCCCAGATTAATGGCCAAGCTCCAACTCCTGCCGTGCCCCAGCTCTAACCCTTTGTCGGTGTAACTCCAAAGCTGGGCTGAACGTTCTGCTTGGTTTTCCTTTGGGTTTTTCTTTTTCCTTTTTTAATGACTTGTGGATGCTCCCTTGTACCCCGCAGGTCCTGTACAAAGAAAACATGGGCAAAGTGACGCCGACCCCCGTCACCCCCGAGATGGAGCGAGTCAAACGCAACCAGGAGATCATCAGCTCGGTACTTATCGGGGAGGGCTTTGTTTGCCTCGGGCCTAACAAAGAGCAGCCTAACTGCTGACTCAAAGCCGAGTTCAAGCTAAAAAATAGACGTGTTTCTTTCTGCCAATTAATTGCTCCTTCTAAACCCAAATGAATGGTGTGATCCCACAATTTCACGAGTTTGTGCATTTGTGGGTTCTATCCAGACAGCTCAGAGATCTCTTGGTGGAGATTATGGAATGTTGGGGTTGGAAGGGACCTTAAATCCCATCTTGTTCTACCCCCACCTTCCACCAGACCAGGTTGCTCAGGAATATTCAGGTTTATATTTAGTATTTCAACTTCCAGTAGACTTTCAGGGGAATTCGACTTCAGGGAAAAACACCCATCCCTGACATCTGAATTTGGGACAACGTGGCAACAAAACTCCCACCTTCCTCCCAAAAAAGGTCAGGAATGACTTAAAATATGCATAAAAAAGCAGGTAACTGTTAAAGAAATGTTTTCTGTAGAGCCAGAGGTGTCTTCCCTGAGCCTCTGGCCCTTCAGCATCCCTGGATAGAGCCCGGCTCTGTTAACCCCAAAGCCCAGCTTTTCTCTCCAGTCTGCCTCTCTCACCCCTCCTGGCAGCACTAAATGTTTGACTTTTTGGCAATTTGATAACAAAGTAACCCTTTGTGTTCAAACCCTTTCCATTTGGGGGGTTTTAAGCCCCTGGGTACATGTTATGTATCCCACAGGTGTTGTACAAAGAGAACGTGGGGCAGGCGACCCCCACCCCCGTCACCCCCGAGATGGAGAGAGTCAAACGCAATCAAGAACAGATTAGCTCGGTACTTCCCCCAGGAAAACACTTCCCAAAGATCCCACTGAAGTGCTTAACATGAGAGGATGTGATAGAGAACTTTTTAATAACCTGGTTTTACTTAACTCTCTAATTTTTCCCCTTTAGCAAGTCACCTCTTACAAAGACTTTTTTGTTGTGTAACTTGTTAATCCTCTTTTTCCTGACTTTTTTTCCCTTTCCTAACGGCTGGTGTTGACTCTAAACCCAGTAACAGCCCAGTTTTTTGGTTTTCCCCTGGTGATAATTCCTCTGTGCTCTGTAGGTTGCCTACAGGGAAGGCTTAGGGAAGGCCACCCCCAGCCCGGTCACTCCGGAGATGGAGCGAGTCAAGCGCAACCAGGAACAGCTCAGCTCGGTACTGAGGGAACAGCCAAGCCTTTGTATCCAAAATAACCACCCTGAGCCAACCCCACTCTAATTCAGCCTCATTTTCCCAGTTTTCCTCATTTTTGTCTATTTTCCCTCGGATCTTTTTTTTTTTCCCACCTTTTGCCAATAACTTTTCAGCCGCTTTGTTTCCCGAGATCTTTTCCATCCTGCAGCGCTGGGTTTGCTTCAATAACCCCACTCCCAGAGAGCTGGGATTCTGCCTGGAATTCTGAGCTGTGTCCACGTGTTTGTGCTCTGCAGGTTTTGTACAAGGAGCACATGGCAAAGGGAACTCCGACCCCTCTGACTCCGGAGATGGAAAGAGCCAAACGGAACCAGGAGAACATCAGCTCGGTGAGTCCTCCTCAGCCAAGGGGAAAACACACTAAAATCACATTTTATCCCTGAAATCCTCACTCAGAGTTAAGGCTTGGAGGGATGAAATAACCACATGGAATTCTTTAATATATTCCTTGTAATTAACTGGAGTTTGGGGGATTTTTAAACAGTTAAATTTCAAGTAACACGTTGCTTTGGAGTCTCTTCTGGTTTTGCTGCTCTTACACTTCAGGAGACAGAAAATGATAGTTCTTCAGTACGAGATTTCTGATGTTCTCTATAAAAAAACATATAAAAATCTGGACCTGGCCTCCTTCAGGCCCTTCTTTGCTAACCTGAGGTAAATCCTGACGTGGTTCTGTCCTTGTTCTCCCCGGCAGGTTCTTTACTCCGACAGTTTCCGGAAGCAGGTCCAAGGAAAAGCCGCCTACGTCCTGGACACGCCGGAGATGCGGAGAGTGAGGGAGACCCAGAAACACATCTCCACAGTAAGGGCAGCTCCAGAGGGGCCCTACCTTGGGAAGGGAGTTAAACCCAAATATAAGCCTGGTTGGCAGCTCAGGGACAGGTTTGCTGACCCAAATCTTTCACACTAAAGCATTTAATGGATTAGGCTCTCTCGTGGCTCCTTGCATTGGGAAAGCCAAAGTTTGGGACACTCCCTGAACTTCACCTGAGGGGAGCAGGGTCCCAGCTGAGCTGCAGAGCACAGCCCTTCCATTTGAACCTGCAGGTGAAGTACCACGAGGACTTTGAGAAGAGCAAAGGGAGCTTCACCCCCGTGGTCACCGACCCCATCACGGAGAGGGTGAAGAAGAACATGCAGGACTTCAGTGACATCAGTTACAGGGGCATCCAGAGGAGGGTGGTGGAGATGGAGCGCAAACGTGTGGACCAGGACCAGGAGAACCTCACAGGTAAGGCTCTACAAAGACCCCAGAACCTCCCAGAAAAGCAGGACCTGATTTCATAAGATCTTGACTACTTCATTTCCACAACACAAGCAGGGCTGGGATGAGTGGTTAAATTTAAGCTCAGCCATATCAGTTCTAACTCACCATTACTTGGGGATGATGTTTTTTATGGAAGTCCTTTCCTGAAAGTCTTTTGAAAATCTCTTTTGAAAAAATATTGTCTTGCCACAGCTGTGCTCTGCCTGTCCCCAGCTTTAGAATGTAACACTAGAACATTATATTATAACACTAGTTTATATCTCTATTTATATTAAAGACCCTGATGTAGATGAAATATAAAAAAAAGCCTAATCTGTGCTCTACAATTGAGAAGTATAAGCTGAGGAAATAAATATGCTTTTCATAGAATTCCAAACTGGTTTGGGTTGGAGGGACCTTAAAGCCCATCCTGTTCCACCCCCTGCCATGGGCAGGGACACCTCCCACTCTCCCAGGCTGCTCCAAGCCCCATCCAGCCTGGCCTTGGACACTTCCAGGGAGGCCACAGCTGCTATCCCTGCTGTCCAGGCCAGGCCTGTGCTGCTCCAGCTCTCCAGCATTCCCGTTTCTCCCGCAGGTCTCCGTGTCTGGCGCACCAACCCCGGATCCGTGTTCGACTACGACCCGGCCGAGGACAACATCCAGTCCCGGAGCCTGCACATGATCTCAGGTGTGTCCCAGGGCAAAATAGGGTTTGTACTCCTGCAAACGTGGGGTCTTGGGGGCCAAACAGAGCTGAGAGGTTGGCGTGACACAGGGACAGAGGACAAACTGTCTGTGGCTGCTCCTCCCCAGCATATTCTCAAACAAGACATTATTATTCTGTCATAAAATGACCCAACACAGGCAGGGGCAGGATTGTTTATATGACCCACACAGCATGTGATTCCTTTTGCAATAAATAAAAATACTGTCCTGAGTTACATTTATTTTGTTTAACTCCTTTCCTGCTTATTGAGAGGAAAAAAAACCCTGAAGGGTAGAAACCAGTCTCAGGGAGGGCTCAGAGCTGTGTCAGAGAAGGAAAGGAAAGGTGGGATAATTAGAATAAAAACTTTGGAAGACTAAGAGGAAGGAGACTGGAGAAAGGATAAAACTGTTGTGACTGTTTAAGAGCAGAACTTGAGTGTGGTGTCCACGGAACACTTAAAAAATCACTGGGAAACACCACCGAGGAACCATAAAATACACTGGGATTATTTACACGGAGTTTTTTTCCCACAAACTTTGGGAAGCAGCAGGGCTGGGGCTGTGAGCCCCCACAGCTGTGGTGACCCTGTCCCCGCTGTCCCCCAGTCCAGGCCCAGCGGCGCAGCCGGGAGCATTCCCGCTCCGCCAGCGCCCTGAGCATCAGCGGCGCCGGAGACGAGAAATCCGAGCCCTCGGAGGGCACCGACCAGCGCCTGTCCTACTACAGCAACGGGGGCTTCTTCACCACCACCACCACAGGTACGGGGGCACCGGGCAGGGCACACTGCCCACGCCAGCTGGGGCAGCAATTCCTGCAGCCAGGACAAACCACAGCTCCAAAAGGGCGAGTTGTGGACGCAACCAACGTGTCAATCTGTTCCGGCAATTTGAGCCACCCAAGCGCCCTGTCCCTGATCTTCAACCACAACAGCTCCAGCACCAACTCCAATAACACCACAAACTCTGTTTCCCTTTCAGTGGGCTACAAACAGGTGAAAACCATCGAGCTGCCACAACAACGCTCGTCCTCGGTGGCCACCCAGCAAACCACGGTGTCCTCGGTCCCCTCCCACCCCTCCACTGCTGGGGTGAGTAACTCTGAGCCTGGGATTGGGACACAGCCCCAGGAGTTGATTTGGCTGCCTCCCCACAGTGCACAGGGCTGCAGGGCTCATGGCCCATGGTCTGTAGTGCTTCAGATTATGTTAATCCAGGATTAAGCCAGGAAGGTTCCTCTCCCCTGGGCTGAAGCTCAGTACTAAACCCAGTGAAGGTGTAACTCTCACTGAAGGGGGACAGACCCTCACCTGGACTTCAAAACTTTGAATTAGCACCTTAAAACTTTGAATTAACACTTCTTCCTATTCCTGAGATTGAGTCTGGAGTAGATCCATGGCAGTGGGTACGGCTTTGCCTCCCAAAACCTGCCTGGAGACAACAACCTTAGGCTACACCTAGAGCTACCCTGGGCTGATCCTGCTCAAACCCACCCTGCAAACAGTTTGTTCAGGCTCAGTGTCAGCAGCAAACAGAGGTAGGGTGGCACTCAGGTAACCAAGGTGCCCAGGACCCAGGGGAGGAGCTGGGAAGGAACGGGATGGGTTATTTCCCACCTCAACACAGCATTATTTGCTTCATCTCTGGAAGCACCTGGTACCAGCCAGAAGGAAATAAAAATCATTGTATAGTGTGTCTAAGACAGACTAAACCCAAGTTAACAGCAGTAAAAACTAAGTTAACAGCAGGAGTTACAACATGAACCCTGAGGAATTCAGAGTTCATTCAGGGGGAACTCACAGAAGAAGCTGAACCAGGAGATTTAAAACAGGAGCAGATTCTGCCCTGAGTAGTGAGTCAGACTTGCCCTTCCCTGCTCTGATTCCCAGCTCAGCTGTGGCTGTCAGAGTTTACCCAGTCCTTCTTTCTGCCTAATTCCCAGCCCAGCTCTGTCAGGGTGTACCCAGTCCCCCTGGGTACCCCATTCCCAGCCCAGCTCTACTGTCAGGATTTACCCAGTCCCTCTGGCTGCCCCATTCCCAGCCTAGGTTTGTCAGGGTTTTTACCCAGTCCCTCTGGATGCCCCATTCCCAGCCCAGCTCTGCTGTCAGGATTTACCCAGTCCTTCTTGGTGCCCCATTCCCAGCCCAGCCCTGCTGTCAGGATTTACCCAGTCCCTGTGGGTGCCCCATTCTTTGCTGTCAGGATTTACCCGGTCCCTCTGGGTGCCCCATTCCCAGCTCTGTCAGGGTTTACCCAGTCCCTGTGGGTGCTCCATTCCTGCTGTCAGGGTGTCCCCAGTCCCTGTGGGTGCCCCATTCCTGCTGTCAGGGTTTACCCAGTCCCTGTGGGTGCCCCATTCCTGCTGTCAGGGCTCACCCCGTGCCTGTCCCCCACCCCACAGAAGACGTACCGGGCCATGTACGATTACACGGCGGCCGACGCCGACGAGGTTTCCTTCAAGGACGGCGACACCATCGTGAACGTGCAGGCCATCGACGAGGGCTGGATGTATGGGACCGTCCAGAGGACCGGCAAGACCGGGATGCTCCCGGCAAACTACGTGGAGGCTGTGTAAGAACCCCCTCCCACCGCCCAGAGGGGCAGAAAAGGGGGGGGGACACCTCCCAAAGCCCCTCCTTGGAGATGGCACCACGTCAGAAAAAGTAACTGCAGAGCAAAACATCCTTGAAACGTTATTTCAAAACTTTGAAGTCACCTGGAAAGATTACTTTACATTTCTTCCAATGCCAAAAAAAACCCCCACCTGGACTTTCCAACATTTCATCACACACCGTAATATGACACTACAACTGCAGTCCAGTATCTCCAAAATTTGATACCACTATTAAGACTAAGACTCCCAAGCATTACTTTATTCATTCTATAAAAACTTTAGAATTTTTAAATCTGTTCACTTCCTTTCACATATAAGCAACACCTAAGCTTAGTGTTTCAAACCAATTTATTTGGGGAGGGGAAAAAGAAACCCTCTCCTCTTGCTTGCTGAGGTCTCATGAATGTGTTCTTCATGCAACTGTTCTGGGGTCAAAAGCTGTTATTTCTTGTAAATTAGTGACAGAATAAAGCTGATGTTTCTGCAGTAGGATGGATGTGTTCCCTTGTGCTGAAAGCAGGAACTGATCTCACAGATCACTGGATGTAAGAGCTGAAAACACTTCAGAAGTGTTTTTGATTTAGAACCAAAGTAACATTTCCAGGGAAGCACAAAACCCTACAGCCAACTTCCCATTACAGCTCCAGGCCACCTCTTTGTCCTGTTCCTTTTGTCCATGAGACACTCAAACAGAATACTCAGAACCCTGCTGATGATCCCATCACATCCTTGAGGACCTGCTCCCACCTTACAGCAGCACTGGAGACATTCCAAGGTCCCTCCCAGCCTTGGGAATCCAAAGCAATGCCGAGGGGGAGCTGAACAAGCAAAACCCCACAAACACCAAACCACGAGGACATGAACAAGTTTGGGAACTATTTTCTCTTTTATTTGCCCATGTGTAAGTCCTAAAAACCACCTGCAGCAGTTCCTTCCAATAAACAGCCACTCTGATAGCTACAGTACAATATATACAGATCAGAATTCCAGAGGAAAGCCCGGGAACTCTCGCTGAAGGTCTCGGAGAAGCAGCAATGCATTCCATGCAATTAAAACCCCAATCATAAATTAGTAACCAAACATCTGCTGTCAGTCTGTACACAATATACAAGAAGCTTCTTGCCAAATTCATTCATTTCCCCAAGGAAAAAGTCTTCTCCCACCAGGAGAACTGCTGCCACCCACGGACACGGGGCAGAGCCCGGGAGGCTCAGCAGAGTCTGTGCACGCCCGTCCTGTCACTTCTTAGTGTGAGTCGTACAAAAATACGTGGAAAAATAGATCCAGTACAAATCCCAGGTTCCTGCTGCAAGGAATTAAGCCCAGCTCACCTCACAGGTGCTGCTCTGGCAGAGTCTGAGCAGCTCAAAGGAACCCCCCCGGGCAGCAGAGGAGCAGAGCTGGGAGATGCGGCTCTGGCCCCCACAGGAAGAGTTTGCAGCACTAAGAACACTTCGGGTTTGAAAAAATAATTTAACTACTCTGTTGGTTTGGTTTCACAGTCTCTTTGCTATTGCACAACTCTTGTCAAGCTTTCTTTCACTACCTGAAAGAAATATGCATAGCAACACAAGACAAATACCTCTGCCAGGGATGAAGCAGTCCCACAAATTAGGGGGGGGAAAAACCAACAACAACAACAAAAAGAATAAGGAAAAAAAAACAACAATCCCATGACAATAAATTGATGTAGGAGTTAAAAAATATCTTCTGTTCAAAATGCACAGTTTAAGGAATAATTCACCAGTAAGAAAAACAAGGTGGGGGTGGGGAAAAAACATGTTGTAACAAAATCCTCCTTACTGAGCTCCTACTGGGAGCTGTCGTGGGGGGGGGATTTCCAGCGGGACTGCAGGTTTTTCAGGATGCAGGTGGACATGCCAGCAAGTTTTTCCTGCATCTCGAAGAGCTGGCTCCCAGAATAGCTGTGGAGATCCTCAGAGCTGAGCTGGGCAGAGAGGGCCTGGATCTGGCTCAGGAGATCTGCCGGGGGCTGGTCACTCATGTTGGGCACGGTTGGCTCAGCCAGGTCTGAAAGGAAGGGAAAGAGGGAAGTGGAGGGAGATCTGAGCAGAATTCCAGCTGGTTTTCTACAAAATAACATCTTCAAGCAGCCCACAAAGTGTTTGTTCCACACAGGGAGTGCTCCTGACAAAGTGAGCCCTCAGAACTCCACCCCTCCCTTCCTTCTGGTGAGTTTTGCTGTGTTTGACCATGACTGTACAACACATCCAAGGGCAGAAATGAAAGGATTTGATCCCAACAGACAATGCCAGTGTCCCAAATCCCACACTTAACTCCCACATTTAAACTGGAGAGCTGAAGAGAAGTCACCCCTGAGTTTTTTGTTCTGCTTCCAGTCTCTTGTTGGGAGAACAAACACGGATTCTGAGCCACCAGACCAAACTCCAGGAAGACACAGAAGAATCCAAATAAAAATCTCCACCTGCAAATCCCAGCTGGGTGTCCAGGGAATCATCCCACTCCTGTCCCCCCCCTCAGGATGAGGCACCACTTCATTATCTCTGCTCACCATGTTTGTTCTGTGCACCCCCAGCAGGGACCAAACATGGAACAGCTCAGGAGTCATTTGAGCCCTGCCTAATTTGTTCTTTGCTTCTTTAGGGAAAACCAGCATTTTCCCCTCAAAAATATGTAATTTTTAAAAAGCCACTGCTACAGGGCTTCATAAAGCAGCATTTAATGTGGTAATATTGGCTACTAACAGACCCAAAATAAAAATAAAAGCATCAAGTGTTCCCATCAGGAGAGAACAAAGACAGCAGAACTCTCCAAATCCGAAGCAAAAAGCCACCAAGAGGTACCTGTTCCAAGTTTCTCTTCATCTACACAGAGTGGTTTGTCCTCCACATCATTTACAGGCTTTTCAGCATCTTCAAGCACCACCATTTCCTCAGACACTCGAGACTTCACCTGAGCATCGCGTGGGACAGAACAAGACAAACGTTTTTAGAACAACAAAAACAAAATTAGATTTACATGGTTAGAAATACACTAATGAATACATAAATAATAAATACATGGCACAATAAATACAATCACCATTCCTGTTAATAATAATAGTGTAACCAAGCCATCTTGATGCTGAATTTGTGCCCCAAAAGGTGCAGAGGAACTGCTCAGAGGCAAAGTTTAGTCTTTAAGCAGCAAGATATTTATTTTAGGCAACGTGGGGGAACTCCCAGCTCGTGCTGGACAAAGAGTTCTGAAGCACTCAGTGAAAAGTCAGACTATTTATACAATTTTTGCCAGAGATTATGTCATCTTTACATGCATATTCATACATTGCAACATCTAGTTATAATATTCATAGCAGGCAGAGTCAGGGGCTGGGTCATCATTTTGGGGAGAATCTCAGTGGTACTTCCTGTTACTTCAGCCTCAGGGGTCATCCCTTTACTCCTCTTTCTCAGGTAAACTTTGGAACTTTCCTTAATTTGCCTGACTCCAACATGTATTTGGCAGGAGTTTCTGATATTTGGCAAGAGTTTCTGGACCCTGGCCCTTCTCTTTCCCCTTATCTCTCTCTGTGTTCCTTCCATATGTCTATTTATGTGTATGTTAGTATTTTAGTGCTCTTTGTTTTCCTGTGCTCTTACTTTATGTTCTTTCGTGTCACTGTGTCTGCATTTTTTGGTAAAATATTATCTTCCTCTAGTCCTTGAATTTTGGTTCTTTATTTTTTTTCTCAGAGCATGCATTCTAAATTAACTCTTCAAGCCCTGCTCTGTTTCATCTGTACCTTGAATTCCCACATACTGAGACAGGCAGGGATTAGGTTTCAAAGTGCTGCTTTTAATTAGGGGAAAAAACACATTATTCCTCATGATGGCTATTATCAGTTCATTTAGGGCAATACTGGCTTCCTGGGTGTTAAAATTCAGCTTTACCTGTTGCTCATGATATCCCTTGAGAGCTCTTTTGACGTTGGAGACTTTGGGAGAGCGGATGGGGAGGGTTTTGATTTCCAGGGCTGTCAGAGAGCTCAGGTCCCCCACGGTCTTGATGTTCTTGGCTCGGATGAGCTGCCCCAAACCTCTGGCACTGCAGCAGGGGAGGGAAATGGGTTATTACCAGGGAATCATGGAATATCCAGAATCAGAAGAGACCTGCAAGGATCAGAGTCCAACCCCTGGCCCTGCACAGACACCCCAACAATCCCTGGGAGCGTTGTCCAAACACTCCTGGAGCTCTGGCAGCCTTGGGGCTGTGACTATTTCTCTGTTCCAGTGCTCAAACACCCTCTGGGGGAAGAACCTTTTCCTGAGATCCAACCTGACCCTCCCTGACACATCCTAGAATTCAGGTGCTCTCTGCCTGGCAGAAATCCTACAGGAATGATGATTTGCATGCACGTAAGTGAAGGGAAAACCAAGAGCAGATGATGCTCCCTCTGCAGAAGCACACAAAAAAGTGCAGTTAATCCTGTATGGATAAAGCTCACTCCTATGAGAGTGGAAAGAAAAGGCCCCTCTGAGTAGTTCCTGCTTCACCTCTATAGTTTGTCCCATTTCTTGAAATTCAGATCGAAAACCAAATTAGGAAGTGCCCAGTCTTTGTATATTTGAAATGCAGAATTTTGTCGAAGTCCCACTTTGGCTTCAATACAGAAAACTCCAACTGATGTCACAGATCAGGGAGATCAGTCTGCCCTGGCACACGAAACAGAAAGCTCCCTGTCCCTGGGTACAAGCTTTTCAGTGTTCAAAGAAGCACTTGAAGAATTCCAAACTAGTCAAGTCTCTCCCCCAACAAACCAACCTCCTTCCTTTTGAAAAAATTTTGGCCGAAGACACCTGTAAGTTGTCACAAAATGTGGGTTTGTAGGTTCTGTATGAATTCAGTTTCTATTGAAATGTCCCCTTTAAAGGAACAACCCACTTACCAGATGTTTGATGTGATCTGGGGTAAAATGACATCAACAGGAGCTTTGCAGCCAGCCAAGGCTGGGTACACGTGTTCCATAGGGCATGGCAGAGGCTCCTTGGCCATTTCTGTAATCTGGATTAACACAGGAAAGGTGTTAAAATAACTGCCACATGACTGAATACAGGAAAAAGAAATAGAAGAGAAACATGAACCAAAGCACTTCTTACTAAACACTTCTTTGAGCTCTTAAATTTAAGGGTACGAGATCCTGGGGACAGAAATCCTTTGGTTGGAGTGGTAATGTGCTGGATAGAAAAAGAGGAAAAAAATATCTCTCAGAATTGTAGGAATAGTTAATAGCAGGAATTCAGTTAATAGCAGGAATTCAGTTAATAGCAGGAATTCAGTTGTCAGACTCTACCCCCTGAGATCTGAGAGTAAAAGAACAAGTCAGACTAAAGCAGTTACAGCTGCTTCTCACAGATCGACCCTCTGCTCTTACAACTGTGCTAAGTGACTACAAACATGCACTAAAACCACGCTTTCTACAATAAACAACATGAACACTTGTCACACACAGAATATACATGAAGAATTCACCTTAGTCTGAATATTGGATAAGATTTTCAGGCTTTTGGAAGAGGGTGAGGAGTGGGATCTGACCACGGGACTCCTCCTGTCGATGTCGTCTGCCAGCCCCGCCTGGTGGATGGGATCTGCAAAGGACACCCGACGGATCTGTGGGGAGGAAAGGAGGTTTTACAGGGTGAATTCAAACCTCCAGGGCCTGGGGAACAACTTTCAGCTTGAAATGGGGTCATTAAAGTTCTTGACTGACACAGGAAATGTTTCACCCAAGGACACACCGTGGAATTCCTCTCTGCCGGTGCTAAATGAGGATGCTGACCTTGAGTTTTGCAGTGCTCCAGATCAGGCTCTGGTGCTCTGTTTCAAAAATAAAACCCCTCACCTAAGCCCTCACAATGAAAGTCTGCCAGTGCTGGCACATTCCAGAAAGAAACCTCAGCTTCAGCAGAAGATTATTCACAATGAAACCCAGCATTTGGAGCATTTGGAGCTCACTACACTACAGGCACTGTTCCTCAGCCCAGCTATGAAGGAAGTGTCACATAATTCCCAGGGCAATACCTTATGAGCAGGTGACAGGGACTCATCATCTTGGTGACTTCTTTTTGCACCTCTCTTCAAAATGCTGGTGGAAGGGGAAGCTGAGGGAGACCACGTGCAGCGGGCCTGGATGCTGGTGGGGCTCTCATTCACCGGCACCAAAGCATCACCTTCTGCCTTCAGAGGTGACTCCATGCTGGGATTTTCCAAAACTGCATTTTCAGACATTGTTATTTCAGTTTCCATGAATTCCTCCTTCATCTCTTTCTCTGGAATAACACCAGTTTCTCCTGCAGTATTCTCAGCTTCTCCTTTATCATCCTGATTGCCTTCCAGATTGTTGATCTCCTTTTCCTCAGGTTTGCTATCAACAGGCAGTTCCTCAGGCACCTCCTCCAGTTGTCCATTCTGAATTATTTCTTCCTTTTCTGGAGCTCCTGGTTCCTCCTTCTCTGGAGCTCCTGGTTCCTCCTTCCCTGGGGCTCCTCTTCCCTCCTTCTCTAGAGCTGCTGGTTCCTCCTTCCCCAGAGTTCCTGGTTCGTCCTTCTCTGAAGCCATTGTTATTTCCTCTTCTGGAGCTGCTGTTTCCTCCTTCTCTAGAGCTGCTGGCTCCTCCTTCTCCAGAGCTGCTGGTTCCTCTCTCTCTGGAGCTGCTGGTCCCCCCTTCTCTGGAGCCATTGTTAAATCTTTTTCTGGAGTAGCTGTTCCATCCTTTTCTGGAGCTGCTGGTCCTTCCCCTTGGCTCTCCATGGCCAAGCAGCTCTCACCAGGCTCCCCTGGAACACCCCCTGGCAGAACCTGCTCCGTTGGCTCCTTCTGATGAGCAGCTTCCTTTATTTCCTCTATGGAGTCAGTAGTTTCACCTGCTGAACACTCTGGATTCTCTGGCTCCACCTCCATCCCAACACAGCTTCCTTGCAGATTATCCACACGTGTTCCCTGGCTTTCCAAGTCGCCCGTCCTGGGTTCCTTTGGGGGACACACTGGAGTGCTCATGGCACAGGGTGCCAGGGAGAAGCTCTCCTCAAAATCTGAGTGCCCACACAGCTTTGAGTCACCTCCAGGTGTCTGATCCGGGGTGAGCTGGAGCTCATCTGGCTCAGGAGTTTTCCTCTTTCTGGATTCAGTGAACGATGTTATTTGTTGCTTTGGCTTTTTAAAACAGCAATCGCAGCTCTTGGTTTTTTTCACCCTCCTGCTCCTTTTGCTGTGACACTCAGGGGTTTGCAGGGAGGAATGCTCAGCCCCTGAAGCATCTGCTGCTGCTGCACAGCCCCCTGGGCTTGTCTGCCTCTCCTCCAGCTGGTTCTCCTGTGCTGCTTTCCCGTCCTGCTCAGGCACAGAGGGGCTGGGCAGTGACTCCATCACTGTGTCACTCTGGTTTTGTTCCTCACTGGCATTCTGAGCAGCAGGTGGATTCCCAGAGCTGGCAAATCCCACAACCTCACCAGCAGTGGGAGGAATTCCCTGCTTTTCAAGCCCAAATGGTTCAGCTGTGCTGATTTCAGCTTCCCCTTTATTTGCTTCCAGTGGACTCTGAGTTTCATTTTCCTGGGAAGACACCTCCTGGCTATGGCTTCCTGGCTGCCCACCTTTCAATTTGCCTTCCTGAGAATCACTTCTGGTTTTCACTTTCACATATTTTCTCTTCCTTGTGCTTTCCTCCTTGGCAGAGCCCTCAGACTCCGAGTTCTCTATGCTGGAGAGCAACCCTTGGGCAGCTCTCCTGGTGTGGTACCGAGGGCGCTCCACCGCCTTCGGGCTGCTGTCCTGACCTTCCCCCTCAGCCTTCAGGGGCTCTTCTGCCCTCCTGCCATGCCTGCTCCCTTCCTCATCAAGGCCCCTGGAAGCAGGAGAGTCCTTGGAACTCCGGTCCTCCGCAGTTCTCTCGGGTTGGCTGCTCTCTTTTGTACTCATCTTTTCTGCTGTTTTCCCAGAAATCCCCTTCTGCTTTTGGGATCCATCATCCTTAGGCTGTGACACCTTCTTCTGCCCAGACTTGTCATCCTCTTTCCGCCTGTCCCTCCTTTGGATCCCCTCCTCCTTGTCCTGGCTCCCCGAGGAGCTCTCCGCGGTCTCCGACCGGCGCCTCAAGGAACGTCGGAGCACCTTCTGCTGAGGGGACACTTGTGGCACCTGGGAGTCCTCCCCCGTGGCCTGGTCGGGTGAGGTGGTGGTGTCTGGGGGGGTGTTTTCCTTGGAATCCATGTCCAAGGCCCGGGCCTTCTCTATCTCCGCAATGGTGTCCTCGACTTTCCTGATGTCTGCCTCTGTGGAGTGCAGAGCCTGCGACTGGGACAGGAGGATTTGCTCCACGTCCTCTACTGTGGAGCACAGCTCAGGAGTACTCTCCATGCTGTCAGAGGCAAGAGATTCCTGTTCTGACCTGTTCAGCAGCTTGGACTTGTTTCCCTGGAGCTCCATCTTGCTCTGCCGGCGCGTGAGCCTCCGGATCGCCGTGATCATGGACTCTGGCTCCGCATCCGAAGGCTTTTTGTTTTCTTCTCCAGATTTCTCTGCTTTAGCACTGGTCTTGCTTGCACTTGTATTTTCCTGTTTGTCTGCCCCTCTGGGCAGCTCTGAGAAGGTGTTCAGTGGTGCTGGGCTGAAGGGCCTGTTCTCTGCCCCGCTGAACTTCTCCAGGGTGATGAAGGATTGCCGGCGGCTCACGGGCTGCGGGGTCCCAGAAATTATATCACTGGAAGCTGAGCTGTTGCTGGCATTGGAAGTGTTTTCGTTCCCTGTCGAGGTCTCCTTGGAAGCTGCTTCCACAGAGCTTGTCTCCAGTTGCTCTCCAGCTGATGGCTCCTCTGGAACCATCTCGGCTGTGTGGTTCTGTGACTCCCCCTCGCTCTCCCCCGAGGGACACCCTTCACTCCTGGCATTTTCCTCCTGTCCCAAAAATATCAACAGCAAAAATATGAACAGCAAAGTACTGCAGTTGTGCTATGAATATAATAGTTAAGTAGGGTTCTGGTGCAATAAAGAACACCACACCCACAGGGTTTTTCTAACAACCCTTCCTTCAAATTATTTGTCATCTGTCCACTGGTAGTTATAAAAGACACTTCTTTTCAACCATTAACCCAAAACAAAGCATTGCAAAAATGTTTTAAGTCTTGCTAGAGGTATTAACAAACTTACAGCTAAAGCAGTAAGTTTTTGTTAAAAGCCTGCTGTATTTTACCCAGTTATCAAACCAGCTGTTTAGCCAATTCCTCTCCAAAAGGAATTTAGGATTTACAACCTTTACCCCAATAAAATATTACTGACAGCACATGCACATGACTGACCACAAATATAAATCCCTGTAACACCTGGACCTGTGTAACAAAGTTCAAATACAGCCACACTAGAACTACTCATATAAATCCCCCCATTTTGAAATCAAAATGCCCAGTAAATGATATAAAGCAGAACACAGCAAAACCACTGCAATGGTGTTAAATTCCCACCTGGTGATGAGAAGGGAACACAAACCACAAAAGCTCTCATGTTATGGTTGTAACCCTGATATTTTAATCACCATTAGACAACGAGGAATTACCTGAGGCTTGCTTTCAGTATCTTCTTTGGCATTTTCTGTTAAAGGTGATACTTCCCTAAAACAGAAGTTACTTAAATTAGAGTTGCTGCAAAAAAAAGGGGGACACCTTTAATGTGCTTAGTGGTCACTTTTACTTACAAAGAATCCTCCTGGCTTTGAGTATCCTGAGAAAATAAGGTGGTGTCTTGGGATGCATCCAAATTGTTGTACATGGCAGGAATGTCAACCCTGAAACAAAACCAGCAATGGGAAGTCAACAATAATAAATTCCCTTCTTTGGAATTTATTATCTCCTTATTTCAAGGCCACTATTTTCAGTTGCATTTTCAAACAAGCTTTTGGAGAATAAAAGCTGGGATTGGGATCCCACTCTGCAAAGAATTCCCCAGCACTTGCTGACTGCACAACCCAGCCCTGCCCCTTTGGGTGACACAAGTTCTGCTCACACTGGCTTTTGCTGCCCAAGCACAGAAAACACTCCAAAATTAATTTCTCCCATTAAAAAGAGGGTAATTCTAAAGATTCCTCTGTAATTAAGGTGAGTCCTGGGAATATCCTGATTTGCTGACACAAGACTTCTCTTCAAATTCAGAGGTCCTTCCCTCAGATTGGGTAAAACAACCTGTTTGCTTCCATGATTCAAGAAAAATTACATTTTCTATTTCACTTCATGAAGTAAAAATGTAAACTCCAAATTATCCAACTCCAAACAGACTACAGAGAGTGTATTTAATCAAAACAGGCAATGCAGTTCTGAGAGTAATCTGGTTGCTTTAAAACAGCAAAGCAAGGAACTCTTTTAGGTTTAAACTTTATAACTTGTATGGAAGGTCAAGACTCAAACCCGTGTAGGAGTCTGAGATACAGGAATTGAAGTTAATTAAATGTGAGATACTCAATGTAACGACATTTCATATTAAAACAGAATAAATGACAGACCTCTTTGACCTCAGCACTTCTTTCTGATGTTCTGTCAATACTCTTGCTTTTGTTTCTGGAGGAATAAACACAAAATCAGCTGATTTCTCCTCTTCCAGAAGTATCTCACTTGGAGTCTTCGAAGATGCAAATTCTAGTTTTAACTGCAGAAAGGGAAAAAACCCCAAATGCTGGGTTAGAAAGGGGAACTGAAAATCAGGAGTTCCTTAGGAACACAACAGCCTTCCCTCCCTGTGACAGATCTGTGTACAGAGCACACTCCCACCAAACCCAACAGCCGCCTCCAGACCCCAATCTGTCAAACCTACAACCAGAGTGAGGTGAGTTTTGTGGGGCTGCCACTCCTCCCACCCACCACACCCTCCTTAGATCTCAAAAATCTATAAACTCAGCAGAGAATTCCAGCAAGAAAATCAAATTAGAGTGTGCTGGACAGCTTAAGTTTGAAGGAAAAAATATTCCAGCGCCACAAAACTCATTGTTTCATTATTTTTCCCTGAGGATTTGCAGCAGCAGAGTGGCTGTTCTGCTGCAGAATGGGATGTGTGATTCTCTCACCCCTCTCTGGGAACACTTTACCTTTGCAGGTGTTACTTGCACGTTACTGGACTTGTCTTTCCCATCGTTTTTCTGGTCACTCATCTGTGCCAATATAGAATCTCGTTTCTGACCCAGCTTCACTTCCATTCCACTCATCTTTGCATCCAGCTGGGAATTTTCCATCTATTCCAATAAAAATACACTGTATGAAGAAGCTCCAAGCTCACAAACCCACCCTGAGATGTATTAATTTCTACATGCTCCCATTTCCCTCTAAATTGCATAGAGGACAACTTAAATTAATTGTTCAAAGAAGCTTTAAAAGGCATAAAATGTTTAGAACCAGCTCAGCCTTTTGACAGTGCTCACCCAGCATAGTTTATCATTCCAAACACGAAGTCAGAGCAGGTCAATCATAGTAAAAACCACAACTGACCTTCTGAAGGATTCCCAGGAAGCCCCCACCGGGCTCAACAAGGTATTTACCGTGTCAGAGAAGGGCCCACTGCATTCTTCACCCATCTCAATGCTTTCAAAGCCAGGCAGCAGCAGAGGAACTTTCTTTTTGGCTTGGCTTAACACAGATCTGCTCAATAAAAAAAGCATTTTAAACTTCTGGAGGGGGAGAAGGGGCACAGCAAGAGCAGCAGATCCCCCAGAAACCAGGACCATTTGTACATAACCCGAGATCTCTTCCTTTAAAGACGTAAACATGGAAAATATCTTACTTTAACTCTTCAGGGTATGTGAGTGAGGCAGCCTTGGCAAAGGTGGAATTCCAGAACTGGGCACACTGGTTCCTGAGCTGTTTGCTCCTGTGCTGGAACCCTGCACAGAGCAGTGGGGAGAGCTGCTCCAGCATCTCGCTGTCGTAGGAACCCGTGCAGTGGGACTGCAGACACTGCAGAATCTCTGCCAGCAGCTTCTCAAGCTGAGGGAGAGAAGAAACAAGAGAGTTTTCATTTAAACTTCGAAATAATACATGAAATATTTGATTAAAACCCCTATTGAAAACATTATTATCCCACATAATTGTACAGCCCGAATAAATAACTTTAAACACCACACAAAAAGTCTAATAGCTTAGAGCTCCTCCCCTCAGCAATAACACATCATTTAAACATTAAATCTCCACCTTTATTACATTTTTAATTTACTTTTTTTAATACAGGATGAATGGCAAAGCTCTGGTGTCCCACATTTCCCCCAACCTCACCTATTTCTCCAGTAAATTTACCTTGTTGTTAAGATTACTGTAGACTTTGGGTACCTCAGGGAGCCTGCCAAAACAAACAAAAAAATTACATTTTGCTGTCTCATTTATCCCAAGCATAAAAATGTAACATATAATACCTTCAAGCTTTGCACAGTAGTTTTAGTGTCTAGTGTAGTGTATATATAGTTTGGTATAGGATATAAAACTTGATGGAATCATGTTGGGAAATGAGCCTCCTGTTGGGAGATTAAACCATTTCTAATGTAGTTTGAAGTCAGATTCTCCTTTAACCCCCACTCATATGCTGAATTTCAGAGGAATTGATGGAAAAGTCAGTAGTAATCAGTACAAATTTAAACTTAAAGCTTTTCTTATGAAATACTTCTAACTGCCTTCTCTGTGCTTCTCTTCACCCTCTCCCCAAACAGAAATACCTGCATTAAAAAGCTGAAACACCCCCTAAACTAAGCAATTCCATGTAAGTAAAGCCCTAGAATTAGGCAGAAAAATAAGAGGAAACTGCCATTTAGCAGCTTATTTTAGAACCCTGTGTCCTCCAAGCTGAAGAGGTTCCCAAACTTGTATTTGCTTGCAAATGTCTTCCTTCAAAAATATATCCAATTTCTCTTTTTTCCTGAATAAATATAAGACAGACAATGCTCAAAGGCTGGTGAGATGGGAGATGGAGAGAGGTGGAGTCCAGCTCATCCTTACACAGGAACAAGTGGATTCTTGCCTCTGGGATGGGGATTTCTGATGAGTTTTAGGGGAATTTTAGGCAGCCCTGCTCCAAGTTCCAGTAAAATCTATGACAAAATAAAGAATAAAGCAGCAAAGCTACATAAAGAAAAAAAACACAAAGTTTTTCCCAGTACTTCCTTCTGCTGAAAAACTTCCAGGATCTGAGTGTACAGTCCATTGTGATTTAATTCCTGTAAAATTTTATGCAGTTTCTGCCCACTAGAAAACAAATTATAATTAATAAATATCTTCCCTGCAGCGAAAATAAACAGGAGGTGGAAAGCAAACACTTCAGTCTTGCAGAGATGCCAACACTTCAAGTCTAAAGAGGCAACAGTTTTTAAATACCAAGCTTTTTGGAAGTGCTGAGAAGCCCTGAGCTCCATTCTGACCTGCTCCAAGAGCACACAACATTTCTTCAGTAAAACAAACCCAGTTTCCCAATCACTCCTAAAATACTCACTTGGTTTTTTCATAAAACACTGCCAGGGGCTTGGAAAAAATGGCAAACATGGTCCCCATCACTGAGGGCAGCGAAATGTGGCTGATGATGTTGTGAAGAGCAGCAAGGACTGAAGGGCCAACAGAGATCAGTGTTTCTGAACAGGTTTCTTGGGAGCTGAACACGTGGAAGGAGTCCAGTAACAGCACCAGGAGCTTAAAGAGAGAGGCAAGTTTGCCCAGGGGCTCCTTTTTCTTCTTAGACCAATCTGAAGGTGTCTGTGGAGCTAAAATTAGAAAACAAAAAGAAAAAGTTAATACAGCAAAACGCATCTGAGCATTCAGTCTATGTGAGAAGCAGAACTTTGGTTCCCAAACTGTATCTACAAAGAGTTTAAAACCAGACCTAACAGAATAAATACATTTTTAATTTTATCATATCTCTACTGATTCCTATTCCTCTTATTTATGATTGGCTTTTGTGACTTTATTTTCTGTTTGAAAATAGGCAACCACCACTCTACAGATACCAGTGGATACACATAAATTTTGGAACAGGTGAGGAGGAGGGAAGGGCAAATATAAATTTATATTAGTTTATTTATTTATAATATAATTATACACACACATACATATATATATTTATAATAATAATTTCTTTATAAGTGAAGTTTACATCATGTTTTATCTCATCAACAGTTCCAATCAAAGCATTCCATTCCCTCAGCAGTCCAACACAGCATCTCACTACTTTAACAAATTTCCTGTGGGGCAGAGAGATTAGAAATGCTTCAGTTTTATAGTGAATTGTGTTATTTTGTGAATTATTTGTTCAGATTTTCAGAGAATGTCACAGAGTATTTCACAGAATATTCTGAGTTGGAAGGGACCCACAAAGATCAATAAGTCCAACTCTTTAAGTTCAGTAGTTTTAAGTGGGAGTAAGAAATAAAACAGAGTATTTTACACACAGTGACCCTTTGTCTTCTTAAACCTACTCCCAACTATTTCATACAAAGCAGGTTCAGGAGCAGAAGCAAAGTGTTGTTAACAATTTACCCTTGGTTTTCAGCAGGAATTGTAACATTAGACTCTGGGTTATGGCCCAGCATTGCTGCCTCAGATCAGAGCTGAGCAAAGCAAAAGCAGATCTCACAAGCAAAAATGAAATTACAGCCAAAATATCAAATACCATTTTAGAACCCAGCAGTGTTTAACAGTGAAAAAAAGAGTGAAAGGGCCTCAATATGTATTTATATAATATATTTATACCAATCTCAGCTGTATTTTGCCAGGCTGTGCAGGAACTGCTCAACAAATAGCAAAGGTCTGAGACTCAAACAGGCTGATTGGATGATAATTTTAATTCCTTTTATGATTTTTGCCAGTCCTTTCAGAGGTCAGACAGCACATGCAGCACATTCACACCACTGATATTCTACAGTTGTCACTTCTGCACCCACAACACCATTAATTTTTACCCAACTCTAAGACACACAGAACCCCCAAATATTCAAGCATTTCCTTACATCTGGTTTTTGGCTGGTATTTGGTACCATATGGAGCAAAGTTGATGCAGTCAACCATGACTGAGACAACGTGGGTGAGACCTTCCATCATGGAAAACATCTGAGGAGCAACAGAAACCATCAGGAACAGGAATCACAGCAGAGCCCAGGAGAGAAACAGTGACAGGAAAACACACTTTGGTCATTCAGGACAGAAAGGCAACAGCTTTTAATTTAAAGGTGGTGAAACTGCTCTGTACTATCAGACTCAGATAAAAATACATTTTAAATACATTTACACGTGATGATGAGTCTTCCCATTCTGTACAAATAAGACATAAGCAAATGCACTGTCTGAACAGCAAAGAAGATTTAAGATGGATCAAAAGAATTAAGGTTCAAGGGTTTTTTTCCTCCCAATCCATCAAAACATCTTCTACATAAAGCCAAACCTGCTTTACAGGGGACACTGATATTCTAGACTAATATAAAGATTCAATATAACTTGCACACTAAACTTATAAATTGTTTAAGTTTGGCTTGTTTATTAATTATTGATTTTTGGCATTGATGTTTATCATCAGGATATGGTAGCATCCAAGGTAAGGTATAATGATGCAAAACTCTAAATCCCAGGTTTGCAAATTCCATTGTTTTTCTTGTTTCTTTCACAGCATTTTTTTAGAAGAGTGAACTTTAAGCACAAAGGGGTTTATCTTCCAAAGCTGATGTTCACACCCAGACAATCCACCTCCCCTCATAGTGGGGGTTTCTTCTTCCAAAAGCTTTCTCTTTTATAAAGCTTTACAAGTAAAGTCTTCAAATTTTACTTGACAAGGGTGATGCCACCAGGAATTAACCAGCAGCAAGTGCAATCTTCCCTCCTTCCTATTTAAAATACTCAGTTTTGTGGTATTTGCCAATTGAAGTTACTTGATATACATTTATTTCAACTGGATAAATCCCATTTATCACCATGATGACACTCACTAAAACAGTTACCACTTAATTAGTTAGGAGACAAATTTAAACACTGCTTAACTGCTGTTTTAATATTTAATAATAAATAATTTAATAAAGTAATAAACAAATTAATAAATCAATCAATAAATTAATAAATCTATTTCAACTGGATAAATCCCATTTACCACCATGATGACACTCACTAAAGCATTATCACTTAATTAGTTAGGAGACAAATTTAAAGACTGCTTAACTGCTATTTTAAGATTTAATAATAAATAAATTAATAAATTAATTAATAAATTTATCTCAACTGGATAAATCCCATTTATCACCATGATGACACTCACTAAAACAGTTACCACTTAATTAGTTAGGAGACAAATTAAGCACTGCTTAACTGCTGTCTTAATATTTAATAATAAATAATTTAATAAATTAATAAATTAATTAATAAATTAACAAAATGATGAATGAATTAAGAAATTAATAAATCTATTTCAACCAGATAAATCCCATTCACCACCACGATGACACTCACTAAACCATTATCACTTAAATAGTTAGGAGACAAATTTAAAGACTGCTTAACTGCTATTTTAAGATTTATCAATCAATAAATAAATATTAATATTTAATATTTATAGTTATTTTTACTCCTTTCTTTCAATCCATTTCTTTATCACCTCCAACTCTTTTCTTACAGCTTGAAGTCTCATCCAAACCAAAGCACAAATCAGGAGTTTACACCAGGTTCTTATATCTAATTTCAAATATACCTGCTGGAGTATTTCATAGAGTGCAGTATCACAGGTTTATACTCACTACTGGAGTTTCACCTTCTAGCCCAGCCATAATTTTGGCACACAGCTCCTCACAGCACACGTTCTCCTCGGCTGTTGCCACCAGGGCAGCGCAGCGCGCGAAGGCTCGGTACAGCTCCGACCACGAGCGCAGCAGGGACTTCATGGTTGGCTTGAACAGAGAGAAAAAGCTCATCAACATCGAGGTCTCTGCACAGGGGTAAAAGTTTTCTTCTTCTGTCAAACCTATGTGGCTCTTGAGGGTTTTCAGTTTGAAATGTTGGAGTTTTAACCCGACCCTGAGCAGCGGTGTAATGTCGACACGGACTGGTGGCAAATTCCTCCCCCCTGAGATCATCAGGCAGTTTTTACAAACCCCATAATGCTTTTAATTAATATTATGTATTCAGTGGTACCTGGGGAAAGCCCTGAGTGGGGAAGATGTGTGACACTGGCAGCAGCAATGCACTGTACACAGCACTGAAGTTGTGCTCCAGGGCATCCCCCTGATTCACTTCATTGGTCTGCAACGAGAAAAACGTTTTCTGATTATTGGAGCTGCAAAACTGAGGTGACAAATAAGGCTGTTCCTGGTTCACTGACTTGTACACGAGACCTGTGCAAGCTCAACTGCCAGTGGCAGTTTGAAATTAGCTGTTCTGCTCTTGAAAGAGTTCAGGCTGCTACTAGAAAACAGATAAAAAGCACTGTTTGTAATTCCAAGAACAAAAACAATCTATTGGAAAATGTCTTGGGTGTTTTTCACTTAGTTCAGTTGCAGTAAGTGATGACAACAACTTACTTAGAATCATGGTTTGGGTGGGAAGGGACCTTAAAGCTCCTTCAATCTCACCTCCTGCCATGGGCAGGGACACCTTCCACCAGCCCAGGTTGCTCCAAGCCCTGTCCAACCTGGTCTTGGACACTTCCAGGGATCCAGGGGCAGCCACAGCTTCTCTGGGCAACCTGGGCCAGGGCCTCCCCACCCTCCCAGCCAGGAATTTCTCCTTAATCTCTAATCTATCCCTGCCCTCTGACAGTAGGAAGACATTCCCTGTGTCCTGTCACTACACTCCCTTGTAAATAATCAGAGCACCTAAAATTTTGTTCACAAACTCTAAGATTTTTAGGTCCAACGACCACATGAGGATTAATTAATTCAACAACTCCTACATTACAGTCAATACATTACTACTAAGAACCTGAAAAACCCCTTAAATGTGACAGTTTATATGGCTTCCATTAGGGCTTTCACTCAACAAGTCTAACATCAGTAAGAAATTCTCGTCTAATTACATCCTGAACATCCCAATTTGGGATTTATTACATTTTTCACATCAGACAAACAAGCCTCAGTTCCTGGAGGGCAGGATTCCATGCTTTGGGACAGCAAGACTATGCCAAGGAGTCAAGGCTTGGAGCACATCCATGAGTGTGTTTATAAACTCAAGAAAAGGAGGAAAGCATTCCCAACCATCCTGAACATTGCACTTAAGAATGATCATCATTGTAAAGCCCACTGTGGATCAAGATAAATGATCAGCACAAGGTTTCCCTGTGGGGTTTTGGGGAAGAGAACCCAAAGCCACTGTACCTGATTAATCCATTCTGTCAGAGGATTAACAACAATGCTCCACATCCTCCAAAGGTGCTCCTTGTTTTCCACCTGCTTGGAGCTCTGGTTGATGACACAAATCACAGACTCACTGAAAGCCAGGGGAGATGTGGGCCCAGACAGGACATAACCCACAAGTGTTTCCAGAATCACAAAGAATCTGGGGAAGGAAGTTCAACAGGTCCTTTTTTTAAAATTTTTTTTTAGGAAAAAAAAACCCCTTCTGTGAAGTCTTCTAAGGGAAGTTTGATATAACCAAGCACCAGCACATACCTCTCATCTGTTACACAGCATTCCAAGAGGTTGTTATGGAAAGGCAGCTGGATTAAGAACAAAGCTGGTGTTCCCTTGGAAGAGAAATTTAAGAGGTCAAAACAACACATCCATTGATCAAATGAAATGGCTGCCCCACACCTCCACCTATATATTATATTTAAGGCAGAAATTTACAATTATTAAAAGTTGTCCAAAATTGTCAATTCTAACAATTCAAAATAAAAAGGAAAGCTGGAAACCTGAGCTGCTGCCAGATGCTGGGATTTACTTAGTTCAAGGTTGCAGCAAGAGATCTCTGGAACAACTTCTGTTAAAATCTGACACGAGTATCTCAAGTTGGATTGTGTCAGAGAATTAACAAAATGCATTTCACTTCAACCACCCTAATAAAGTTCTGACTCTTCTACCTAAGTCAGAAAATATAAATAAAGCACTTGTGGTAAATTGGAGGAATTTGGGGAGTTGAGCTCTTAAGCCAGTTCTAGCAGACAAAGCTTTATCCTGCTCAGTTGAGTTCAGCATTTGCTTACCCTTGTTATACTTAAGACTGCTCTCAGATATTTGTCTGCTTTTCAAAGCTTCCAAATCAATTCCATGCCTGGCTAATAAAGTAAATGTTGGGCTAAAAACCTCTGTTGCAACTGCTGCAAAATAAAAAGTTGCCTTCTCTCTACTGGTGGATGGAGAAAACCTGATGGTCATCCAGTTTTAAAAGTCTTTAAATACCTTTCAGCTATTCAGTCTCCTTGCAAAGTACCTAAAATCTGTATTTTAAATCATGACCTGAACCTGAAAAATCTGTTTTCCATCATTGCTTCCAGTACTTATCCATCCTTATCTATAGGTTGTTAAATTACTCCTCAGAAATGGGGGCTGGAAACAAAGTCTGCATTCTGGAACTTTGAATAATATGGTTTCCTGAAAGATCTGGGTCTCATGAAGTGCAGCTATGACTTCCTAATACCTTTCAGCACAAATAAAGCTCTGGAATAAAGTCAGACTTACATTTAAAAGGTCCATATCAGCAACCTGATAAGCTGGTGATCCCAATACTTTTGGAGGCAACTCCTTAACAGTAATATCAATGAGGGACTGAGTAGGGGAAAAGAAAGAAATACACGTAAATATATTTTTCTGAGGGTTCAAATATTATAAGTAACACCATAAATAAAAGCAAAATTGAAGAAACTGGTTCCCTTTAGGAAAAAAAAAAATCCCTCAGTCTTTTGAAGCAGAAGGTTCTGGCAGGAGAACCATGGACCCAACTGTGCTGATAAATCTGAAAAAACACTGTTAAAGCAAAGAAATCCTTACCAGTATTTTCTGCACAGGAAGAGAGCTTGATCTCACAATGTTTTTTAAGGCCTGGAGCAACATAGTGAGGATTTCTGACCCTTGCTTTTCTTTCTTATTTCCTGGAATAAAGAATATTTACAGTTAAAGCAGAACCAAGTCACTCTGACCATCAATAAAACTTCCTATTTAAGTACTACAAGACCAAAAAAAATCTGTGTATATTTGTAAAAATATATCAAATACTTAAGGGATTCAGAACTAAGTCTCTACTCTGAACAACAGTGTAACTGAAACTTCAAGGTTTAAATAAAACCCCTGAGTTTTATAAATTGTATCATTAACAACCTTATCTCTGATATACTAAAAGAAGTTGTGGAACTTTGCATTCATCCAAGGAATGCTCTTCATTTCTCTCACCCATTTCAGTCAAATTTTTCATTATAAAAGGTTTCATTATTAAGAATATTCTGGACTTTCAAAGCCTTTGCAGCATAATGGACACTTTACATAGGAAACAACTTTTATACATCTGTAAAGACACTATAATTTACTCTGAAACAATTTAATTACAGAAAAAGGCAGCCATAGTCACATACCCAAGATTTCACACTGATCTGAGTAACATGAATGTCTCCATTTCTACAAAGACTTAAAGTGGGGTTATTTTTTTTGTTGTTTTTTTTTTTTAAACTGTTTTAAAAAAACCCCCAATTACTGATGAAAATTAAACCTAAACTTCATCAGCAAGAAAGCAGCAACTTATGTCTAGTTTTAAAACCTCCATACAACCTTTAACTGGTCAGCAGTGACAGACTGAAAAAACACAACACTTCTTACCTGATTCAATTGCTGTTTTTACATATCCATTTATGTCCTTCCATATAACATTCAGCATACAATCTACAAAGCAGCAAAATGGTTTTATTCAGTGTGGATTAAAAACATTAAATAAAATTGCAGGTAAAATACAAATTGTGTTCAAAGACAGACTTTGATTTAAGCTAAAAATTATCCAAGTTTTCAAAGTCAGGCCAGTTCTCTTTAATGTAACATCAGGATATTGCACAAAGTGCTTATTTCTTATGTTTGCCTCTCCCACTTGGTTTCCCAGAAAATAATGAAATTCCATCATGGAATTCTTACCAGGAACTTCTTTTCCAATTGCAATAAAGCCATCCTGCACTGCATTGATGAGTGTGCTGGCATGCTTACAGAAAAAAGAGGGGCTGCTGATCAGCGGGGACTGGAGAGGCTCTAGAACAAGAAAACATGATTCATAAAGATGTTGTTTTGCAGTTTACTGGTAAGATAAGCCTTAAAAATAAGCACTTAACATCTTAAAGATGACAGCTAACAGTTTTAAGTGTTTACAGCATTTCATTCCAACAGACATCTTTAAATCCAATAATACTGACAATGAGATTATGCAAAAATACTTTAAAAATATATAAAATTCACGTACCTAAACTGAGTACAAGTTTGTTTTGCTTAGCAAAATCTAAAACTCCTGGTCCCATCAAGAAGTGCAGCAGCATTTCAATGCCCAAGAGCTGGATGGAAGAAAACATCACCCCTCCTGCTGGGCTGGAATTCAGGTTTATCCTCGGGGTGGCTGGACTCACCAATGGATAAGGACCTAAAGGAGGGAGAAAAGTCACATTGTCTCACATTCCAAGAGAAAGGGAAGATCCAACAGACCAAAATCTCATAGGAAAAGAACTAACTGTTGTATAGGGTTGGCTGAAAGGGACTTCTAAAAGCCAGACACTCCTAAGTGGGGTTTAAGAAAAGCATTTTGACCGACCTCAGTTGGGATCTCACCAAGATGAACTTTTTTAAGGAGGGAACACAGGAAACTCCCCAAATCCAGGACACCTCCACAACATACCTGGGCCTCCTAATTACAGCAGGCACAATGACACAGGTTGGGAATGCCAGGTTCCCACAAAGAGAAGGAAAAGAGGCACTTCCTTATCTCAGATAGTTGGATGCAAAGCTCAAGGAGGTCTGGTTTCACATTAGTACCAAAGCTACTGATGCATCATGATCACTGGGCAGAATTAGATGGGATATTGGGAAGGAATTCCTGGCTGGGAGGGTGGGGAGACCCTGGCCCAGGTTGCCCAGAGAAGCTGTGGCTGTCCCTGGATCCCTGGAAGTGTCCAAGGCCAGGCTGGACGGGGCTTGGAACAATCTGGGATACTGGGAGGTGTCCCTGCTCGTGGCAGAGGGTGGGGCTGGATGAGCTTTAAGGTCCCTTCCCACCCAAACCATCTGGGATTCTACACTATTCAAGTAAAAACTAAAAATGCTACAGAAAATAAAAGGGCACAAATAAATAGCACACATATAAATAAATACATGAAAAGTTAAGTTTCAAACCAGAGCTCCCTTGCAACAGAGAACACAAGTCAGGACACTAAAACTTGTCCTCCCAACACAGAGCATGATTTTTTAAACTTTAAATGCTGACTGGAAAAGCCTCATTTTCCCCAGTGTAAATCACCACTTCTGAGCTCTGCAGAAAAATTCCTGGTTTCCATAATCCATTGTAAATGAAAAAGCATGAAGATGTTAAAGAGAGCAGGTGACCCTGCACCCAGAGTTGAGCTGGGAACAGGCTGCTCCTCCTGTACCTGGTTTCTGCCCAGGGGTGGCTGAGCCCAAGCTCTGGTTGGCTGGAAGGCGTGAGGGGGTTCCTGGGAATGCAGCAGCAGGATCCAGACTCAGAGTGCTTTGGATTAATGGGACACAGACCTGCAAAGAGATCACACCTCACTGAAAATGGTTATAACACACAAAAGCCATAAAACACACATCTCAAACATCACATAGAGCTGTTGTTCACAGCATTGGTGTTTCAGAGTTTCTGGGTACTTTTAATATTAAGATGTATAATGATAAATTAATTTGAAATGGCTCAATTAAACAAAAAGTCCTGGTAGATATGATACAGTTGGATCACTCTAAGGCACTTTTTTCCTCCTCTTTTACTCCCATCCTGAAGTTTAATTTAATTTAATGAAATTCAGGTGTTGAATGGAAACATTATGATCATTCCAGTTACCAGTAATGAAACACCAGGATCATTTTTCCCTTCCATCTTCCTAAATATTTTATGGTCTTTTCATTAAGTTTTCCTATGGCAAACTTTCCAAAGCACCCACTTTCTTGGTGAAAGGGCAAAACAACCCTTAAATAATGTGCTTATGCTCCCTGTTGTGCAGTCACTGGACACTTCCAGAGATGCTCCCAGGACTTTCAGACAGGCCCCCAAATCTTTTGGAACTTGATGTTCCAAGGGCACATTTAATCCCAAGTATTTCTGCTGTACACACACACAGAGCACAGAAAAATAGAGTCAAATTTGGTTCCTTAAGGTAGTTCTATTTCATAAGATAAAACTAGATAAGCTAAAAACAAATCAAATAACCTAGAGGAGGATGAAGCAGGCAGGAATATGTTAGAGGAACCAGCAGGGGACTCAGCCCAGGACTATTCCCAGCTGTGTTACCTGTTCAAAGTTTGAAGGCAGGTGAGTTCCCAACCTCATGAGTAAATACCACCAGACCTCCAGCTTGGTCAGTGCCAGAGCCTCTGTTCTCACATGGATTGAGCTCAGGGGCTGCATCAGTAATTTCAGCCTTTTAGCACTGCACAGGATATCTGGAAGACCAAAAAAAAAGGCATATTTTAAGCAGTACAAATAATTAAACCACAGGGCAAGAAAAAAAAAGGGGGAAATAATTAAACCAACAGGGGTTTTTAGCTTAAAGTTTAACGAGTGCATAGTAAATGCACCAAGCTTTCAGACTGTCTTTACTGCTCTAATTGTTGTCTAGAACACCTCTGGAAATACAAGTATTTCTTACCAATACTGAAGTGAAATCTAGTGAATTCCAACAAAACTAGAGGGAAATTTACCCTTGCACCCTCACTTGACATGGATGTGCACTGGCACTGGGTGAGAAGGAAGGATCTGAGGCTGCCAAGGATCATTTGCCACTGAAGGAGAAATGGCACAGCAGGTCTGGGCAGACCTTTGCTCAAGCCTGTGCAAGTGTTTAAGGAAGAGGAAAAACTTCTGCCCAGCTCAGCAGCAGCAGAACCTGCCCCTCTCCAATCCACAGGAGCTGCTCCTGCAGCTGGAAGTCCTGCCCAGCCACCCTGGGACACAAACAGCCAACACCAGCTGGGCCAGGGATTTTATCTTCCCATAAAATAGAACCTTTTAATTCATTTATGTGAAATTATGATCAGAACAAACAATAAGAAACACAATAAAATTGTGTTTTAAGACAATTAAAGATAAATTCAGCTAAACTAAGGAATGTCCACAATTAGTTTTCTCTTCAGAACACACTGAGAAACACAATCAAGATAAAAACCAAAATATTCTGTGTTTTGACACAGACTGGACTAACAACTTGGTCAGGTCTCAGTTATACCTTTAAAGCATCTTTTTTAACACCTCTACAATTCTGAAGCACTGCCCTTCTCCAGTTAATCCACACAGTCCAAAATAAGATGTACAGAACGTTTTAATCTCTATTTCACTGCTGTTTAGATCAGTTAAAGCATTACAAAACAAATGTAATATTATTCTATTCCTATCAGTCCCAGCAGAAAAACTGAGATAGAACAAAGGATCAAACTGTCCTTTTGCCTTAAAAATAAACAAAACAAGAAAAAAAAACCTCAAAGAAACCCAACATCTTGAATTTTATTTATATCTATCCCACTGTGTGTTTGTGTACACCACAGACACACCAGGTGTGAATATTCTATTCCAGTCAGGGAAAGTGACAGTAAGCAAAATAATTCAGGTTAATTTTTGTTTTAAATCTACCTGGGTTTAGAGCAAAATTATCTATGAGACTCTTCCATGCAATGAAGGCAATTTTCTTTACCACTGGGGAGCCACTCCGAAATCCAAGTTCCTCCAGCTGCAACAGGGAGTTGATGAAACTCCCACTGCGATGAAGAGTCTGGGGATAAAAAAGTTCAAAATTGAGGTAGTTTAATGCTGTTAAAAATTCTTTTTCTGAAGATTCATGATTGTAGAACTCATTATTTTGCTGCTCACCTTTCCAAGCAGTTTGACAAACAGCGGCCACAACTTCAGCACAAAAGTCTCGTTTTTTGCAGAAAACAATTTCTGAAGGTCAGAAATCAACTTCTGCAGGCAGAAAAAAACAGCATTTCTACAAGAAATATAGTTAAAATATTCTAACAACTATATTTTCACACCCATTTTGAGTAGGAGGCTAAGCTAGTCAATATGAGTTACTGCCACACCAATTTCTGATAGAATTTGGTGAGCAAATTCCCTTGCAGAGACAACAGAAGTTTAATGGCATTTATGAGTTAATGCTGTTGAGACTGGTGCTTGAAGCATTTAAAAGCAGCAATTTATTTTCCTGATCAATGATGATTTTCCTGATTAATGGTTCCTGTCCAGACACATTGTTGTTTTTACACTGGTCCTGTTCCATTAATTTTTCCCATTAGAGCCACAGTCATCACGAAGGTGCTGTCAATGATTTTGCTGCCGTTACCTGGACTGTAAATAAAATTAAACATAAAATTGCAACCAAACAACCCCCACAACCCTCCTGCTGCTGTCTACAGACAAAACCCACGGCGTTCCCACTCACTGTGGTCATGAGGTGCTCGGTGACAGCTGCCACCTCCTGCTGTTTCTGCAGGAGCAGTGGCATTCCCATCTCCAGGGCAGTGGCCCCTCGCAGCTGCACCTTGTGAGCAGAGTGGACAACCAGAGGGATGATGAGCTTTGCCCACCTCACAGCCTCCTCTCCCATCTGGGCTGGGGTTTGCTCCATCAGGCTGCATCCAGAGAACAAATACAGGGATTATAAATCTCCAACAGACCAAATTATCTTTGTAATATCAATAAATGCTCTAATTCAACATATGATTTATAGGAAACCATTCTAAACTTCTTTAAGTTTTTTTCCAAGCAGCTCTATTTGGACAATTCATTTAAAACTACAAAGCTCCGGTGTTATTTTAGATAAACCTCTCCAAAAGCACAACAGACTGACATTTGCAGTGTCCTTTCTGCTCTGTCACAGTGATGTGTGCAAAGGAGCTGAACAAGAGCCTGGCAGGGACATTCCTTATCACTGCCCAAGTGCAAGGTTTGCACATGAACCATCCCTGGGTGTTCCCAGCAGCCCAGGCAGCTCCCACACACTCTGTGTGCTGGGAACAACACAGGCCTGCTCCTGGAAAACTCCAGCCCAGGTTTGCACAGACTCCATGCACGTCACCCTCCTCAAGTGCTTTTGTTTTATCCTCCTCTTCCAAAGCCGTCACAGCTCCAACATTGTCAGAACTCCAACAAACAATTCCACGTGTTTACACCATCCCACACGAGCCAACAAGACTTTCAGAAATGGGAATACCTGGCATTTACCCAAACCAGCCTGGAGGAACCAGCTCGTCTCTAGAAACCCTGGAATTTTGGCAAGTGGCCCCTTTGACTCAGGTAAGTCAAAACCATCCCTCCTACAGCTTCCAAAGGGAAAACTGCTGCCTTTCAAGGAATTTTATTAAAGCCAGAGGACAAGCACTGTTTAAAAGAACTGTTTCACTTTAAAATGGATTTGCAGCTCAAATCAGTTGCCAGAAGTTTAAGAGCAGATACAAGCTCAGCATATTTACTAATATAAAAATTAAATTACTACTAAGATAAAATTTGAATACTTTAACACTGCTGACCAAGACAATGCACTGTGTTGGTCCTAAAAAGTCACCTGTGGAATCCAACAGGAATCTCAACAGTTTTATGAGAAACACTGCAGGAAAATGTGGAAAACACCAAGGGGACATGTTTCAATAAAACCCCACGTAATGGGGGAGAATTTCTCAGCCAGGTAGGTTCTGGAAACAAAATGTAACTGAAGTAGACATGAGACTTTGGAAATAATTCCTAACAATTCACTTAAAAACAAAAGCAAGACTTTCAGCTGAACACTAATTTGTGCATCAGAATTGTCATATTATCATTAAGGCAATTGTTTGCCATTATAATGACACATAAAACAAGTGATGCACAGTGCAATTGCTCCCACCCCCTGACTTTGTGCCCAGCACCAGCCCCTGGCCAGCTTTTCCCAGTTTACACCTGGGCACGATGCCACATCCTATGGAATATCCTCTGTGCCCCCTCCCAGCTTTTTGTGTCCCCCAGCCCCTCACTGGTGGGGTGAGAAGCTGCAAAGTCCTTGACTGGGAGCAAACACTGCTCAGCACCAACTAAAACATCCCTGTGTTATCAACACTGTGCTCATCCCAAATCCAAACCACTGCACCAGCTACGAGGAAGAAAATTACCTCTATCCCAGTCAAAACTGCAAGAAAACAGTCCTTCACATACTGAACAATTGAAAGAGGATTAAAATTGTTTCTTTGGTATATTTAGTGCCATTGAGGTTTTGTTTATCAAGAGTTTTCCCCTCAAATTAAAGCACCTACTTTAACAATTGAATATTGAGTGCACCCACCGTATGATGACATTAAGTGCTTCATATTCAACCACAACAGACTGCACATCTCCTTTGGTAAGGATTGTTTCCAGGGTAGAGAGAATATTGGACACCTGAGGGAACAAGAGAACATCAGAGTGAGCACCTAGATACCAATAATTCCATGGGGAGCTGGAATGATGAAATTTCATTTTCCAGGACTGTGTTTGGATTAGGCCAGGTCTGATTTTAAGGTCAGAGCTCTGAGCAAACTGGAACATTTAGAGTATTTTTCCCCATTTCACTGGTTTCTAACAGAATTGCTCACATTGCAGCCTCTCCTTCGAGGGAAGCAATAACTTCTGGCTCAATTTTTCCAAGAACTCAGGCTGTGAAATCTGATGGAAAACAACCTTCGGATTCAAAAAGCTACTGAGCGGAGCGACCAAGAGATTGCACATCGGGCCAGCAAAAAGAAAAGGGAAAGGAAAGAGAAAAAACTCACCTCCTTTTTTACAACTTCAGGAGGAAAGGCCTGCTTGGAGATCACCCAAAGTGCCCGAGTGCAGGTGTTTTTGTCTGAGGATTTCACAGCGACGCCGTTCACTGCCGAGAGCAAATCCTGCATTTCGGGGGCTGAAAGCACAACAAACACTCAGCCCTCAAATCCTGGGCAAGTTCCAGGTCATTCTGCTCACTTAACACTGCTAAAGATCCATTCATTTACAAGTATCAGTGATTTCATGTCCTAAACATTACTTTTTGGCAGGTTCTCTCAGAATAAAGCAGCAAAAAAGCTCCAGATATATCAATATACAGATAGTATTAATGTAGTACATATTGGCTTTATAAGAATTCACAAAACCATAAAACTAGAAGGCAACTTTAGTTAAATACACTGGAGCTAAAGATTAACTATTTAACTATTCAAAGCTTCTTGGATTTCAAGTGAATTTAGCAGCACTGCTGAATGGACATAAATTCATTTTAGGGTCTACAAGAGGCTTTATCATTAAAAAAGGTGGTAAAACTGTAACTCAGTACACAAAAATTAATGAGGTTAACATAGACATGTAACCAGGAAGACTGATGAAACTTGTATTCCTTTCAAATTCCAAACTAACGAAGTCTGATTTATTACAAATTTGGGCTCTGTGGGTAAATGATTTTAAAATCAGAGAAACTTAAGGGCAAATATGCTCCTTTTCTCAACCAGAAGTACACATAGAAGTACATAAGCTGTTTGTCCTCATTCCTAAGTTTCCATTGTTCTCAGGAGTTCATTATTTCTGGAGCCTGACGTTCCCTAACAAAATTAACTGTAATTTATCAGCTGGATAAAAAAAGTTTAAAAAAAAAAGCGAGTTATGGGGGAAAAGAAAGGGACCACACAGATATTATTACAGATGTCTCATTCTCAGAGGAAACCAGAGTAAATTTTGGATAACAGGAAAGCAGGACACACTGAAAAACTGAGTAGGAGAACCAAAAGAATCCATTTCCAACAGAATGGCAGAGTCACAGGAAAAACACCCCCTCTGCACACCCACACAGATGGTTCAGTTCAGTCTTGCCTCAGGTTGAGTTTCTCTCTAGCAAAGGTCATTCCAGAACATTTGTCCAAGGGCATTTAACACTTCTCAGGAGAAGGAAAAAGACAATAATTGACTGCACACAATTTGCTCTTTGCATTGAAGCATCACCACGTACTCCCACACCATGAAGGACCACATAACAGCCACAGCACAGCACAATTCCTTGTGTGTCCACGGAAAACAACCCTGTTCCACCACCACACTGAGCAGCTCCCAACTGTGTTATTCCAACTGGACATGCCCAACACCTGGAATGTGTAACAGGGACTCTCAAGGACCAGCCAACCCCGGCCATCAGCTCTCCCCTGTTCCCAAAACCCTGTGCTTTTTACCTGGATGCAAAGCCTGGAGTTCTCAGCAGCAAAACCTTTGGTGAAGGGGATTTAGCACTTTCTGGGAATGCAGGTCATAAGATTTTGGATTACTCTGGATTAGTTTCAGTTGAAATACCCACCAGCCCAATATTTGGGGCTGGACTAGATGACCTTTAATGGTCTCTTCAGACTCAAACCACTCTATGATTTAACAACCAGAAATTACCAAGTAAGAGTGGAAAACACAACACAACTACACAAATAGGTTCTTCACTCTTTTTCCACTTGGACTTTTGATTTCTAATTTCACAAAATTCCTTTTTGATTTCTGTTTTTGATTGCTAACTCCACAAAAATATTTACAGAATCTAATTGCTACTAAAGCATTTAATGAAATTAGAAGTTAGTAAAACAGAATCAGTGTTAAGAACATGACAAAACACCCCCCTCCTTGTGTAGAAGATGGAATTAGTGAACAGCTCACACTGCTCATATTAGAGACAAAGCCACTGCACCACCTGGGAACTGCAAATCTGGTCAAAACTGAAATGAATGCTAAGACAGACAAAGAAAGAACTCCAGTGTATGTTTTTATGCACCCAGGTTTGTTTGCTTACCAGACAATTCAGCTGTATTAGCTGAATTAAAAGTGCAGAATCCCAAGGCCTGCAATGCTGCATTACTAAGCTCGGAGTTTGGACTGGAAATGTGTGCCTGGAAAAAGAACAGGAAACCACAAAGTCTCAGGTTACAGAAGTAGCTGAGAAATATTGTCTTAATTGTCTGAACAGAAGCACTTCTTGGTGGGAAATGCACCCCTGGAAGAATCCCTTCCTGATTCCATAAACTCCAAATCAACAGGACAATCTGAGGTGCTGAAGACATTTTTGCTCTCTGTGTTTAGACATCTTTCCTGAATTAACTTCTAAACATCCCAAGTCCTTTACTTTGGTTATGGATGTTATGTTCTATCACTTGACTCTCCAACTGTTTTTAAACATCTAAAACAGAGGAGAAAAAATGGCTAAGAACAGTTTTCACAATTATCTTTGAAAAAAACTGACATTTACTGCACATTCTGAATTCTGAAGTGTTTCTAAAGGCAGCCACAACACACTGTGTCTGTTCTGGCTGGAAGATTAGATTTGTCCCTGTGATGCTGCTGCCTGAACACATCCAAGACCCTGATTTTATTGTTTTCCTGTGGTAATTCCTCACTATACGGAGCACACATTTTGCCAACAAACCCTTACTGCTCTGTCTCTAACCTGCATTCCTATTAAAGCTTGGACTCCATGATTTGGGAGTCTTTTCCAGCCTTCATGAGTCTATAAATGGACACAAATATGAGCCTTACGCTGTCTGCTGACCTTGCCCTCCTAAACAGATCTTTGTTCACTCAAGTGCAGAGAACAGAATGGAAAAAAAACATACCTTAAACACTTTGCAGAGCTGAGGAAAGTGTTTTCTGACATCTGCAGTGAATACTTTGCCTCCTTCACCACTCAGGCGACTTTCAGGAGCAGAAGGAAAAACAAACAATATTTACAAACATAACTTTAAATTTCTGAGAGCATTAGCCAGGATATTTTCTTTGAAGGAAATAAACACAACACTGGAGAAGTTAAAGAGCAAAAATATGAGTCACAACACGACCCAGCGGTAAAATATTGTGTTATGGTATAAAGGAAAAAGTGAAGTGATTAATGACCCATTCAGTGCTTAAAGAGCATGAAAAAAACCACCAAAGACTTTAATTTTTTTGTCAACTTCTATAAAACCATTAGAAGTCAACACCCAAACTTAAAATGACTGCTGAAAAGTTACATTTAACAGAAATCTGTGAGCTTAAAAAGCACATTCCTCACAAACAGCTCCAGAATTCAGGCTCCCAACCCCAGGAAAACCCTGGCTTGACAACAGGCAAGGATGATTTTGCACATATGTGAAGAACATCCATACAGGAAAGTTGTAATTAAGTTCAGTCATCCTGGGGACAACCTGAGAAACCTGATGGGATTTAAGTATTAAGTCGGGACTTCTTTTTTTTGTCAGTTTTTACTAGAAACTTGTAAAAACTGGTATCTGAGCAATTACAGCTTTAAAAGTCACTACAGAACCGCAAGGCAGGAACCCATAGGAGACAGTGATGAAAAGAGATGGTGCTTATGCACATGATAAAATGGGAAAGAGGCAGGTGAAGAAGCACCTTTCAGAAAGAAACACAATTAAACCAAGGCATGATCATTCCAAAACCCGAGACACACAATAAAAACTTCACCTCTCCAATCGTAAAGCTGAAATGCAGGTCTTTTTTTTCATTTTAAAAAATAAAGTTATTATTTCCCAATATTCCTTCGCCCACCTTTGCAGATTCCCCAGGAAGTGCGACAGGGAAGGGAGGCTCTGGGATGCTCAGAGCCTGTAAAGGCGAACTCCTTCCTCCCTCCATCCTCCCTTCCTTCCCTTTCTCCAACCTCCTTTCCTTCTCTTTCCTTCCTTCTCTCCTCTTCCTTCAATCCTTTCTTTGCTCCTTTCCTTCCCTCCTTCCTTCGAAGGAAGGAGACATCCATCCATCCTTCCCTCCCTTCCTTCCTTTCCCTCCTCTCCTTCCCTCCCTCTCTCCACCCCCAGACCCGCGTGTCTCCCGCGGTCTCCCCCCCGCGGCCCCGCCGCTCCCAGCCCTTCCTCCCTCATCCCGGCCGGGGCAGGCGGGTCGCTGGCCCTGCCTCCCTCATCCCCGCTGGGGCAGGCCCTGCCGCGGCTCTCCCGGGGCTCTCTCTCTCCCTCCCCGTGCCCGGCCGGACCCCTCCGGCCGCCCGCTCCCCTCAGGCAGCGTGCGCGTGCCCCCCGCGCCCACCTGACGATGGTGAGGTGCGCGTCCGTGAGCTCCCCCGGCGGGGCGGCGGGGTCCTCCAGGGTGTGCAGCAGCGGGGCGAGGCTGGGGCCGGCGGCGGGGTCGGCGCGGGCGGTGGCCGGGGCGCTCACGGCGGCGGCGGTGGCGGTGGCCGGGGCGCTCATGGTGGCGGCGGCGGTGGCGGCCCCTGGGCCCCGCGCACCTCCCGCGCTAAGATGGCGGAGGGCGCGGGCCCGGCGGCGCGCGCGGGCCCCGGCCAATGGGAGCGCGGCGGAGCCGTTCCCGCGCCCCGCGGCGGCCCCGCCCCTCGCCGCTGATTGGCGGGGGCGCGGCAGGAGGGGCGGGGCGGGGCGAGGGGCGGGGTCGCCTCAGCGCTGAGGGCGCTGGGTCTGCCCCGACCTCCCCCTCCTCAGCCCTTGCATCTTGGGATCGTGGGATGTTCGCTGGATGCATGCACAGGGATCGTCCAGTCCGACCGCAGTCCTGCCCAGGACACCCCAGCAATCCCACCCTGTCCCTCAGAGCGTTGTCCAAACCCTCCTGGAGCTCTGGCAGCCTTGGGGCTGTGCCCACTGCCCTGGGGAGCCTGGTCAGTGCCAACCACCCTCTGGGGGAAGAACCTTTCCCTGAGATCCAGCCTGACCCTGCCCTGGCACAGCTCCAGCCCTTCCCTGGGTGCTGTCCCTGGTCACACAGTGCTGCCCCCTCGCCCGCCCCTCGTGAAGAAGCTGCAGACCCCGATGAGGTCAAATCATTAATTTTAATGACTGGAAATTAACCTCCAGCTCCATAAAACCCTGCCGGCATCACCCGAAATTCCCTGAGCGCAGGATGTCCCGCCCGGTGGGCTGGAGGTGACGCCTGTGGGCTGCAGGGGTGACTGGGGGTGGATTAGGAAATATTAGGACTGGCAGCGAATCCAAAGTGTGGAGAATCCCTGTTTTTCAGGGATAGAGACAGGCCTGAGCGGTCACGTCAATGGCTGAGTCTTCCTCAGTCACCTGCACTGGCGATGCCCGGCAGGAGTGACTGTCCTGGGAAAAGTCTCTTCCCAAAATCCTGCCCCCAGCTCCGGCTCCATGAGGGTCTCCAGACAGGGAGGTATTCCCTGTACACCCCCGGATCTGATCCATGTCAATTCAAGGTCTGTTGCTTCTCAGTTAAAGGAAGAACAACAAACCCCAAACCGTAAAAAATTACCCCAGGTCATAAATAAAATGTTAACAGTTCTCTTCATGCTTTTCCTTATTCTATTCCTTATTAACAAGAAGTATCTTGGAGAACTGGAATGGCATTGTATGTCTGCGAACACAAGGTGGCAGGATTAAAAAGCGGATTTTAGGTGCAGCTACATCCCATAAATGTCGGGATACAGAACTTGTTTCCCGATGGAGCAGGAATAAAGTGTTGGAAATAACCAGGAGAGAAGCTGCAACATTGTCCTCCAGTACAGCCAAGAAGCAGGATCATATTCCCAGTGAAATTACATCAATAAAAGCTCAAAAATGAAATCAATTAAAAGAACTGAGCATTAAGATAAATAAAGCAAAGATAGGTTTGATTAGCTCGAGATCCTCCTTGTGGAAATCGTTTTCAGAGGGATTCACAATACTCCAGACAAAATGTGATTCACAGGAAGGTTCTCAATGGACATTAGATTTGGGGCCAAGAAAACAGTCAGAGAAATAGAGAAACCCTTAAAACTTAAATCAAGAAAATGTGCCAAAGTCTGAAAAGTTCTAAAGAAATAAAAATAATCCATTGCAAACTCAGGACGGGATTAAAACAGAGGTAGCTTTAATGCTGCTTCAGACTGAAGTTAAAAACACGTGGAGAAGGATTTTAAGTTCATCAATTTAAAACAGAACAGTCTTAAACCCATGTAAACAATATCCAACATCTCAACAGTGTCCATAAAATGAATTTATGTTTCTTAAAAATAAGCTTATTCTAAAGACCCTTAGAGTTCAAGAAAATCAGTTAATTAAATGAATAATAATGTGTGGAGAATGAGAAAAAACCAAAGCAACAATCTAAAAAATAAATATGTAGAAATCAAGAAAAATAAGGAGAGAACAGCCTATTAAATTTTGAAATAGTTGAAACAGTCACACAAAAATTTTGATAGAACAGGACAAGAAATGAGGGGAAGGAGCAGTTTATATACAAAAATAATTTTAAAATCTATGGTAACAGATTTTTACAGTACTCGTATCCTAAAAATATTTTTCTATTATTCATGTAAGTGTGTTTTATAATTTACTTCCTAATGTAGTTTATTGACAAAACTTGTAGAAAAGCAGAAAATAAAAAGTCAGGAAGAGATGAACAAAATGTCTTGTCTGAAGACACAGATATCTGAATTGGGTTCATTCTAAGACATGGTTCTTAACGAGTGTATGTGGTTCCTCTGCTCACATGACACCGAATTTTCCAGATAAGTAGTTTGTTTTTCCTTGGGATGTTGCATTCCTTCCATCACCTGCCTTGGAAGGCGTGTCCATGGTAGTGTATCTAATCTGAAACCCCCCAGCAGTGACTGAGGCATCTGTCAAAAACTTCAAGGTCATCACATTGCCTGGGACAAGGAAAAAAGAAAAACAAAGGTTACATTTCGGGTGGCATAAAAATGTGATATTTCAGGGTTTTATTTTTGCTTTTCAAGTGCTCTTGGCTGCTGAAATTCTGAGATTTTCACAGCAATCCACCTGCTCTAGAAGGAATTGTGGGGTTTTTTTACCAGAAATAAATTACCTGTGCTGATGATGTCATCTGGCAACTCATCTCCACAAAACCTGGAAAAAGATAGGAATGTTCATGGTTAAATGATATAGGAATTGTGGCACAGAACCTGCTCTGAGCTGGGGCTCCCAGGCTGTTCTTTCCTTAGAGATCAAGGGAATAAATTGGTTCTAGGTGTTAAGTGTGCAATTTTATGGTGAATCTACTGCCTAAAGAATTTTTTAATATTATCCCACAGTAAGGTTTAGAGGAGGGAAAAATGTGGGAAGTAGTTCTCAATATATTCAGGAAGTAAATAATGCAGGACAAGAAAAAGAGCAATTTAACGAGGCATTAAGTGGAAGAACAGTGGCCCAAGGATAAGAAAGGAAGAATATTGTCAGAAAAAAAAATTTAAAATTATCTGTAAATGCAAAACAAACAGAATATCCGTAGGAAGGATGTGAAAAGTGGCAGGAATTGGGAAGTGCCTTTTATCACTTTTTATGGTTTGTTTTTTGTTTGTTTTGCACAATCTCTGCACTGGAAAATCGAGATGTTTCATACCAAAATATGACCTATAAAGGTTAAGTAAAAGTATGATATTGAAGAAAGTGAGAATTAAGCAAAGAAGGAACTAAAATCTAATAAGAGAGATGATATGTAACACTTGTTCTGATATTAGCTAATACTTCACTTCTGTAGCAAATAGCAACTTAAATTAAATATATTTTTGCTAACACTTCACCTCTCTCCTTTCAATTAAAGCAAACACAAAATGCTGTTTGAGATTCCTGAGAGTCCTTCCTCTGAAATACTGGAGAATCAGGATGAGCAGCTGACTAAAAAGTCTTGCAGCTTTCTTTCATCTCATTTAGCAAAGCAAAAAAAGGGCAAAGCTCCATTCCCTGAAACTCTTTAATAATAATATTAAATTAAATTGGGAAGATTAAAGTAAAAGAAGGATAAATCAGGTACTATTGCTACAGGAATTATGGGCATCCCAGCAGTGCTAATTGGATAAGGGATACAGTGTCCTTCTGAAGTGCTGGGGGGGGCAAATTTAATCATTTATTTGCATATTAAAGCTGGATTTGCTTTACCTGCCCACAAAGCCATTGACATCATCGTAGCTGTCATAGATTTCCAAGAAATCTGCCATACAAGCAACGTCATCTTCCACGTCAAACTCCAGGAACTGCAGGTGGATCCTCTGCCCATACTTGACTCTGATGTGCCAGTAGCAAATCTGCTCGTTTTCATACTCGTTTGGGTACCCTGGTGACTTAAAAACATGCCTGGAATCTGTGAAGACTCCACCACACTCCTTTCCTAAGAGAGAAATAAAAACGTCAGAGTTTAAGTATTCCTTCTGACTACGGCTATGGTTTGAATCTTCGGGCTCTTTGGCCTGGCAGATCCATAAAAAAATCCCACAGGAACATCCAGAGTGGTAGAACTTCTCGTATGTTCAAGCACTCGGTGAATGTCAGTCATTCCCAGCTTTTGGGAGAAGGTATTTTGGAAGCAAGAGGTGAGATCACTGAATTCAGAGGAAAAGCTTTCATTGACTTCAGTGGACATGGGGCCAGAGTTGTGTGTTTTATGTCAAAGGCATTTGGGATTTCTGGCCCCTTCAAGCTTTACAGCTGGACTGGCAAGTCCCCCTGACTCTCAATGTCAGCCTTTCTTCTTCAAAAAACTCTTCAAATAGGTTTTCTACAAAAAGCCTTCTGAAGGCTGGTGGTCACATACATGGGGGTGTACTCCTGTTGTTCCTGCAGCTCTTCACTCCCTTTGGGATGAAAACACTTGTTCCAGTTTGATTCATGCTCCAGTAGCTGGAATAGTGTGTCCAGCTCTGGGGCTGCAACACAAGATGTGGAGCTGCTGGAGAGAGTCCAGGGGAGGCCACGGAGATGCTCCAAGGGCTGGAGCCCCTCTGCTCTGGAGCCAGGCTGGGAGAGCTGGGGGGGTTCACCTGGAGAAGAGAAGGATCCAGGGAGAGCTGAGAGCCCCTTGCAGGGCCTAAAGGGGCTCCAGGAGAGCTGGAGAGGGACTGGGGACAAGGGATGGAGGGACAGGACACAGGGAATGGTTTCCCACTGCCAGAGGGCAGGGATAGATGGGATATTGGGAAGGAATTGCTGGCTGGGAGGGTGGGGAGGCCCTGGCCCAGGTTGGCCAGAGAAGCTGTGGCTGCCCCTGGATCCCTGGAAGTGTCCAAGGCCAGGTTGGATTTGGAGCAACCTGGGCTAATGGAAGGTGTCCAAGGGGGTTGGACTGGATGATCTTTAAGGTCCCTTCAACCCAAACCACTCTGGGATTCTGTGATTCTCTGATCACTGCTGGGTAGGACGTGCATTTCAGGCACCAAAGAATTCCACAAGTTCCTCATCAGGTGACATCTTTGGCATCCTGGAGCAGAGCAGAGGCTCAGTTC